ACACCTGGAGGGGGACATGGTCGAACTTCGCTCTACGAGCTAAGCGCTCAGCGATGCACCACTCTGGGATGCACCACTCATCAAAGTCGGACGTCCAAGTCGGGCGTTTCCGGGGCTTTTGTCAAAGCAGCGGATTTGGATGCTCAGCGTTGTGTTGTGGGTACCCATTTTTCACCCATGAATCCCCAAAAGCGTGCGGAGGGGTACGTGTCCACGCAAGCCAGCTGAAACTCTTCGAGTTCAACCGTCTTGCCTGGTGTGGGACGCTCGCAGTCGTTCATGGACTGCCAAAAAGCCTCATGTCAAACACCGAAGGCTACCATCATGCAGAGCATTGGCCTGAAAATAATCAGATTGGTGTGGCAAGCAGTCAAGAACAACATTGGGACATACGAGCAGCTGCCTCAGCCTACCCTCTTCCACTTCTTACCACTCAACTATTCTTCCGTCATCTGCAGCCAACACCAATAATACTGGTCCGATTTCTCGCGTGACTTTGCTACTGGTGAAACTCTTTGAGTCACAAGTGAAACGCTTTTCTTTCAAGCAAAGATGCGGTGCTCCGACTCAGGAAGAAAATTATGAACATGATGACACGTAGCCCTAGTGATGCAGCTGGGGGCCTTGAGTAGTTGTTGGATGTTTCAGTAATGTTGAGGCCAGAATGGCCTGAGATGTGATTCAAAACGACTCCACCATGCAGTGCAGATCTTTCAAATAGTGTCCATTTCCAAACCAGCTGAAGCTTCGGCATTTGAGATACTTTAAGCCAGGCCATCTCCAGCTGCGAATGCAGCCAATCTCCAGCTGCCAATCTTCATGCAGCCAGGCCTTCTCCCCCTCTCCAGATCTGCACTGCAGAAAAGGTGAGCTCGGTCTATAGTATCCGGAAAAATCTTATCGCATCGACCCTGGCAGGAAGGTGGAAGGTTGCCTTGGTGAAAGCAGGACTCGGTTGAGTCCAGCGGTTGACTCAGTAGCCTGGAGATTTGGATTTGTCTAGGCCACTTGTTTAAGTGTTGACCTGAGGTACTAGTATACGTTATACTCTAATAACAGTGGTGAGGCAGGATTGTCAATGACATTCTCCAAAAGCCATCTTACCAGCTGAACAAATCATGGGATGACTGGTCTCATTTCAGGCTTGCAGCGTTCGTCCTCGATCAGAGTCAAAAAATGCAGTATGCCGTGGACCTGGCATTGGCAGAGCTTGCAGAAAAGGTCAAATCTCAGAAAACATCCAAAGGACTGATACTCTCCCAACCTCTCCCACCCTACAGGAAAAGCATCTTCCATACCTCTTGGAAAAGACTAGCAAGCAATATGAAGCGGTTCAAGCGTTCGAGAACTTTCTTGTACAAAAATAAACAGATACTAATACATATATCTATATATATACATATATATAGTATGTTGTTTCTTGCATGTGAAGCCTCGCTCGTCGTCTGGGAGGGGCTCAGTCCTGAGTGCGGACCCCCGATGACACCCGGACGTGACAATACGGTCGGCGAAGTGCCCACGCAGCTTCAAGGGGCAGAGGTACACATTGACGTAGACATACTGTCACATACTCACTAGGCTCTATAGCTGAAATTCTGGCACTTCAAACCAAGCAACCAAGCGCGTTCTGACTGCCAGGCCATCAGCCCACGCGACGGCAGGCAGAGTCAGAGACGGCAGGGCAGCTTTGGGATGCCACCCCAGCCAGACCCCCCACAGTTGATGGAAGAAAACTGCAGAAAACAGTAAGACATCTATAAACAGCTAGACCTTCGACCATATCAAGGGGTCAGTGTACATCCAAAAAAATAAAGAAAAACGCCCATCCCGCCCATGCGATCAAGCTTCATGGGCGAGTTTCCAGTGGACTTCTCTCCGTTCTTGGGCCCCTCCTCGGCGCCCGTCGCCGGTCGGAGGTCGTTGGCGGTCGGTGTCCAGCCATCGATCGAAAGCCGCCGTCCACCGCCGCGGGAGCGGCTCGGCACCGGGCGGATTTCACACTCAGCAGGCTCAGCACCACCGTCAAGCTTTCCTGAAGGAGCGTTTTTCCCCGCGGTGTCATCCATGAGGCCTTGAGAAGGATCTTTCAAGCATGAACCTTCAAAGGGCGATGCGGAGGTTAGGCCAGGCTGTGTCTCTCAAAAAAGGATCCCGTCGAGTGGATGAATGGACACGGAACCAAAAGCAGTATCCTTGCGATCCATATTTGTCACATCGACATTGAGTTTGGGTCCGACCCCTTTTGGTGCTCTGATAAACAAGGCCATCTTTGAAGGAACAAGGGTCTTGCAGCTAGAATCGGTCAAAAAGGGCCAGCCGACTATCTGCAAAACCTGGAGGCACAGGATCCCAAAAAGACCTTGCCAGTCCTGAATGACAGCCATGTCTTCCTTCATGGCGTCCAGGTCAGCCTCCAGACTCCAGCGACGTTGAATGAATCCAGAGTTGTTCCCTACTATATACAGTAAATCAAAATGATATATTTTTTTATATATGAACGTCTGCCAAAAACGTCCCGTTAAGAAGAGCACATGATTCACCCAGAGCACATGGCTTTTCTGGTTCGGGGCCGAGTACACTAAATTGCAGGTTTGATTCGCCACTGGAAATTCACCACCGCTCTGTACGAGACAGGGCGGTCATCGCATAGAGACCGTGCGGTTGGATGCGGTGGGTGCCAGAGACGTCTTCGGATGCTCCGGATGCGATCGGTATACGTTGTGAGGTCTTCTCTATGAAACCCACAAGGGGTAAGCTTAAACAAGCAAAGAGGCCAACAGCTCCATGACAGAATCCTCATGAATCATCCCAAACAACTCACATTTGCATTATACATCTAGTTTCTTGGTTTTGATCTCACGTTGCGACTGGGCCGCTCTAAGGTTGGCGACCCTCACAGAGGCTGAGAGTCCATCCTGCGCAAGCACAGAGTCAATTTTCTTCAGGAACAAAAAAAGCCTTCGAACCTCACCGCTGGCTGCTTGTTTCCTTCCAGACCCTGTCTGAAACACCCAAATGACTCTCCGACGTGTAAACAGGTCCCCGTCCCGTCCTTCGATCCGCGCGCTGCTCCGGAGACCGCTCCACCCGTTTCGCTCTTCCGCACCTCGCAGCGAACGCGGAGGACCGACGGGACCGGCGAAGCCCGCCACTCGAGGCGTCCATTTGGCAGTTCATCCTTCTTCCAATCTTCGTTTTGGCCCAGAACATCGGGCATCAAATCGTCGTTCCAATCTTCGACCCAGAACTCTGGCACTTCTCCTCCCGCTTTTCACCGGGGCTGGCGCTGGCAATTCTTGCACGGAATTGGGCCTCAGGCGAGAAACATCTTCACAGCTGTCCGGCTCGGGACCTCCCACGTGCAGCGGTGAAGAACGTTCCCCGTGCGAACACCGAGGCCAAAGCTGTTGCCACATGGGTTGGGCAGCAGCGAAGCCTGCAATATCCTCAAGCTCCTGCAAAAATGGAAACGTCTCAGGTTATATCTTCATCATTTTGTCTGGCGAATGAAACCCCTCTGCTTCGCCACATCTTCACACACGAAAGCTCAACTTGTTCTGCCGTTCTGCTCCTTCTAGGTGGAGGGATCGAAGAGTAACATCTAGATCGGGCGTTAGTTGTAGTTGTAATAGTATTGTTGTAGAAAAAGATCACAAGCCCCGGCATCATCCCCACCTCAAATTGCTCAAACGAAATTGGGAAGGGCTGTTGTTGAGACATCGGTTCCAGCCTGCGTCCCAAGGCGTTCTACTTCATCGTCCTCCATCGGTTCCTCCTCTTGAGTATCCGCCTGGGACACCATTCTTGGCTGAAAGGAAGGAGCTCCGTAAGAAATCTGAAGACAAAACAAAAGCAACAATCATCACCACCAAAAGACCGTAAGAAGGCAGTGGGTCCCTATTTCAGGTGGTTTTATCCGATTCCTCGTTCAGGCAAGGCAGTGTTTAAATTGATGGAACAAGTGAGGAAAAAAACGTGAGGGAGCGCCCTCTTTGGGTTCAACCCTTGTCACATCAAGACCAGCTCTTGATCAGTTTCGGCGGCTTGCCGGAAGCGGGGCGTCAAGGGTTTGGCCTTCTTCTCTGTGTCATCCACCTGACATCAAGCACGACAGCACGATGTTTGGACCATATCAGGGGTTCAGAGTTCAGATATTAATTGTTTGCCGGGGGGGTTCTCTGGCGTAAAATACATCACAGGTAAGCAACCAAAGCAGGTCAGAAGCACCATCTTCTCCAGGAGAACTGCAACCACCACATTGATCAGCACGATGGCGTTCACCTGGCGACATCCAACATTAACTTTTCCGCTTAAAAAGTCCCGAAAATCAGTCTCTCCCTTCCTGCTTCGTTCATGAACCGTTCCTTCCGAAAAAGGCTGCACTTCATGAAGTCAGGCAGGATGCACAATGATAAAGGAGACGAAAAAGAACGCGACGCCAAAGGCTTCCGCCACACTGTTGCCTGCCGCCAATGGACACTCCACGGAGCGCCGTGAGAAGACGTCATGACACGTGGAACGTTCGGGCATTGGCAGCGACGAAGGTCTTTGGTGAAAACGACGAAAACAACGCCGTTTCGGTGCCACGGCTTCCAAGACATTCCAATGAGCGCTGACTCACCAAACAGCACATCTAGAATATCTAGATATCTGGTGGAATTCCGGGAGGGGTGGAATTTGGTGCAAACACGGAAAGCGAAGATGCGTGTGAGTCTGATAATGGAGTGGAAAAGATTGCCCCCAAGTCTTACAGGCGATGCATTGAACAGCACTGCCACACTTCACCAGCAAACACAGACACTCTTTGAAGCTATGTATGGCCGAATGCATGGATGTTCGCAGAGTTTGCGAAGCATATATTATGTTGAGGTAATGTGTATGTGTGGGGGTCTTGATTGATCAAACTGTTAGCCTGCAGGAAAGCAATGAAACTGTCTGATCAAAGGCTTTCTGATATCAGTCACAGGTTTGCCAGACCTAATGACCTAATTCGTCTCCTTTCACCGGAGGGTCAGCTTGTATGCTGCATGCCCCATAAACTTTGCTGGCAGCAAACGGGCTCCAAACCCCGGCATTCCCATTCCGAAGACGAGAAAGGATGGTGCGCTGAGTTCTCCGCACGCGAATGGTGCGCTGAGGGCGCCACAGTGTAGCAAAGGTCGAGCGATAGCTTCTGACCAGGATTCACAAGTCAGGACCTGGAACAGTCAGGACCCAGCGACCCCACCAAAAACCGAAGGCCGATGGCCTCCCGGAATGGTGAAATAATGATAGACCCAAAAGAGTGCGCTATCAAGGAAACGGTCGCGATTCTCGTATGATTCAACCAAGGGTACGTCGTGATACTATACTAGTCCCAAATAGATCTTTGAAGCTCCGAGCCCAGCAGCGCTGACCACACGTGGTGACTGTGAGGACATAGCGGCTTGCCAATCTTCAAAACCAATCAATTGCTCAACAAAAACAGGATTCCACGCGGTGATCAATCATTAATGTTCCTCTACTAATAACCCATATTAGTTGTATATAGTTATATGATATGTATATGTATATATACATATCCCATTCCCTGTCACAGTGAACCATGATTCATGATGATTAGTAAAAGCATTTCTCAAAATAGTGATAACTGTTTACTGACTGTTACAGGTAATAGGACACCCTCAAAAAACTTGAAAATGTTAGGGTTGCAGTGCGCCCATGGTTGAGCCGAAAAATGTATTCATCCCGGTTCATCCCTTTTCTACTGCCAGAAGCCGGAAGCACACGAAGCAGCCGGCCTGGAACATGGTGTACAGCGATTTGCCGAAGTTGCCAAAATATTCAAAGCCATATTCCTGCTTGCGACCTTGGCATTCAGAGAAGAATCTAGCAGTGCTGCTACAGAAAACTCAGAACTCAGAACTGTTCATTCTTCTTACCTCTTCATACCTCCGCCATATGATCGCTTCTTGCGGTCGTGAGACTCGTAATCAGCTCCACCTCTTTACCTTTGATGTTGGTGAACTTGAAGCCTTTGCCAAAGTCCTTGAAGAGGTCCACTGCTATGATAGCCTCAGACCACCCGAACTCCGACATCCGGCTCGTTCGACAGCTCCAGCTCTGTCGACCCTGAGGGGTCGGCATAGATGGACATGACCAGCAGCAAAATGAAGAATGCATTGGCAACTCCTGGAACTGCCTGAAGCACCCACTCTCTTCAGGCGATCTCGACACTGAAGCTACTAGTAGCAAGCCAACGCTATTAGGTGGAGGCCATCGCTATTAGGGTGGAGGCCATTACTACTGGTAACAAGAAGCTACTAGTATATAGCTAGAAGCTACTAGGTGGACTTGTCACGTCCTATTCTGTTGATTCCATCAGTATCAGTGTGAAGCCTCTTTTCATGCGCCGAGAAGCGTCGCGTCGAGAGGAGGTGAACCTTTAGTTCACTGTCGAAGTCTAAACACTTCAGACATCTAAACACTCTAGGACTGGCGAGCTATCACGCTGTATACGCTGTGCACTCCGATAACATCCAAAGCCAGGAAAGCTCTGAAAAGCGGCTGAACTCTGGATGCTTGACTGAGAAGGAGCGCATCCAAGCACTCTCTGAGGTGAAACATCGGGAGATCGGCAGCAAACTGCTGAGGTTCGGAAAATCCCGTGGATTCTTTACTCAGATGAAGACAGAAATCTTACAATGACTGTGATATCATCGGTGTATCCCGCCTGCAAACCTCGACGCTCCCATCGGGCATAGGCCTCTTGTGCAAGCGCTGAGGCAGGATCCGCACCTTTCTGAAAGGCTTGCCAGGCCATATTCACGGCCGTGCGGCTCTCGAGGACATCCCAAATCCCATCCGAGGCGAGGATTAAAGCTGCCCGGCTGGAGCTTTCCCAAGAGCACTCAGTGCAAGTCACCTCCGCCTCAGAGGTAAGGCCCTGCGAATGAGCATGGAGGTCCCCAAGGGATCGTGACATGTTGATTGATGGCCAAGCCTGCTGGTGGCTGTAGATCCTGCAAGTCACATTTGGTGGCTGTCCCACAGTGATGACTTGCGCTCCACTTCTCTCAACGCGAGCTCTTTCATCAGGCAGTTCGGGCTTGTGGTCCCTTGTGAGCTCCTTGACCATCCATGGCCCACCCAGCGGCTGAATTCCGAGAACCGCACGTGAATCACCCACGTGAGCCACGAGGATCCTCTGGTTCCGAACCACGGCAGCAATGGTTGCTGTGGTGCCGCTGCAGCGAGCGTCCATTGGAAGGTCTTTACACTTTCCATCTAAAGACAAGGCTGTTGAGGCCTCAATGAGCCTGTGAAGCTCCTCAAAGCTTTGAACCGCTGCCTCACGCCACAGGTCACTGACAGCAGCGGCGGCCTCCTGAGGATTCCGAGCTTCTTTGTTTGGAACTCCTGCTGGTGACATGCTACCTTCAATTCTGGCCACCTGTTGCAACAGCAGCTTGGGAAGCACCTCGCTGCTCGCATCTGCCACATCATGACCCAGCTCTCCATGACCATCACACACGGTGAGGAGCTCGACAGTTCCCAAGTTGACAATCGAAGCTCGGTCCTGATTTGGTGCAGTTGATTTGTTTCCCTTCAACGAGACCACAAAGGAGTTGTTTTGCTGCAAGATCTGCTTGGCTTGGCCCAAGGACAGCGGCTGTTGAACACGACCTTTGGAAGCTCCAGTCGCTTGCACCTCATCAGCAGCGTTCGCCTTCAGGAAAGGTGCCCGAGCTGCAGCGAAAGGGCTTGGTTGACCTCCTGGAAGGTCTGGCCGGACTGGAGGCAGGGTCCTGACAAACCATGGTTCTTCGATCCCATCTCCCCTTCCAGCCATTGTTCTCAACCATCTCCGGCTAGGACCTTCGAAATCGTCATGCATGCACCAATTGCCAGAGAGCGCATTGACGGAACTCATCAAACTTTGCCAGGTCGATGTCAAGCTTTGCTGCACGCCATCCAGCCAAGGCTGCTCATCGCATGGCTCAAGTCCTTTGGCAGCTGGAGACAACTGATGCGCAGTGCGCGCCACCTGCCTAGAATGCACAGCTTCATCCAAGTTCAAGATCGAAACAGTGTCTGAAGGACCCCGGAAGACATCAGGAATGCGCAAAGCAAAGAGGCTTTCGCTGCGCAAGCATTGAAGTACATGGAGCCTTCGGTGTGCTAAAGCGGCTGCTTCCCTGCTCATCTTCCAACCAGTTGGCTCCTCCCTTGCTTCCAGCACCGGCAGCTGCATGAAGCTCAGCGGAGTGGGGCCGGCAACCATCGGATCGAGTCTGGGCCCATATGCGCTTGGAGTTGGTGTAAACTCACCTCGTGGAGTGGGCCATGCTGTCGGCAGTGCACCCGCAGAAGCCGCAGACAGCGCCGCCGCCGGCAGCACGGCCGCAGGCGGACTCGAGGGAAGGCGCGCGGGCGACAAATCCGTGTGCACACCTAAGGGTGGCACTACCGAAGGGAAGGTTTGAGCATGGTGCATGGCAAATGCTGTGGCCATCTTGAGCCTTGAGCCCAAACTTCCGGAGCCCAAAAGTGATGGTGCTCAGAAAAAGGACGAGTGCTGCAGGATTTGGAAACGTCTGCAGAGATGATGCAGAAGAAGATAATTTGTTCTATATACATATAGATATATATATATATATTTATATCTTTATTATATACAAGACAAAGTACACCTATGGTGATTGTCCATGTATGTGCATTGGTGGCATTGATCTTGCTCTCCAGGCCGCACCTTCGCTAAAGAAACCATGATCTTGTTCAGCGACTTGACCTCAAAAGAGCAAGTGCCACCTAGACCAGCACGTAACTTATGGCTTTTCCAAAGTCCCTTGCAGAGCAAGCTCAACAACTTCCGGGGCTCCCAGTGATCCTTTTTGGGTGGAAAGAGGGCATCACTCCTTGAGATTCCAATTGCTTCCGGTGATTCAATTCGGGCTGAAGGACATGAGTTTTACAACTTGTTTTCTTTTCCGGCTGGTCTCGGTATCAGTGTTTGGGCTCCGTGTGCTTGAATCGCAGCCAAGTGAAGCACACCGAGCCCAAACACTGATACCGAGACCAGCCGGAAAAGAAAACAAGTTGTAAAACTCATGTCCTTCAGCCCGTCGCCATCTAAGACATGCTTCATCATGGTTCCCATGTCCAGTCGCCCACTCAGACTCAGGTGCCGAGCTCTCTTGAAAAGTCGAAAAACGCGAAACCTCAGCGATCGCGTCATTCGCGAAAGCATGTCGAGAACCCGCAGGCCGGCGGTGTCTGGCACAGTCCCTTTGAGGCTCCGAATGCAGCAACAAATCAGTACGTGTCTTGGACATCAGTACTTCTCTTCGATGGGGGGTTATACAAAGAAACAAGGAAACTGACCCGGCTCAATAAGACACTCGATTTGACCTACTTCAGCACCCAACGTCGTCCAAAAGCCACGCGCATACACACACCAACACGCCGAGGTCAGCGGCGCTCGCATCATGCGTAGCATGCTCAGCGGTCCAGGGAGTTCCACCTCGGCGTCTGAATACGGGAACCATCCCTGAACAGATCATGAAAATATAAATATGTTGCACCACCTAGACTGTTTTGGTGAAAATTATTCTGGTACCACCACCTACATGGCTTGCCAAATAAAACGTTTAGTTGATTGTTTGGAAAAAGTTATTTCACTAAGTGACTCTCACCTCCAAATAATGTTCTAAGGTATGGTATATGCATGGCCCCTGAAAGACCTTTTTCCTCTATAAGGAGCTCCTGCTCAGCTTCCATGTTTGTTGGAGGGAAGGGAACCATCCCTCCGTGTGTGATCGAATCTCGTACCACTCTCCAGACGTCCCAGAGGTGTGTGAGGCAACCCTGGCTTCCAAGGAGCCTCTTGTTAGCCTGAAATCCGTGCCAAGGAGCTCTGAGAACCGAGAGAATGCCAATGGCCACCACCACAAAATCGAAGATGTTCCAGCCTCAACGCCACTGCCCACTGCGGCGGCGCTGCCCAGCTTACCGCAAGCGACCCGACACATGCACACACCGCAAGCAAAGGCCGAGGCAGCTCTCTGTCAGACCCTCGGCTCGGGCGACGACCCGACTTCCAGAAGCGGCAGCACCAAAAGGCGTACATGTTGACCAACAATTCGAAGAAGAACATCGTGTTGAAGAAGGTCTCAAAGCCATAGAAGAGGCTTGGATACCTCACCGTCCAGTCACTTCGCGCGTTGAAAGACTTCGCACAAGATTCCTTGAGCTAGAATCTCATTTGTGATTTCTCTTGCTTCCTCGGACTCTAAATGGATTTGTGGCAAAATGTCAAGATCCTCGAGAAAACGGGTGACCCAGTTGGAAACGTCCCCAATCTCGACTCGGTTCTCGGTTCGCGTCTCCGTCTCGCGGAAAACTGGGATGGCTCGACTCTGTTCCGACTGGGTCGATCCATTTCTCGATGATGTTACACCTCAGGTGGCAGCTAGAAACAGCAGCTGGTCGGCGTGTCTGGGGCCACGTCTGAGAACATGGTTTTTTGATGTGTTCCCCGCCCTGGACGAAGGGGCAGCTCTCATTTGCCATTGGATCATTTAGGCATATTTACATCATCTATGGATATGGCACAAATCCTGTAATATCATTATAATAGTAAATAGTCAGACTGCAGGAACTCGCAGGTTCATGTCATGTCTTCCATGTACCAAAAGGAAATGTTGCATGGTACCGTGTATTTGATCCATGGCCCACCTTGCTCTTCAAGACCGTCCTGGCAGATCCTCTTTCTTTCAAAAAAAAAAACAACCCACGAGAGATCTCCTCTTTGCTCGCTCAAGCTCTATATACAGCGTTTGTCCTCCACTTCCCCTTCCCTGCTGGTCTCGTCTCTCTTCGACGAGGAGCAGGAAGTTCCCTGCAATCAATGCCGCGACGAAGAGCTGCACCTTCATGTTGGTGTAGATCCTCGGGTCCAAAGCGTCACCCGTTTGGACCTTCCGGTCGACCGAAAACGGCGTCCCCGACCCGTGATGGGAACGGCGAGTTCACAACGCTGACACAACGGCTCCGGTTTCAGAAAAACAGTGGGGACGTTCTGAAGTCTGGATTGGATAGATGACAAGACCATTTCCAGGTATATCAGTTGATGATAAATATGATCTAGATAAGCAAAACATAGACTGTTGGAGACATTTCTAGGTTAATATGGCGTCCATAAGATCCATCACCCCAAGGCTTGGAAAAAGTGTCGCACAGTCTTCAAAGGCTTGAAACGACAAACAGGAGTTCACCTCTAAAATTCTCGAGGCACACCCAGGGTCATGAAGCGAATTCTGCATGTGTTACATACCTGTTCAGCATACCCTCCTCCAGACCCCATGAGCGCCGCTGCTCCGCCCACTTGGGGTCTGGGCTTTTCCGCCTTTGGTTGCCATCTCCAACAACCAGTCTCAGCGTCGGCCACACCGGTTCTCGACTTCAAGAACCCTCCATGGAGAATGAAAAGAATCAATTGGTTCAGGTGCTTCTATTGTGGGAAAGGATTGAGGATCATCCTAGCCTCCTGACATGAACATCATCGAATCATGCAGATCTTCCTAAGGAAGCCACCGGTGCGGGCTGTACTCTTCGCCTGCCTTAGTTTGGCCACACGCAAAGAGGCCAGTGCTTCATGGTCATGTGAGCTTAGCCGTGTAGGCACCAAAGCAATAGCTAGGATTGAATGCTATGGCAGCTATGATGGCTACCCACCAGCATGGCTGATGGGCAGGACCTCTACATATTAGAAGTTCGGAGGGGGTGATCATACTATCAAACTTGACTCTGCCCCACACGTATTTGAGGGGAGTGACTGCATTAAATTTGGTGAATATCCCATGCCCATGCCCCAATTGATCTTTAGGCTACAGCAAATGTTAACCCTTCATATCCATTCATCAGAGTAATACATATACAGGTACCATTGGAGTTGCAAAGCTCCAAAAACTTTGCAGATGTTGAAGGGTCGCCATGAGTATCATAGATCTTCAAGAACTCGCTGTGCTTCGAAGAAAGACCATCCGTGATGCTCACGCCAAGATGCTGCTATTTGAGGAAACAGGAGATGTCACTGATTTCTCACTGCCTGGCGAAAGACATGGCACCTTGGCACTGCCTGGCTCTGGTTTCGAGAACTGGGCGAAGAGGCGCTTCGAATCCCGGAATCCGCTCTGCGAGCTTTCAAAGGGATAGAGATAGACCATGATAGACCACTGCGGCTGTGGATTCGATGGAATCTCAACATCGTTCGATTTCTCGAGTCTTTCGGCTGAGTTTCAGCGATGTCCAGCAGCGCGGATCCGTCGCAAATCAGGCGCCTATTTTGTCTACGGATTTGATCGGCTTCACCGCATCCTCACGAAAGATCGGCTGAAGGAGAGTTCACGGTACAATGCCACCCAGGATGTATCAAAACACCACGCTATGGTAAGATGACTCCACATGAATCATCCAACAGGTGGCAACAGCGGTGCAGGTCAACTTCACAGCTTCATGGCCCACAGCACCCGACGCGACGCGACGCTTCGCGACGCCGAACGGTCCTCAACTTGCTCCGCAGTCCCTTTGGGATCTGGAGTCACCTGAGTCAGACTGCCCAGCGTCTCGTCGTTTTGAAAGGTTCATCCATTCAAGAGTACATCAAGGCTGTCGACCGGCCAAGGATCCCATCAACGTAAAGAAAAAGGAGGTCAAAGGGTTCAATTAGATTCAACTGACTTTCAACTGCGCAAGCCTTGAGCTTGGCCGCAGATGTCAAAATGATTTCAAACTACAGTCAAGGTCTTTCTCCTCGGTGCTGTTTTCGTCCAGTTTACCTCCATTGATGCTGTCCTTCCAGAATTGGTGCCCGTCTTGGGAGACTTCTCCAACAGGTGTTCCTTCACCACTTTTCCTATGAAGTCCTACTACCAGGATTGTAGCACTCGTGGCCCGGACCAATTTATATAAGGCCCGGGGCAGTTGGTGTGGGGATCGATCGGTGGGCGATCGATGGTCGATCGTCCGATTTTCCCAAGGTCAGAGCAGTTTTGGAGACGTCCTGGCGAGGTCTTTTCGCCGCTAGGTCGAACGTTCACGGCGTTGTTTTTCTTCCGCCACATAAAATGCCTTCGGACTCAACGAATGAAGAGGATATGACGGCAGAATTGTGATTTCTCTCCTTTGATCTCCTTTGCCCCTCTTTCCCTGCTTCTTCAGGGATTTGGACATTCCAGTCGCATCAAGTGGAATTTTGCAAATCTTCAACCCTTTATTTTTCGTGCGCGACGCGCCCCGCAGCCTTTGTTGTCGTCACATGATGAACCTTGAAGGTCATAATTCACCAAGCGTTGCTCCATCAGATCTCTGCGTGTTCTGAGACTCCCACAGCAGCGGCAGCCCCTGCCATTCCGCAGTTGACCTCGCAGTTGCGCAGTCGGGATTTGTATGGACTTACCCACAAGATGGGAAAGTGGAGTTCACTCGTGAACATCCAAAAGCTCCTTAAGAGGCCAGAAAAAAAAAAAAAAACTCCGTATAGTTAAACTATATTGATATTATGCCTATTCATTGGAAATGATTTGCATAATTGCAAAGGCCAGAAATCCAAAAATGCCGCCCTTGGCGAGTGCAGCTGGGACACGGGGGCCTCGGGCACTCAGCCCTCCCCTTTCGAGCCAAAGGTTGGAAGCAGCGGCCCATCATGCACTCGCAGGTGGCGGTTCAAAGTTGTTCGTTCCAAGTAGACTCCAAAAACACACAGGATGGATACAACCTTAGTTTCTTCCAATCAAGTCCATTCAAGTCCAAAAAGCCACAAACATCAGTCCGTGATGACAAATGACCTGCTCTCCACAGGTTTCGAGCAAATACAAATTATAGGTCGTTTTGTTTCCGGGGGAAATCGCTACAGAAAGGCGGCAAATCTTCAGAGCGTGAAGGGCTCATTAGGGCAAACATGGTGAGGAAAAACGAGTGGAACTGACTACTGATTTGTTTTGCTCACTGCAATTGTTCGTTTTGCTCTCGGCTCTTTATTGTTTTGCAAAGCTGATTCATGTTTGAAATTTTGCTCCCCAGTTCCTTTTCTCCAGCCCCCACTCCCTGCTCCAGCTCCAGCTTCTAAAAAATGTTTTGCTTGGCAACTGTGTTCTCGAATCCCTTCTCAGCAGTCTTGGTTGCTCTAGTCAGCTCTCTTCAGCCCCTGCTTCTCAATCCTTGCAGATCCTGTTCCATGGTGACGTTATTTGGTTTACTCTGCTTTTCAAATGTGGTCGGTGTTGTCTCCGCTCACTGTATTTTTGCTCCGCCCCACCCCCCCCCGCCCTTTATTGGAAAGTAACACCAAACATAACTAACAGAACCATGGCAGCTGACATTGAAAATCACAGAGAAAACACATTGCTGCTGCTACAGCAGCGATCCAGGGTTCTAGTTCCAATCTTTTGGAATCTGCCATATGCATCATATGCCAGAGTTCCGTCCAAAACAACCACGTTTGTCCAGCATTCCACGGTTCCACCTGTTCCCGTTCCACGTTTGCGTTTTGGGCTCTCGGAGACGAGTCTCTGCACCATCCCCAAGCCCGAGCTGTTGGGAAGAAAACTCTACAAACGTCGCCCATCAGAATGCCCCGTTTGGGTGGCAGTTGGTGTCCACCCCTTTTCGGATCAGACGGTCTACCTCAGAAACATCGTAGACTACGGCACCTGAAAGACGTGAAGCAAACAAATCAGAACGGTGCAAGGATGGATTCAAGCAACAGCCTCAGCATCGCATCGCACTGTCCTTTTGCGGACCACAAAGCCAGCACTTCAACCAAACGAACTCAGACTGAGTGCCCACCGGTTTATGAACAAGAGTTTGCCAAGTGTGTGCAAAGTCTTTGACAAAAACAAGAGAGAAAACAAATTGCGCCCTTTTCACTTAAATAGGTTCCACGAACTCAATGACTTGTCAATGACAAGTCAATTATAGAATTTGTAGCATCTCTCGTACTCATTAGACTGCTAGACTTCCTTCAAGTTGCCGAAAGTTGCCAAGTTGCAGTTTTGAACTGAAATTCATGGATTGTTCCCAGGATCCTGCCTTCCCAACCATTTGATTGCTTTTCTATGCACACACTTGATGCAAGATTAGTTCACGGCCCAACTCAGCGCAGGATCCAAACATCTAAATGTTGCCTTGCGCAAAGCACACATCCGACCACATTCTGACAGCAAGCTCCGACCACATTGCAGCTGAAAGGCAAGTCTTGAAAATATTAAAGCCACCTAAGCCGGAAGACTTGGCCAAATCAGAAAGTTGGCCACATCAGACTGAGCACAAGTGCAACCACAAAGTCTCTTCAGCCAAAGCCACTTGCAGCTGTCACGATGCACACACTGGAGAGTTGAGGATGCCACCTTTGAATTGGTGCGCCGCCCCACCCCCCCCCATGTCACAAAGAAATTGCCTGCGAACTGGTCTCAAGTGGTCTGGGGAGGTGGCATCCAAACCCTCTGGGGGGGAACGCAAGGCTCGTGTGGCGCTCCGGTCGAGCCCGCTCCCATCGTCAGCGCCCCGTGTGGCGCTCCGGGCCCGGCCCGTCGACTGAGGCCACGTCCGCAGCTCCTTGGGCTCTTTCTGTCCCTGCGAGCGGTGTTCTCCGGTGCCGGTGATCTAATAGCTTCTTGCTCCGTTCGTAGTCCTGCCAGGAGCCCCTAGTAGCGTCCTTTCTCCTAGCAGCGAAGCCAGGAGCCTCTAGTAGCTTCTTGTTAGTGCATGCTTGGGGGTTTAGAAGTTCCACCAAGACCACGAAACCATGCCAGATCCCATGCCAAATCTAACACATGCTCTGGTGAAATTGCCCTCTACCAGGCTTCCCACCTAGCAAAGCAATGAAAAGACATGAAAAGACTAACATGGCGCGATTCTTGAAGTCGCTTGCTGCCTGATTGCGTTTGTATCAAAAAACAAGAAACACCATGTGTTCATCAAAACTCGCAAACACTCTCTCTCTCTCTCACTTGTTGTGAAACGACACCAACGACAGACGACCGCCCTGGGCACGACCTGATGTAAGAAGAGCAGCTGCGGTGGAAAGTGGTCAGCCCCAGGTGGCACTTCGCGACCGGGCGCATCATCCTCTCGGCCGACTGCCGGGACATATCTGGGGACCCCGTGGGACCCGTGCAAACTGCTCGGGAAGCAATCGAAACTTAAGGAAGAATCTAACGTTTGGTTTGAACCTGCAAATTGGTGGAAGGCTCATGGCGATTTGCATATCATTCAGAAAGACTGGCTGTTCAAGGTGTCAGGCGCGGCTTTTCACGCGAGGCGGCTTGGAAGATTCACTTCAGTGATCAGTTTTGATAAAACCTGCCAAACTTCTTGGTGAACTCCTCGACCTCGTCCTCACAGTATTGATTGAGACTTTCGATGGTGTAGGGGTATTCTGCCGTCTTCTCATATCCAAGCTCTTTGAGTGTGGTGCGCCATTCCTCCCACTCGCGCTTCGCGCACTCAAGAATCTTCTCTGGAGGATGAATCTCTCGCTGCCGCAATCGCTTCAGAGGACCCCAAACTGCTCCCCGTTCCGAAATGCCTCGAACCAGTGAACCCAAGGTGATGCCCGTGAGCGCCCCATGCCGCGCCTCCACCACATAGGCTGGACGACTGATCTCCTCCTCGGCCTCATGTTTAGGCAGCATGTTGCTATCCATGACTGTGGCCCAGTCACTGGGGTATTTCAAAATATGAGCCTGTTGCTCAGCCCAACAAATGGCTCCCGGTGAAAAGCTGGTCGATCCAAAGTTGTTCGCATCCACATAGATGGGCTCGGCCACGATGTAACGGCGATAGTCCTTGTTGACCCACCAGCCATAAAGCTCCTTGAGCTTCAAGAGACGATCATTGTCAAATTCACCGTTGAAACCTAAGAGCTTGAGAATATGCGAGACATTCTCCAGCTTTCGACCACTGACCAAGTGCACAGTACTGTTGCTCACCCTCTTGGTGTCGTCCACAATGTGCTCACAAAAACCGCACGCCACCCCTAAGAAGTAGACATCGCCGATGCCAAAGCGCGACTTTTGCTTGATGGTCACATTCGTTCGGGTCTCATTCGCTTGTACCGCATAGTAGGACCATTGGTCTACCCCAATGAGATCATACATGGGTGCCATGGACTCTAAAGTCAGCTTAGCTGAAACGGAGTCGGAGGACTGATTGATGAGCCATGACACCAGCCGGGGCATGGAAATGGTTTTCCGCCTGCAGACCATGTAGACTTTCTGTGCGGCAAATTCCACACAAGTTCGTACATTTTCGACCGCGAAGGCACCACTTCCCACAATCATCACGGTCTTGCCTTTGACCTTGGCATAATCAAACTGACTACTGATGCCATAGACAATGTCACCTTCAAAGGTATCCTCACCAGGGTAGGTCACCCGCTTCGGATTCGTCAGATTGCCGGGGAAGAAGGCCACGGAGGCTGCCTGGACCACCTGCTCTTCCTTGCCCTTGGTCTTCACCGTCAGCTCGTACGACTGATTCCAATAATCCCTGCCAATCACATTCCTGAGCGTGTCTGGTCCGGTGCCGCATGACAGAGCATCGGGACGAAGGAATAAGGATGGCCATCAGGGAGATAAAGTAGGGCCATATGGGACTCGTGTCAAGACCATTGGTGATGGAAACGTTGCGGGGATTCAATGAAATGCATGATGAAACCTTCACACTGGAGTGTTTGGGCCGCATGATTAAAGTCTATATATATATATAGTATATTAAATATATTGCACTCTGCCCTTCTTTTGCCAGCATTCCTGAAGGTTTTCGTGAATGAGATCTCTGTCTCAATCACCCTGTAATTTAGTATAGCCAGCCCAAAAGGCCTATGGCTCTGTGTGCCTCTGTCGGGCGAAGACCTCAAAAGGGTCAGACAAATGGACCTCTGTCGGGTCATGTCTTGGCCTCAAAGGGGCCCTTTTCCAGCTAATGGCAAGCTGGTAGGCTAGTGGCAAGCCTTACGTTTTCTGGTCAATGGCACGAACAATTGATCAGCCAAAGGGCTTTCCACGACCCCTGTACTGGACCTCAGAGAGGGCCATGATGGGTCTAGAGGTTGTGATCGGGTGTGGCGGGTGAGGGAGATTTAGGGAGCACGGGTGTGCGGCCCCATGGGCCTCGAAGCATCGACTTTATCATGGCGCCGCGCCAAAGAAAGGTCTCCGCCGCTCCACCGCGCCTGAGAGAATACGGTCTGAAAGAGACCGGTAGTTGAAAGAAATTGCATAATTGTAGGAAACTCGCTTTGAATTCACGTGCCGGATGCGGCCGTAGTTTGGACGCCAGCGCCAAGACGGTTTCCGCCATTAAAGGGGTAGGCGGGCGCCTTACAACGACATGCGCATCAACTAGTCGTCGACTGCTTGTTTTGGTGTCTCCCAACTGAATGACCATAGTTTGTTTGCTGATGAGCAGGTGCCTGAGATGAAGTTAGAATGAAGAGTTCCCCGGTCCGGAACAAACCCCAAAAAAACCAGGCACAGGCGCAGGGCCAGCCTAAGTCGTTCGAGGCGAACGCGTCTGGAGACTAGGCCTTCTACTATTTCAATGGGGAGCGGGGGCGCTTGTCTCGGCCGCTCCAGGTTTCGCCATAAGCCATAAAGCTGGACCAGGGGAGGTAGTGATGCAGCCCCGACAATGCGTCAGCTATGCCAGAGATGCTGGCGCCCCCGTCGATCCAATCGACGAGGAAATCATGAATATCCATGGCATGGTCGCTTCAAGGAACGGGAGAACCAGTGAAACCGCGGTGAAAAAAAAACGAATTCGAGTCTTTAAAGTAATCGCCCAGCCTTGCAATGTCAGCCCTTTGCGCCTCCTCTGCCTTGACCTCCGCAAAAATTCAGGATCTACTCGCTTCATCCGTGGGGTTATCAAAACTGTCCACATGCGCCAGCAGCAACTGACACTGCCCGGCTACGAGGAGAGCTGCAATCTTCCTACAGATGTACTGTAGTTTGTGACTACCAGTTCTGCCTTTACTAAGGATGGACAATGCCACGTAACTGTCGCTAAGATGAAATAGCCGACGATTTGTAAAAGAGCGCTTCATAGTTTTCCACAATAGGGTCAGCCAGATTGCTCTGATCTCAAGTGCATTTATGTGCTCGATGAGGTTCCAACGGACTTTAAACACTTGTTCCCATTCCCACCAAAGGCTCTCCACGCTCTGACGCGGATAGGTCCTTGGGTTAAGAATCTGTCCTGTTGAAATACGCACGTCACTTCCAGTATGCCTAGCCTTGCTACCTAAAATTCTGTTCAAATCGGCCACTGTCTGCTGTGGTCCTTGATGAGGAAAGTCTTGGCCCCACTGTAACGGACACGTATATGGGAGACGGAAAGAACTGCCTGGTGGAAGCCCCATCCGCGCAAACAACACCTCGGGACCGCAGCTGCCGAAAACAGACAAAAAGACCAAATGGAGAAGCTGTCGCCTACCAGGCTGCACCTCTCATCCTCATAGGCCTGTAGGTTTGCCTTGGCGTTGGACGCTGAGGCACACATCAACGTATGGCCTTTGCCGTAGCCCATAAGAAGTTCGCGCTCGTCAGCATTGAGCAGCCTCCCAGACTCTTCGTCTGGATGAAAAACTAGGAACTCACTACGATATTGGTAAGGAGGGTACCTAAAGGAATGGCTCTCCCAGCGGCTCCTGCAAGAGCTGTCCGCCCGAGCTAGGCCAGCGGGCATCGGTGGCGCTCTTGTCCTCACAATGGCCTTCATGAATGTAGGATAAATTGCGCTCGGATCAGCCTGTTCCCAGCCTGGGCTCAGCCACTGAGAAGGCTCGGGCCACTGACCGTCAATTTCCACGTTTATATAACCATTCCTCCTCTGAAGCAGCATTGTGGGATGCCGGGGCAAAGTCACTGAGGTCCAGCAAAACCGTGGTCTGGAGTTTGGCACCTGGTTGACCGGGTTCAGCCGATATGGTATCACTTGCAACAGACGACTGATCTCATCCCTCACGTCAACATCCATACTTGCCACATTTTCCACAATAAATTCAGTCCGAACATCAGGACACAAGGCCTTCACTTCTTCAAACACCCTGATGGTCTCGTGAATGAGGCTGGGCTCGGACACTGCTCACATCAACACAAGGAAATCCAGCCCACATATGGACTTCCAGAAAGTTTCCAAAACTTTCTAGGTGGTCCCGGAGGGTGTCACCTCGTAGATCTCTGATGTCCTCACAAAACACGGTTTGCGGCCAACGTCTTGCTGTCACCCGGTTTGCAGGCCTGTGAACGTCACAGGCCAAAATGCCCTGCAACCGCACCCCGGCTACATCATAGCACCTAATGGCGCCACCTATGCCATTGAATAATGTCACCAGCACCACTGGAACGTCAATAGCAAGTCGGGAAGGCTCTTGTGACCAAACAAACCCAGTTCCTTCCGCAGATAGTGTCTTAGCCGCAGCAACGGCTCCTCCACTCATACTGGCATCACTGCACGTGATTTCATGGTCCACTCGGCAGCCTAACCAAGTGTGGAACAAAGGAAAGCCACAGATTCCTACCAACAATTCCCTCTTGACACTATTTGCTGCCCGCCGGCCGTGGCACTTATCGGCAATCCAATCCCACACCACTTCAAAATGCGACATTGCCGGCCTTCTGAACTGTAAAATAAAGCACAAGCGACCCATCACAATATGTAGCTTCTTCTTCGAGGGATTCTCTTGTCCACAAAGCCACAAAATACTTTTGCAAACCTTAATGAGTCGTTCGGGGGCTGCTCCAATCCACTAGCCCTTGCCGCCTAGGAACGCGCCTAGTTCCACCCCTGAGGTCGCTGCAACAACCGACTTACCTTCCGAGACAACAATCCCTGCTTCCTCCCACAAATGTTCCGCTAGCTTCTGCATCTCAATGAGCTCAGTGGGTTCTTGCTGGGTGACTTTTGCTCCAGCCGCAAAGTTGTCTAAATACACATGCCACCAAGGTTTCCCCTGGCGACCACTGCCAGCGGCACTTGAAAGTACCCAAGGAGGAAGCGGTGAAGTCTTCGCAATCTGAGAATAAGGGTCAAATCCGTCAAATCCCCCTTTTAGTAGGACTGACTCCGCAAGGTCCTGCGTTATTCCCACGGCTGAACTCCAGCCCATGGGAAGGACTCGGCATGCCAAATACCATGCGTCTTGGTTGTTACCAAAACCTAGCTCAGACGAGGTGAAGTGTAGGTTGAAGGCCAAAATGCGACTCCACTGTGGGGGTAAGCAAAATAGGTAGAAGGCACACGCCATATCAGATTGGCCTACTCTCAGCGTTTCACCCTCCTCAATGACTACATTCAGCCATTGCGTCATACTGGGCAGCTTGTCGACTTTTCCGGGAATAGTTCTGAGGATTGCGTTTGCGGGCGCGAGATTCATAATTAACCTAAGCACGCTTTTACCTGACGGGAGCAGCTTAGGCTTGGGCACGCCAAACAGTCCACTCAAGACTTTCTGATTCCGGAACTCGAAGACTTCGTGCCCCGGAATCCAGCAGCAGATCCCCCTACGCACCAGTTCATCGGCAATCAGCCTCCGCTGTCCTTCTTCCACATGCACCTTTCCCTGCAACTTAGGGAGCACTTGGCCAACGTCTGGCACCACGCACTTTTCAGGATGTTCCAACAAGAATTTGGTCCTGCCTCCGACCCAAGCCAAAGTGTCAATGGACCCCCCGTGACCCTCAGGGGGAAGACCAGGAAGCAATCTTTCCAAATCTAGAGGCTCAGCCTTACACACCTCCTCACCAGAGTACGAGACTGTTCTTCGTTCAAAGTCAGACAGCACGTCAGACAAAGACCAGTCGACACACACATCGTCATTCACAATTCGCTCCACGGACTTTTGAATGGCCATCAACAGATCGCGCTGCGGGGCCAAAGGTTCACCTGAACCAAATTTGAAACCTTCATTAGCCAAGTCATTACAAAAGAGGGTGGCCAAAGAGCACCAGCAAGGGACCGCAAAACGTGCAACAAAAGGCTTATTATTTAAGACTTCTTCCAGACCTCCACACGAGTCGAATTCCGAAAAGTTCAAACTCCAAAACTGAGGGAGAGGAAACACATTATTTTTAGAGCGTTTCACTCGTGGATGCTGGCTCACCTTTTTCAGCGCCATTTCGGCGGAAAGCTGTCGAAGGAGTTCGGCATCTAGCGTCTCCCCTCTCTCAAAAAGGCAAAAACACAGCCCTACTCCCAGCCCGGAGAAATCTCCAGCCAGATTGAGCAGAGCCTGCCACCACTTCAAACTGGATGGCTCGTGTACACGACCTTTGACTTCTCGTGGGCGGTCCCCTTCTTCTGATCGCCTTTTCCTTTGTTCTTGTCTTTGGTCCGATCCTTCTGCCAAGGATTCCCCTTCCAGCCTTGTCGGCCAGACCAATGGTCCTCCTTCTCTTTCTCCTTGCTCGATGTCGTCCAGGGTGTCATAGTACCTCCGTTTTGCTCCACCTCGTCCACTGCTGCACGGTTCGGACCAGCAGCTTGAGGTGAACTTCGTCGATGTTGACAAGCCGTCCAGAGCAGGGAACACACCTGTTCCCCCCTCTAACTCCAAGGCGCCTCCATCTTGAGGCTCCGCCTGCCCAACTTCCGAGCGTAGTTGCTCCTGCCTCACTCTCTCCAACTGGGCTCGAAGAGCGACAGGCCCGGGTAGCCCAGCCGCCGACTTTCTGGCGTTGTCGTCTGACCAGGCCGAGATGATCTTGCGTTGATCGTCACCTGGCCCTTTCCCTCTCTTGGCCTCCTTCGGAGGAGGCTGCGGCGCTTTTTGCTTTGGGGGCAGAAGGCCGCTCGGCTGCCACCAGCGGCTCGTCCTCCTCGACCTCCAATGCTTCTCCTCTGGCAAATGCCTGATAATCTTCTTTCCTCCTGGAGAAAGGCGCTGGGCCGGAAATTCGGAACCTCTCCAAACCTCCAGACGGCGCACGTGGAAAACAGCGCCCTCCTCGTGGCAAGCTCCTGGCCCAGCACAAATGTGGAGCCTCCCTTCTTTGCGATTGAAAAGACTTGATAGCACGCCCAATAAGGGGGGTGAAGACGATCCAACCGACTTCACCCGCAACATCTTACTTCCGCCGGCCGCCAACTCGAAGCCGGTGACCAACCAAATACCTTCCACTCCTTCTTCTTCTACCAGCTCCCCTGGTATCATACTTGTCACAATGTCCCCAACCACGGGTGTCAATGTGTTCCATCGTGCTGTACCGTTCACATCAAACAGACCGTGGGGCCCTGCTCCTCCCAGGGCCTCCAGATCGACCTCGGCTTCTGCTGTCATTTCCTTGGCCTCGGGGGGACGCCGGCAATTGCCGACTCCCTCGAAGCTGTTGAATCGAATCGGAAGTGCGAATCGTCCAAACTCCTATGCAACTTAATGTGTGGGTCCCTTTCTGCCCGGTACAGCCGCTTATGTTTGCGGCCTGCCCTATGCTGCGGATTCCTGTTCTTCCGCTTCTTGTACTTCTTGCCGGACTCGGAGTGTTTGTCCTGGTGAGAGGAACGATGGTGGCGTTTCCGCCCTTCCACACGAGGCTTATGCTCGGCGTTATCGCCAGCACCCGCCTCGGGCTCGTAGTCCGGGTTCTCCTCAGCCTTCACGGAGGTACCTTCACGTTCAACCGGTCGAGCCGACTTGGGAAGGCGGTAAAATAGTCTTCTCCGATGTGGCGTCCGACTCCTCACCCTCCTCTTCGTCGGAGGAGGATTCCTTCTCAGCCGGCTTCGCAGCCACGGCACGAGGTGGTTCCTCTCTCGCCTGGCTTGCTGCCCGGGGGGGGGGGGCCCTTCTCAGCTTCAGCACGGGGTTCAGCCCCAGCTGAAGCCTTGTCGGGGTGCTCGGCCTCGCGAAGACCAGCACCCCCTGAGGCAGCCGCTCTCCCAGCGGCGGGTGTGCCCGGGCCGACCCCTCGGGTCACACACAAGGCACGCACTTGGCGTACCGTAGAGACCACCAAATCGGTGGCCACAGCCCGAAGGCCTTGGTGCCCGCCCCCAACCAAAGGAGAGCTCGTGTCCTAGGGCCTCCCAGGCACTGCAAGCCAGGCACCACGCGTCGCCGCCTGCAGGAGGGACCCGCCGGCAGCGAGCTCAAGATGCCATCCAGCGCGCCGCGCGAAGCCACCTTTTTGAGCCGGTGGCAAATTCCGGCGGCCTGCAATTTCACTCACTTTCAGCAGTTGACATATATATAGTCTAATCTATTCAGGCTCGTTTGGGGTGGATTTGTGTAAATCGTCGAGTTCTGTGGTGGAGGCCTAGGCAGGGCATTGAGGGTTCCTACGTGCCGTTACCAGGTTGTCAACAATGACCCATCACCCCAAATCTGCGGATGCACTGCCGGTCGGCTCCAGGAACGTTCAGAGAAACCACACGTGACATGTTTTCACCGTGCCATTGTCACACAGAGTTTGCAAACCGTCACGCCAAGCTTCAAACTCCTGACGTTGGTTTGCATGCGGCAGTAGGGCAGAATTCCGAACTGTTCTGAGACCTCGTGAAAGTGCTCCAGCAGCTTGTCGCGCGATGGCCACGGGTTGTCAAAGGCCCACGACGGCCAACCATTGTTCTCATGATACCTGAGACCATTCATTGCGGCGTTCTCTTTGCACGCCACTATCCTTGAAACAATACATTTGCGTACATTTATATATAGTTCATACTAGCTACTAGCATAATTGTACATATATCATCATATATCGTGTGTGTGTGTGTGTTCTTTGCTTTCCCTTTCCAAGGATGTGCAGCTCTAAGAGCAAGAGGGGTCGATTTCAGCTGCTAGGAACCCTGTTGGGAAGAAGCTCTGCTTGGCGAGATCATAAGGCTCATAATTGCTCAAAGGCATTTATAAAGCTTTGTGAAAAACATTAGCAAGATACTCCAAATGGTACACTCCAACTTCGGTTTGGAGCCGAGAGGTGGAATTGGCTTGGTCGATCCAAGAAGTGCCTCCCACCCGGTCATTGCGATCAAAAAGAACAAAGTTCGTGAAGTTGTCCATGAGCCAAGTCATCGCCAGTTTCAAGCCAATATGCCCCGCTCCGATGATCACATGTGGGAAGTCATACTTCTGAGACACCCTCTTGAAGGACTTGATGCCATGAATCACCACTTTCCGCGCGATTTCATCATTGTCGTTATGGACACGATAGTTGGGGCCTTGCTTGTACACCAGCCTCAAGTCGCTTTGGTTCACCGACAACCGGTCTTCAAGCAAACACTTCACCTCGATGACTTTGGTATTGGTGTAGACTGGCAGCGTTAGGACTTCATCAGATCCTGGAATGTGGATGCTCACCTCCTTGGTGGTTAGGCTTGGGGGGGTCGTTCCCAATGCCTTGAGGCTTCCAAACGGACATGATGGCATGTTTGAATTCCGGATGTGCCGCAACCAAGGCCAAGGACTTCTCCATGGCTGGGCACCCCTCAGGCACCACCTGTCCCCCTCTGGAAACAAAAGTGCACGGCCTTCATGCGTTCGTCTCCTCGCTTAAGGCGGTATGTTTGAGATCTGCTGGGAGATGTGTCTGCGTATCATTGCACTTCACAAACATTAACGTGTATATTAATTGTGCTGCTTCTGCACATCTGAGCAGTCTGAGCATCAATCCGACAGGGCAGCATGCGAACTCCAATTGCATACCGACTGGACAGTTTGGGAATGGCAGGTCCAGCACAGGAGTCCAGCAGTGACGGATCGAGGCGGCATGCGTGCCTCAACAGCCATGTCCCACAATGAGACGGAATCCTCAGACAGAAGTTCGAGATGAATCGGCCGAGTCAAATCGGGCCCCCCAAACCGCAGCAAAACGGATGTGTTTGATACTGACTAAAAAATGAACTCCACTCTGACTCAGTCATTTTTTCGCTTTGACTTTCCGAGTTCTTCGGACCAGATGCATCAGCTGAAGCCACCGCCAAGACCGTTTCATCACTGGGATGCCTCGAAAAGGCTTTGTGTCTCATAAGTTAAGTGAAGGGGCAGTGAAGGGGTATGCCGGGTATGATTTTCCGAAGGCACAAACATGTACAAGGACAAATTGAAAAAACCTGCTGGAAACACAGTTTACACGACATTTGGCGGCTGAAATGTCCGAACTTCAACCGATTCAGAAAACACGAAACGGCGCTCCCCCGATAGCTCTTCTGCGTTCGTTTCGTCTTCTGCATTCGTCCCTGTGGCCAAGGAGCCAGTCCACCGAGGTGACCGGTTGTCGATGCCAAAGGAAGTTGGCCATCGGCCCTGAAAGCGACCATCAGCTGCCGAGACTCGACTTGGCGATTTCTACCCCATTTCGAACACCGTGAAGTGAAGCTGGGGCGGACTTCGGTGCGGAGCTTCTTTCACCCTATGTTTTGGTCAAAACGTTGTTGTGCAATATAGTTGATGCACATGCCTTTATAAAGCACTTTTCAAACTTCAATTTACAAGTTACAGTATAAGAGTTTTATCATCACCACATCTCTCGGTGTATGTATGTGTGCGTGTGTCTCTTTCGCTCGCTCTCGCTCTCCTGCCTGCAGCTACGTGCCTGGTGTCCCAGATTTTAAATCCTCCATCATCAGCACCTCACTGAAGCTTTGAGGACATCTAGCACCCAGGTGGAGGGGACGACAAGGAGGATTGCATTGCAGTGCGCACGCTGGAGCTCAATTTTCCTGCAGGAACCAAGTGGTCCACTTCAAGCACCTGCATGCCCCCAAGGCCAGCTTCCTGTTCATGGTGGCATTCTGCGCGTGCGCATCTTACGCCGATGCCAGCGAAAAGGTTGCTGAGCTTTGCTCAGAACCAAGATGCTGGCAGGGTCATTAACACAAATACCCGGCGCCGAAACCGGCAATTCTGAATGATTCTGATATACCCGTGGAACGCACCGTTGAACGCATGTTCACCGGGTGATCATTGTGTCACTCGCGTCGTCCTGGCCGTGTTCGCGAGGCCGAGCAAATTGAGTGAAGATGGTCCCTGAAAATCGCCTACATCGTGGCAGCAAGGCTCTTCGTCCCAGTTGAGGCGGTCACGTCAGAGAATTCAGACACTGGCCTCGAGCAGGGTTTCAGCAGGGTTTCTGAACGTGAGCATGGGATTCCCAGAAATCAGAAGACATGGTCTCCAGTTCCGACGTGAGCGAGAAGGATTCCAAAGCAAGCCTTGAACTCAGCAAACGGGTCCTCAGCACATGCACTTGGAGAATGCTCCTTCAGTAAGGGAAGGAGCAGTGCTTCAAGAATTCAACCAAGTTTCAAGAGAACTGCTTTCACCCCAGTGCGGAACTTTTGAGCTGCAGCCGACCTCCTCCGGCCTCGGCGCACGGCGCGTGCGAACACGCTGAGTGAAATAGCTGAGAAGCCTGAGAACTGGGCCTGAAGCAATGGGACCTAGCAGGAAAAGGACCAGTCTGGAGCCATGGGCTGATTGGACAAGTCTCTGAAACATCCAGACCTTTCTGGCTGTCAGGGCTTTCATCCCTGCAAGCGACATGAGAGCTTGGAATTCAGTGCTTCCCGTAGCCTCAGAACCTGGTTTTCTACGTGCCTCTTGCCCTTCGTGCCCAACAATGGCAGCATCTTGCTCGGGGTGCCGCATTCTTGTGAGCGCAGCTCTTGCCTCGCAAGAGCTCAAAGGCGAATGCGCCAACAGGGTGGGCTTGCTGTGGACGGGGGTGAACAATGGTGAAAGTGCACTCGATCCGTATGCCCTCACCTCACGATGTCCCACACATGCAGGCGGTAGTTTGGTGAGGGTCTTGGCTGCGGCCAGTCCTGCGACCAGTCGGTGCGAAGCTCGAAGTCTATTCGACCACCGCGACCACCCGTGCCTTCGCGACCACCGCACTGACGGAGATGTGATATATGGACACAAGGATTGCCCTAATCCATCTGTGACAACTGTGACAGACGCATCAATGCGCAGCATCAACAGTTAGATGAGATCATCCCAAATTGAGTTTCAAAGGTTTGGATCCACGAACATGTTGGATCAATTTCTTTCGCCCGGGTTCCTTCAACATTGCATGATTCTGTGACGAGCGCGGCCAGCTGGTCTCATTGGCCCACGGGTCTGAAGCCTCCTGCCAATCCTGGCGCAGGAAACCACCGTTCCGAGCCGATGAACAGATGAGCCAGTCGGCTTTCGACCCACCAAACCTGGGAATATGTATGGTTCTTCGGTATCCATTTCATTCCCCTCCTATCCTCTGAACTTGCACCAGCCTCCCTACTTCAATAAATAAGTGTCCGGATTGCCAACGACCAACAGTTTGGGAGCCCTTGGCGCTGGTGACCTAGTGACCAAGCACTTCCCCCTGCGTTTCAACAGCTGAGCATCCAAAAAAAACGCTCCTGAATCGTCTGCACTCGCGACTGTTGTATAGGATCCGGCTTCTTCTCTTCCTGGACCGGTCACAGTTCACAGGGTTCCACTCAGAAAGCCAAAACAGAAGGACATGAAGAGGGTCGAATCAGTCCAGGTGGGGGCAGGGTGTTTTGCTATTTGTCTTCTCTCTTTTTTTTTCGGCCTCCAAGTACTTGAGCGGCCCACGCTCCGTGATATTCCACTTGATGAGCTCCTGGAGGTGACCAAAGTGCCACACGAGGTCAACCCAAAAGAAGGCGGAGCATGCCGAGGGGCTGCTTAATGGTCGGAGAGCCTGATGCGACGGACATGTGAAGGCTGGAATCAACGGGATGATGATGCTCCCTGGATACTGTTGGATAGCCCTACTCATCCACTTTGAGACTTTGAGACATGGAAGCCGAGTAAGATCGCCCGAACTGCATGGACCGAAGCTGTTCCACCATGATGGCCTTTGGGGGCAACATGTAGGCTGCTGATAAATTTAAGTCTAAAAAAGGACAGATTACCCACCCTTTTTGCACTCAGATCGGCATGGAACTTTTTGAGGTGCAGCACTTCAGAACTCCTTCAGCTTGGACTTTTGCTCGATCCGCTTCTTGCCTTCTGCTGTCTTCTGCTTGAAGCCTTTTTCGCTGCAGTCATCAGGGTTGAAAAAAGGACCCTTGCAAATCAAACATTAAAACAATAAACACACACACACACACAAAATGCATTTAGCAGTCAACATCCCAAAAAGGATTCAAGTCTGGCATGGTTGATTTATATAGTTGCTTGGTTGGCTGGCTGGTCGCATGCCTTGCAATTTGTTGAGCATCTCATCATGGCGTATGCCTTCTTGCAGCCGCTTCTCGCGGACTATTCGAACGCGATCGTGCCATCCCTGGCAGGTCAATCACTACTCTGGAGCCCTTGCGAAGCCACCCACGCACTCTGACGCCTGCACCACCCGCCGAATGAGCTCATTGTCTGGCAAGTTGTTCATGCCTCGTAGCATCTCGTAGCTATTGGTGCACCCAGTCAAGACTCTGTCCAAACTCAGTCATTTAGCCGCACTGAGTCTGCGACCCAAAGCCCCAGCCAACTCTCCCTGATAGCGTTGCCAAACGCCTCGCGGATTCGATCCGATCGAAGACGACCAGGTCCACCCCTTTCGCCCAGGTCCCCGTTTGAAGAGCCGATGGCCTCGCCTTTCCGGACCGCGACCCGGTCCAACATCTCGCGCAACTCGTTGGCCTCGCGCTTCTGCGCTTTCAGCAGCTTCTGATGCGCTGCTTTGGAGGGATACTGCTCCAGTGCATGGAGATAGGAGGAACCTCACAGGAAAAGGAGGACGTGCTTCTACAGCGCAAGAACAATGATGTTGATGTTAGATCTCTCTATTGTCTGCGTTCCTCATGGTCCTCACTTGTCGGCTGTGGCACGAGAGAGTGAGAGGATATGGGAAACGGTCATGGCCACCAGCGTGCCCATGTATTGCCTCGAAAGCCTGAGCGCCATCTGGTTCCCTCAACGATCAATTCTGGTTGCTACGTCGGCAAACCGTTCCTGGGGAAAACGGTTCGGCTCGGCCTATCCGAAAAAACAGGATGAACTGCTCTGGGAGTGGTTTAGAAAAGGAAAAGGTACGGGGGAACAAGGGATGTGCTAGCCTGGGGGGAAAACTACCCACCACATAAATTACACCATATGTATCTGTATCCATATGTATGCCGTTTTACTTGCTTACAGTCGGATTTGCAGGCAGCGGAGAAGCGCCCCCTGCCCTCTTTCTCAGGCAAGGAGCCCCAGCATATTGTCACATCCAAAATGCATGCCAGGCAAATACATCTTCACACGAAAACCCTTTTTCTGCAGCATGACTGGCCCTGAGTTCATGATCCAAAGCTTGTCTCCCGTCTCACCCTCTCGCGTCGGCGTATAGTCCGGGAAGAAGGCGTGTCTCTCACAGTAGAGCCCCAGGAGATTGCGAAACTTCCGGTCAAAGGACTTGAACAGAGGCAAATTCATCATGCGTCCTGGCACGGTCAAGTCCAAGTTCTGGACGATGACAGTGCTGAAGAGCTGCCGCCTCGCGAAAGAAACGGACCAAGTTCTCCCGACGTGCAAAGAACGAATATAAAATGCCCTTCCGGACCCTCAAACACAAGGGTTTGAGGGTACAAACCCCTGTTTTAGAGGGTTCGACCCCTAGGATGCTTAGGGTGATAGACCAATCATGATGAGATGAATACTTGGAACGCGCAGTGCATTTTGGCTCCCAAACATCGCGGTCGGGCGGTCGACTTCTGAGGCCCTCGCTCTTCAGGAAAATGATCCAAGATCAGCATCGCTCTCTCTTGGGTGACCTCCCAGAAAACGCAGAGCGTCGAGGCCTGAATGCTGGCCTTGGAGACGTGGAGAATTTCATGACATGGGAGCACCAAAACGCGTGTGAAAGCCTTGATCTGAGTTGGAAAAGGAAACATATAGATTAAGTTATATAAGTATAAATATTTAAATAGATGTGATGAAACCTATTCTTTGGGCGCCCCTCATTTTAGATCATTTTGGGACCACTTTGAGCCAGGCATCAGATCTCGTCTGCGAAATCCCCAGCATGGCCAACTCACCAGCAATTGCCCCTGGAGCCAAATGCCCCACTCGAATCATCTGTTTAATCTTCTTCGGCTCATTCTTCCTTGGGTGCCAGAAGATGCGAATGTCGCGCAGTGAAGGAAGAGGTCTGAGCTCCTTCTAAGATCCACTACAGCATCTCCAAATGCAGACGGTCTGAAAACGAGAAACAGCTGAGGTAAAGAAGAAATCACTGCCCACAGCGCCATACGGTGCCCACCTGGCCGAGCATCTTTGATGTATCTGCTTTGTCCTGCTTGTCCTTGCTTTTGTCACTCACCTTGCTTGGTCAAAGGGGAACCTTATGAAACATCATGAAGCCGAATCATAAAAAGCACGTCAGTCACGTCGGTCAAAATGCCAACGAAGCAGCGTATACATCCGCGTTGCCATTCAACAATATGTACATGGAATTCCCAACTTCACCTGCCAACCACAGCTTCTCTGCTCTCAACTGACCTGTCAAATTGCTCCACCAGAAAGGCCTTCGTTCACAACAAGGTCACCCGGCATGAAAATCCGGTCAACCGCTGAATTCGCCAGCTCTATCACAAAGTCGGGGTGAGTGTTGTTGAAGAAAGGTGAGTTCCTCAGGTGCAACGCAACTCAAGAGCATCGTGTTCCAGAAACGTCCACACCAAGAGCCGAAAAACGGAACTGACAGCGTGCCAAGCGTCTGTATTCTATCGATCAGATCTGACATATCCGTCTCCTTGCCCCAAAAAAGCCGCGACATACCGCGAATGATCGTTCGACCGGCCCCATGCCTGGCCACCATTCGACAAGGTCAGGACCTGGGCCAGCACGAGTGCCAACGACTTCCCCTCGTCCCGTCGAGTGGAAAACAACACCATCTGGTGGGCCCTGCATTGGCAATTACTGTTGGAATGCGAATCTGGGATCTGGAAACGCAGAGTTAAACAAGGGATATTAGAGAAGAAGGTACACACCAGGCACAGTAAGGAAGTTAGGGAGACAAGCTTGACTCGGACTCAGGCTCACAACATCAGACCGAACGTTGTGAGGTATTTTCAGGAGTTCAACGAACAACTCCACGCACACACACCGTTAGCCGTTAGCTGCCAAGCTTTCTTCCACAAGGTCTAAATCTCTGTTCGGCACCTGGGAGCCTGGGGGCCTCAAATCTGCTGACGGCCAGTGTTCCACAACATACCGTGGGACCCACCAGGCCTTCATGCGCTGATCAGGGAAGAGCTCCAGAGCGCGCACGACGACGGCCTGGTGAAGCAGTTGGCAGCTGCAATGCTCAACGGCCACCACCTGGCCACAGGCGTCGTCTCGAGAAATGACCTCATAGCGTCCTTGCTACGTTCGTAGATACGTTCGTAGCTTCTTGCTAATTACGTTCGTAGCGATGGCCTCCAACCTACTTGCGATGGCCTCCACCTAATAGCGTCCTTGCTCTCCTATGCTTTCTCACGGCTTGCACAAAGTGTTCACCATGTTTTTCATGAAGTCCTTGGTGACCGAAGGAGGCTCCGGTGCCTCAGCGATGACGGCTGCGCGTCAAACCCGCACCTTCTTCACCCGCTCAGGCCGCGGAGCGACCCCCAAAGCGGCCATCATGCCAAAGGTGGTGCTGGACGAGAGGGTCCGGATGCGCTCCTGGGGCGTCCCAACCATGGCCACCAGGACGTCTCACGTGACCAGCCCGGGCGTTTCTGTTCATGTTCAAGTTGTTTCAAGTCTTTGGTCTCCAGCAATTTTCGTCTGAATCTGGCTCAAAGCACTGAGGACTCTGTCAACCTTTTACCCCCGTGCTTGGCAAAGGCTCATCTTCTGCGACCGTGGATGCAAGGCCACTGGTCACGATGTGCATCACTCGGGTGCCAGCTGGCACTTCGAAGTCGCAAATGGTTTTGCCTGGAAAACATGTCAAGCACTGGTGCTGTATCCGGGACCACCCGAACCAAGACCAACCCGAAAACGTCGATTCAAAACCAAACCCCGCAGATTCTGGCCTTGCAAATAAATTCGAGGTTCGAAATGTTCTTCGAGATATTGCAGAAATTCCTGACCTTGCGAAGTCAAATCAAGTGTGAACATCCTGAGGGGTGGGGGTCTCACCTGCACTATTGCTGACAGGTCGCTGCAACCGGCTTCATCAAAAATATTGAGCACACGAAGTCGCGCATGAGCCACCCTCCCTGTGGGCGGGTGTTCTCGCTTCGATGGCCCCTCTTTCGGCGTTTTTCATTGGGAGGAGACCCCCCAAAAAAAGCTCCGGGGAAAAAAAACATAAAACACTGAATTTGGAATATGATGTCTGCCTCTGTTGAGAGCACACGTCAAAAACATCTCAAACTCATTCACACTCCAATGAACCCAGTGCTTCTGCACTCCACCCAGCTCCGCCCCCTCCGCCTGGATCCGTGAAGAGGCTGGCCAGCTCCCAAAGAAGACTGTCACGTTCGCCACGTTCACCCGAAGTGAAGGCTTTGGTCAGGGATGTGTGGGGCAGTAACCAGCAGTGGCATTCCTCAGCCATCGCGGCGCGCTGGGGCGGAGGAGAGGAGCCCGGCGCTGGGCGGCAACGGCGGCGTCACGAAACGCCAAGGCTCGGCATCTGCTTTGATGGTACTGACCCTCTGCTCAGCGAGACCCAGAAACTCCAAGTCATTGAAAACCTTGGGCAGTTGAAGAGCCGTTTTGGTGAGCACATGGGCGCATCTCATCATGGTCCAAGTTTGCCCCCAGAAATGACCCCGCAACTGGTGCATGTGTGGGAAAAGACTCGGTGGAGCGAGAAGCTGCAGGGTGGAGCGCATCATCTGGGCTGATCATATCCATTTCCATACCCTCCCTCTGCGAAAGTCCACGCAAGCTCTCGCCTCGCCGTTCCACCCGTATCGTGCGGCCTGGCGTCCGGACAAGGCTCGATCACACTTCGGCCGTCGCATGGAAACTACCAGGGCTTGCGCTATGTTGATTCTGTGGTAAGGCAAGAACGACGTTTTCCTCTTTTTGAGTGCCCATTCCCTCGGCCAGAGATGGTCCTAGAAAGACCATCATCGGAAGCCCCATTCCCTCCGCCTGCTATGTCAATGCTGACTGCTCCCCGAGCCAAGAGTACCAGATCTTGCTGCGCGGTGTCCTCGGACAAGATGATTTCGCCCGGGAAGAAGATGCGGCGCAGCATGCTATCTCGGAAGGTCTGGCGGGCGGCTAAGGCGAAGGCGTCGCAGTCCAAGTGAGTCCCGTCCAGTGTGTCTGCTGGAGGCTCCAGGTGGCCACAGAAATTAACCGGTGATAAAAGTCATGGACACATACCAGGATCATCCAATGGGTGTCCAATAGACTACCCTACCCTACTTACAGCAGGTCTCCATTGGGCACCCGTTGGAAGTGCTAGGTATGAAAATCATATGGCATCAAATTGTCAAAGCTTCTGGCCTCCCAAGCAGACTCAGAGATGCCAGCAAAGAGAGGTATTTGGAGCATCCGCTCTGAAGTGAGAAGGTGTACATGCGGAGGCTGGGATAAGTACCTGGCTGATCATGTGAGTCACTAGATAGGAAGTGGCATCATCTCAAAATGAGGGGAACCCCCTGCACGCATCTCCTGCGCAGGTTCTTTCATACCAAGTTGCGGATTCAGCAGCTCTTTGTCTGCCGGATAATCTTTCAGAACCGTGAGCAGGTCCTCCCTGCTGATTTCACAAACCATGCCTGTTGCACGTGTTGCAACTGCAACAAGATTCCCATGCAAGAAAACTGCCTATCATTGCCTCGGTCGCTTTCAAGGCTTGTCTTAGCACATCGGACTGACCCTTCCCACTGCTCTGAACAAGAGTGCCTTTCCGTCAAGGCACTTAGGCTTGATGACACGAGTTGCACCGGCCAATAGTCTTCAACGGCCAAGAAAAGGGTCTCGCCCAAGTGATCGCCCTTCCTGGTCGAGGCAACGAAAACTCCCAGCCGCCCAGCACTGCGCTTTCTAAATCGCCAAGCGGCCGAAGCTGCAAAATGCACCTGGGAGGAGAAGAACCAAACCCCCTAAAGTCAGAGGGCAGATGCGCAAAAACTCAACAAACATGGTACATCAGAAATCTCCCTATGGGCTCCCTGTTTGGGGGGTCATCGATCCTCGGATCGAAAGGGCGTCTCAGCACCCCCACTCATCGCCCAGGCGAACATCCACTGTACCTCTGAGCACAATCAGGATCGCATCCGACTGGTCGCCCTTGGCATGGATCGCCTGGTTCCGCGGACCAATTCGGCGTCGGTGTCACCACATGTCACCCAATTTCGCCCGGGTTCCGGGCGTGGACGCCACCAAACTGCCAATCCATCTGCGTCTGTCTCGATCCGGTCTCCCATTAGTCTCCACCAAGGCGCCAACTGCTCGCCACACATGATGCTTTGGGCCGCCTGACTGAGGTCAGCTAAGAGTTCTTGGCTACAGCCGGTGAACCTCGGAGGCTGGAGACACATGTATTCCAAACACTGAGGAATAAGCCTAAAACCAATCTAAGAGTCCTGTGTATATTAATCTAAGGCTGTTAGATCTGCAAAGGTGCATGCAGCAGCATCCAATCGACTCCAAAAACAGCTAGTCTTGCAAACAGGTGTCATTTGCAACTTGCCCAGCTCCGTTTCGACGGCCAAAGTCGACATGCCACCGACAGAACCTCTTCGAGTCCCTTCCGTCTCGCCCGAATACAACGAGGTCACCCTTCGCTTCGAGGCACCACCTCGACCGCACCGGTGGCGAACAGCGAACACCAGCGACTTCTCTCTGCGTCTATGATTTGAACTGCCAGTCCCGGAGGTTTCTCAGTGATCGCAGAAAAAAGGCACGTGCGCGCCATGAGAAAAACGATCACTTGCTGCACAACACAACGTCACACCATACGTACGCGCTGAAACGCGTTCTCCGAACCTCTGGGAGAGTCGCCGGGCCGCAGCTCACCCACTTCATCTCCGTCATCGTCGACATCATCAGAATCGACACTATCTCGACGCTGGTGGATACTTCTTAGCATGACATCAGCCAGTGTAGTCACAAGTAGTGGTGAAAGTCAGGCTTTAGGCCTGAAGAAATCCCGCTCACAGTCCAATCACCCAAATCAGTAACCCTTGGCATTTGAGCTTGCAAAGCAACCCCCCAAAAAAGAAAACACACACACGCATACATTGCGCCAGCATTGGCACCAGATAGCAAAAACGCTTCTATTGGCAGCACAGTGTCGCGGCACTCTGCAGCGCCCTCCAGCAGCACCACCACCCAAGCTCCAAAGCGCTAACGGCCGCAGCGGCACCAGCACCCAAGCTCCCAAGCGCACACGGCAGCAGGATCCTGCAGTGGCACCAGCACCCAAGCTTCAAAGCGCACACAGCAGCCACCCAAGCTCCCAAGTGCACACAGACAGCAGCGGCACCAGCACCCAAGCTCCCAAGTGCGCACACGCACCTCTCCCTATGCTTGAAGTAAGAACCCCAATACCTCACGCTATCTGGGTGAAAAACACCGGACTACTTCTTGTGGTCTTGCTATCAAGGCTCTTCCGCACCGCGGCCATGCTCTTCCTGGCTCTGACATGTCTTTTTCTCAATTGGGGGGACCCCCCGCCAATAGATACTTACCGCAAGAGACTTACCCTCCAACTCGCTAAAATTGGCCTTTGGGAACAGGGTGGTTTCCGCTTCCAGGCTAGATACCAATACCGGCATCCAGGAGTTAAAAACATGGTGATCAACGAAACAGTCGGTCATCTGCCAGTCACATTTGTGATATGAAAGGGTGCTCGTTTGATCTGGTTTGACCATGAAGTAGCAATAGTAATGTATTGTATACTGTACAGGATTGTACAGGTATGTCGTGGGCACATGCTTGAAGCACATATACAAAGAGAGAGAGAGAGAGAGGGGTGCGGGGCAAGAGCACCTGCAGCACAGACCAAATACTTCTCGTTTTCCTTGATGGGTGGCGCTCCTGCCATCTCCAGGGAAGATCGAAGCGCGGCCGTGGCCCTCCATGAGGCCTGAGAAGGAAAACCGCCACGTGTCACGTCACATAACCAAATGGCTGGCCTAGGCCGACGAGAAAACGGGCATCGAACACATGCTTGAGCCTGATGCAAGCATTTAGGCAATGTCCCCAAAAGGTCGCTGTTGGAGAGATTTTGCCAATGTGCATGTCCACCACGGTAAAATGTAAATTATTTGGAACAGTACAACTGTACTTCGCGATGAGGGTTTGCCAAGCCCTGCTTGACTGACAGATTGGCTTTGCCATGTGCAAGGGTCACCAAGAGTCTTTTGGTCGCTCCAGAATTCGATCGATGTCCCTATTGGTGTCACAAGCCTTTTGCTCATGAGTGGCACGGGCTCTCAATCCAGGCCCCTGCGCCTTTGACGATCAGGACTGGACTAAACTGCCCAACAGATCGGTGCGCGCAATTCGTGCATGATCTGTGGCCCATGTTAACGAAGATGAGGTGAAATCAGGAGGCGCTGGATTCCAGCGCCCATTCCGTCTTTCGCTTAGCCGAGCATGGACTTGCGGGATGCTTCAGTGGCGGCCACCAGTTTCTTGAGGCGGTCGGTCTGGACGGGCTTTTCGCTCGCAAGGAAGCACCAAACAAAACGCACTCGTGTTGCGAAGCAATGGAGCAGACTCATATTTGGTATATGATGATATGTGTATAGTTGCTCACAGCCATGGCGTTTCGTGTCTCGCGGGTGGCCAAGTGAAAAGCTCCAAAAAGATTCGAGAACACATCGATAGTGAATTGATAGTAGATGGCACAATCCTCAAAAAGTAGTTTATGTTATATGGAGCCCCATCTAAAGGACATCTTGAGGTTTGTGCCATACTACCCAGAAACCACTGTAAGCAAAGCAGAAAAGATCTGGTCACAGCCGCTGGCCTTGGTCTCCCGTGACTCGAAGCTCACGGCTGGTACCTGGACGCTCCCCTCTAGGCCAGAATCGCTGTCGCCTCAAGGACGGAATTGCCCTGAAAACCCCCCCAAAAAAGCATCAGTGAAATCATGTTTTAAAAGCATCACCCCTTAGATGAATCCTGCATCAACTGAGGCTTCCGCTGTCGTCGCTTTGTCCCATTGGCTTCTGGCGACCTGGAGTTTGGCTTGATTTCTACAGCACAAACTCCAGGCCTGCCCCACACGAGCCCACCTGTCCGCTTGACCCCCTCCAGCATTGGCAATAATCGGCAATCTTTGCCAGGAGGCTGCGTTAGCTCCTTTTCACGGAAAGGCCGAATGATGTGCGGTGCAATTGGTCTAAAGAGAATGAATCATGTCTGGCGCCAGCCTGGCCCATCACTCCCCACACTTTCCTGGGCAACTTGGCTTTTGGGGAGAAATGGCTTGCAATGTGTTCCTTTTGCAAGCCAATCTCGCCATCCGAATGCGCTCAACAATCGGTGGAGACCAGAAGGAAAGGCCATACAGGCGTGTGTATATATATATATGCATATATGTATATTATACAGGGGTTTCAGAGTAGATTCACAACCCCCAAAAGGTTGCTGACATGGACCCCTGTATAAAAGACATCTTGGGGGTTCTGTCATCTACTCTGAAACCACTGCACCTAAAGTGAAATTTTTGTACAATGCATGTCCAATTTGCCGTCTTGCTGCAGACTATAATGCGGAGAAGGCCGCGGCGATGGCCATGCCTTCAGAATCGACACCAGCTCCTGCCAGCTGGTGCAAGGCTTCAAAGCAGTGAAGCCCAAAGAAAAAGAAGCCATCAACCCCACTAGCGTGCGTCGTATTTTCTGTACCTAAACACGTGTCACGTGTCAATCCTCAACCCTCCAAACCCACTTTGCCGCTCCTGAGTTTGCTTCTTCGGCAGCCTGGGCAAGCTGGGTCGGGTGTCCTGGTCCAAGTATTCCAGCGGCCCACGCTCCGTGACATTCTTGTGCAAGAGTTCTTTCCTTAGAGAAAATTCCAAGATGAGTTTCTAAGGTCTTGCTTTGGCCAACTTGTCTTCGCGTGTTAAAAATTGCACCTTTGGTAGGTCGGTATCTCCCTTCCTTCTTCCACCTCCTTCCTTCCAAGGTGCTCACGTCTCTTCTGTGCGGCCTTTTTGAAGTTGGCCTCGTTTTTCACCCGCCAATTCTCAATCATCTCCTCAACCTCTTGCCGCCGCCGAGCTCGCTCCATCCTGACGCCCGGGATGGTGTTCTGGCGCCCGCAGGACCACCAAACAGCTGAACACCAAAATGCTTCTCCCCGGGATTCGGAAATGAATGCTTAAGCTGATCAAGAATCGGACTGATGGGACCTTCAGGAGGCCGCACAAAAAGAAGTGGGCCACCCCTTCATACAGCTTCCCGCCCTGCCTGGTGGTCCTGATCTCGCGCACGGTCTCATGCCAAGCCTTGACGAAGCGCTGCATCAGGTCCTGCTCGTTCAGGAAGAGCACGTTGCTCTTCAGTCGGACCTCACCTTGGTCGAGGTGAGGCCAACGAACTTGAGATCTGGGATCCATAGAAACCCTCTTCGCAGTTCAGCTGCCTGAATCTGAATCTGAGTCAAGTCTCAACTGCCTTGATATCTCTGCCATATGCCTTTTCGGATGGTAATCCTCTCAGGCACTGCATGCATGAAGCGCCTTAGGCTGTCCTTTTTCTGGTAGTTCATCGATGTGCTTTTAGGTCCCTGTCCTTTGGATGGCCTGTCGCAAGTCCTTGGCCTCCGCTCGCTGCTGTCGCAGCAGTTGTTGATTGGCCTTTGTGGAGGGATACTGTTCCAATGCCTCAGAGAGGTGTCTGCTTTCGATCTGGTTTGTTGAGCCAAGGCATGCAGCTCAACTCAGGCGAGGACCAACACATAAGAGCTTCGAGATACGGCTAGCACATGGCATACAGACATGGCAATCAAAGTGCCGCAATAGGTCCTGAGCAATGCAGGAGGAAAGATCTTCCAACCTGGAATCTTTGCCAAGCCACCTATTGATCCCAAGCATGTGGTCGCAGCCAAATTGTGAGCCAGGAGAGAAGGTCTTTACCTCATCCGGCTTTGGGAACTCATGCTTTCATGCACAGAGAGGAAGAGAAAGAGAGAGAGAGAGAAGTACATTCCACAAGAAACATCCAATTGATCTTTCAACTGATGCCATGCTCCATGCAGAGAGAGCACCGCATAGCCTCTCTTCTGCAAAACGGCCTCCGCTGGACAGGTGTTTTGGGAACTCGTTCCGTGAATGTCGTGCCAATTTTACCTGGGGCACCCACTGGCCCCAAGTTGATAATGAAGCACTTGTCGCCAACCTGCAGCCACTCAGCTTAGCACACCGGACGATCCGAGCTCAAAAGTCAATGTGGCGCACCTCGCCCTCCTTGATGATTTGCTGATCAGGGAAGAAGGCATACCTTTCGCAGTACAACCTCAGCAACCAGCAATGGATGCCTTACTTCTTAGATTGCGCAGCCCCAAAAACGGCGTCGTCAATGGGCATCCATATGCGGTTTACAATTTACCAGGACCATGTGAAAAACTTGTGCCGAGGTGTTCTGAGGGAGAAGCGTGAGGAGCATGCGAAACTTGCGATCAAAGGCTTTGAGCAACGGAAGCTGGAGCAGCCTTTAGATGCGAACTCGGGCAAGAACTTGCAGAACATGGAGGTTCAAGATTCCTGCCATTCACAATGATGTGAGCCAATGTAACCCTGTCTCGGCCTCGAGGGAACGCTGCTGTCCAGGTTCCGAGTAATCACCTCAGTTCCACGTCCGCGAAGTTCACCGCCTCGCGTTGTTTTTCAGGGGCGACTCCGGTCCGAGCCACCGCTCCAAAGAGCTCCCTCTCCTGTGGATAGCGGTCCAGAATGGCCATCGCCTTTTCCTCGGCCACGAGAGGAAGCAAGTTGCACCAGCGCGGCGACCGTCGCGCGGTGCGCGTTGGTGCCCAAACATTCGAGAAAAGGTGGAGTGGCACACAACGGACGAGCTCGCGTTTTCGCCAGACGAGTTGGCATGTTCGCTACTAGTAGCTTCTTGTTACTAGTAGCGATGGCCTCCAACCTACTTGCGATAGCCGCCACCTAATAGCAACCTCGTTCGACGTTCCGTTTGGGGTTGGCCTGCAAGACCTCCCACATGATACACAACGTCGACGCCAGGATGGTCGCTGAGCGAGTCGGAGTAATCCCCAGCATGGCTAACTCCCCACCTCGGCGGATCTCGTCGGATTTACAGCTCTCACAGCCCAAATTGCCAATAAAATCAGATGGATCAAGGCATATCAAGGCACAAATAGCTCCAGGAGATAGATGACTTACTCGACTCATATGCTTGGCCTTGGGAAAAGTGTTTGTTCCCTGTGACGCTTCACGCTTGGCTGTGGCCATGGCAGGCTTGGTGATCCTCTCCCTGGCTAGTTGCCTTGGGAGTTCAAGCCTTACCTTTAAGCTTCTCCAACTCACTGCAAGAGTGAATGTGCTCTAAGTTTGTCCAATGTGTGGACTGCTGTGGCCCCAACGGATCTTCGTTCTTGATATCACTAACATAGACATCCGCGGTGCCTGTAGCACACAAAAGTACATGATTCCAACTTCTGGCAAACAAGCATCCGAACAAAATGCTCTCCCACAATGCACCCTGCCTGACACAACGATAAACATAGAGTACTCCACTGCACCCTGGTGCATAATAGCATCTCCTCACGGCGTCTTCAACCATCGGCCATCCCCACCAGCCCCTCCGGACGGCCTCGGTGCCTAGATCAAATCAGTAGCGGCCAGGGTGGGCCAAAACACTAACCCACAGGCGGACTGAACATCCAACAAAAAGCGCTGCTAGCTATGGCCATCACCCCGACTCTTTCACCCCAAAGGCTACGGCATCCCCGTGGCCCACCTGGCATGAAGATGCGGTCCACGGCCGAAGAGGCCAACTCCCGGACGAACTCTTGAGACCTGCGGGGCCCGGTAGACCGCCCCGGACACTCCGTGGCCAGGAGAAGCCGGTCCAACACGCGACACATCGCCAAAAGCCGAGCACATATTGGAAAAGATCCGGGAGTTGGCCACAATCTCCACGAAGTCGATGGAGTTTCCTGCTACGGAGTTGGTCCAAAAAACCACCAAGGAACTCAACTAACATGTATTTGACCACCACGTCACTACTGGGTTCCCCTTACATTCTCTCTCTGGCCTCCACCCTTTTTGTCTTGGTCAAACATCAGAATCTTCGGGCGCTGGTCATGGTAGATCTCCAATGCTCGAACCACCACATCCTGGTGCAAGACCTGTCGATGACAAGCTGCGAAAGCTGATGGGATGGGTGACATGAGCAAATACGTCTTATGTGCAAAACTGCATCAATCACCCTCTGTCTTCATATCATGTTGCTCCCGGCTTATGATCATGGGCAGCAGCTCGAGACTCTCAGCGAGTAGATTTAGTAAACCACAAAATCCTTTGCCAAACATGTCAACACCTCTCCAACTGCATGGAAAAGCTGCCTTCATGCCAGCTATTTTTATATTACTATAATGCTATATTCAGATTATATGCGTACAATAAAAGAAGATATATATATATATATACACACCTATGTATAATGTTTGAAGCCTTCAAGCCCCTGGCTCCTCCCTTGGAACGCCATGGTTTACGAGGAAAACGGTGACTGCCTCTACACAGCAGTGCTCCGCGGCAATGAAGGCAATGGCGCCCACGGGCCGTGGCCGCAGATTCAGCGCGGACATCCGACCGTAGACGCCGTTGGGGCCCAAACTCGGGAGCTCCTCGCCGGCGCCCCGTGCAGCTTGAGGGGGCGAATGATGCCCGGAGGCGGGTTTACCACATGTGCTAAAGCTTCTGGCTCATAAAACCGTAAGAGCAACTAGCAACCTGATTGGTAGTGCTACCACCCAATTGTTCCCAGTTCCTGATCCGTCCAGTGATTCTAAAGCCGGTCTGTTAGACACACTGAAGAGTCATCAGAAGTCCATAAGTTCAAACTCACCCATGTGCTCCTTGCCCTGCATTCCTCTTACAAGCACAGAGCCTGTCATCACCATCTGAAGTGATCTTGACCCCGAGTCACGGCTTAGATCACACATCTTCCTGGGTCTTGGTCTGTGACAAGCGATGAGACAAGCGGATGGCAGATGGAGACTCTTTTTCATCAGCTGGTGGAGACTTGAATGGATACTTGGAGCCAAGACTCTTGCCCTTCGGATACAGCCTGGCTTCCAAATGCCCTGCAAGAAACCTGCCACGTTTATCACAAGAAGTCCCCTCTCACCGGCCCTCGCCCCAACCAATTCAAGAGCTTTTCGTGTGGTTCGATCAGCTTCCCTGATCTGAGGCCAAGGGACTGGAGAAACTGCGGGCTACATTGAGTCGCCACAAAGTCTTGGAGCACGCTCGCTTGCTCGTTCCACGAGGTGATCACAGTGCTTTGGTACATTTGCATCAGCAAACTGCCTCGGGAGTGACCAACAACAAACCACCAGTCCACGCGAAGGACTAGTGACTAGTGTTCAGTAAGGTGTTCTGGACCGCTTTTCCCCGACTCCGTTCGAAAATGCGCCACGAGATGCCTTGTAACTGAGCATTCTCCTGGACTATGTAAGGCACCATCTCGCGATTTAGCACCCTACAACAGCGTGTGAGCATCTCACCAACATGAACTCTCAAAACCATGAAGTTGCAAATCTAATGCGAACATGTCCCCCTCTCTCTGTCAGCACACCGGCATGTGTCAGGTCTCTTTTCTGCGACACCTACATCCGACATGGGCGCCTGCAAATGCATGGGGTTAGAGCCTTCACCGCCATCTTCCGCACAGGGCTCAAGCCCAAGAACTCCAGCTCGCCAAAGCACGCGGGTCGGTCGTCCTCCTCCTCCTCTTTCTCCTCCTGCTGGCTGCTGCTCCAAAGCGGTTCTGCAAGTCATGTCGCGGCGTCCAAAGGAAAAAACTGCAAAGGCGGGGCTCGGCTTGTCCAAGAACATTCATGAGTCCGTAAGTCTTGTCATGTCGTAAGTCTTGTCTTGACTGTATAAGCAGGTTATTGCACCTGGCTTAGTTTGACGAACGGCGCAAGTCCGGATTGCACCTCGCGCCGAGTTTCCGCTCTTCTTTCATAGCTCTCCTGCAGGCAAGAAGAACAAAGGCGGAAGAAAAACGGTCCGTTGCAGTGGGCCAAAGTCCAACACCGCCTGACGCCTGACCGACCAAGTCCCTGTCGTCCGCCCCTGCCGTCCATCCCACCAGACCTTCTTCATGCCCTTGCTCTCGGTGCGCACGGTGCGTCCAGCGATCTCCAAGGCTCCCATGCCATCTTGTAGCAAGACCAGTTCTTTGCTGTCAGGTCCATCTTGCAACACCTGAGTTGGTGGATAGGCAGAAACAACACTTGTTCATTGAAAGAGACGAAAGGTGCTTGGCACCTCACCCGGGCTGGACCTGAAAGCCAAACCTCAAGTAAACCATGAGGACCTGGCTTCGGACACCGAGAGACGCGGGGCGGGCGCCGCGGCCGAGTCACCGTCTCTCCGGGGAAGAAGACGCGTCGTAGCATGTGTTCATCGAACGATTCCAGCCTCGGAGATGGGTCCGAGGCGGATCCGGGAGGTTCGTGGATTTCCTCTGAGTCTGAAGGTTGCTTTTTGGGGCAAGCATGGGGAAGCTAAGCTATCCTATCATATCCTTGGAGAATCCCTTCACGTTCTTGAGCTTGCACCCAAATGGTCACGTTGCTTGCACGTTGCTTGCACGTTGCTTGCGGAAGCTCACACAGAAAGGAGCCAGGCCACATCTTGGGGGATGATCCAGTGAAAATATCACAAGTCGCAGTCCTTGTTCCTGAGAATAACTGCTCCAATGTCACATCGAAGAATGTCCTGGGTGCAATCCGCTGCCAGAAATCTACCAGATCTACCAGACTAGAAGATCTAGAAGTCCGGAGTGTCAGTTACTCTGTTCTACACCCTATATAATGAAACAAACACGTCTGCACCCGCTTTGTCTCCACAGGCATCTATCCAGCTGTCCAAGCCCATCACAGCCCATCACGGCCAGCTGTGCATCAAACAATGAGCTAAAAATGGATCCAACCTTTTGTGCCTCCATCTGGTTTCCAGAGCCTTCCCAATTCCAATTCAGATCAGGCACTCAAATTGCTTCATCTCCATTGGAAATTCCTGGCATATTCTCATGTCAAGGCAAGTCCAGCCTGCAGTCTTCAACCTACGCCCAAGAATCCAAGGAATCACGGCCTCCAAGAGACTGCGGAATGAATCACGGCGAATCTCGATGATCATACCTTACATGGAAAAAACACATGGGGAAAGAATCATGGGTCACAGAGTCACAGGCTTTGCTTTTTTGTCCCCCCAACGGTTTGCGCGGAAAGAACATCGACTTAGGTCCACCCTACGGCATGTCCAGAGACCGAAGTGGTTGATCTTGCGAGCGTGGTTTGGCCCCATCTCCGGCAAGGTGCTGGAAGAGGAAGAGACCAGGGAAACGCGCCAGACCTGCTCCAAGCCAAGCAGCATCGTTTCGCCATAGTGGTCGCCCTGCTTCATATTCCTGAATCCAATTATATACGCGAAAAGAGCAACAATCGGAACTCACAAAAAGAGCACACTGGCAAGGGAATGGATTCCAAGACACATCAAGACCTCGCCCTGGCAAAAACTTGCATCAATCGGAGAATCCAGTGAAACCCCACCCGATGGCGGACCCGACGGAGCCAGGTCACCACGTCTCACCAGGCCTTCTTCAAGACTTGAGCCGTTCCCCTGGTGAGCACGATCATACTCTTGCCCGCTTCGCCAGCCTGAAGAGACCCGAGACATCTCTTCCCGACGCGTCAGGCTATGAACCTGACGTCCGATATCTGCCCGTACCTCATGGATCGGCTGACCTTCAGAGAAGGCCTTGGTGGTTTCCGAGGCATCCTGCGACGTCAGGGAGAAAACGAGCCACCCAGCGACGAAATGTGACGAATGATTTCCCCCCCACTGCTCCTGCGCCAACCTGCTGACAAAGTTGGTACCACAGCTTTTGAACATCGGAACCTGGCATGTGGGGAAATGATGCTTAAAAGAGCTCCCTTCAACCAGTCAAAACTGTCTTCAACCTAATAATCTTAGGAAGCCTTAGGCTAAGGACTTTGCTGCTTAGCCTTGGCACAGACGTCCATCCAAAAAATGGCCTCCATAAGGTCTTGCTCAATCATGATCGATCCAAAGCCAACGTTCACTGCATTGCCTCGCCTTGGGCGATCCGAAGGTCCCACAGCAGATCCGAACGTCCCACGTGCGACTCTCCCAATGCTGTTGAAGGGTGCCCCAAAAATCAACGCACGGCCAAACTCGGTGCCACCCGGACCCCGCAGATTCGCCAACGTCGACCACCTGGACCTAGAGTCGCTCACGCCCTTTCTCCCTCGTCATTCGTGGAGGCACCTCAAAGCTCCAAAGATCGAGTCGGCGTTCACCGATTGAGCCGCCTCGGAGATCTCCGCGGAGCGAAGAGAACCGGGTCGCGACCGAAGCTGAAGGGAGGTCACGACCTCCCCCCTGAAAAAACGAAGGTTCAGGCCATCCCACCTGTTGCAGTGTGCTTCTCTTGGGCGGCTGAGCTTTCTTTTCGGATCCTGGAGAAGGTCTCTCGGGTCACACTCGCACAGTCCAATTGCCGGACCCACGGCCGTCGACCCGGACCTGGTGGTTGCAGTGACTGACTGCCGGTCAGCGGAAGCCCACCTAGAATTTGGTGACATCACTTTTCGGCATCAGATCAGCTCAGCTGTTGGCCTGGTAGGATCGATTTCCTCGGAGATGATGCATCAGCAGATCTCCTTGGTGATGCTTCACTGCCTTCCAAGCGTAGCAATCAGTTCCAAAAAGCACATGCAACCCAACTCCCTATTCTCCGGCTTTCGTCGGCCTGGTAAGATGGATTTCCTGGGTGAGCCCACACCTGCCACAAGCTGCTGAGCTGCCACAAGCTACTCGGCTGCAGGCCCTCTACTTCGGCTAGACCACACCTGGCAGGACCGATCTTCTTGGGGATGCTTCAGGTCCTGAGATGGCAGAGAGCCAACGGAGAAACGAGAAGGAAAGGGCGTGTAAATCACACTTGCCCAGCCTCCCTGCACTGTCAACCTCGATGACAAGGTTCATCCAAATGTTCAATAAGAAACACATTCAAACACCCTGAGTCCGATTGCTTTTTGGAATCAGCCGACTCATCCTGGCATTGCCACTGGATGCAAGAGAAGAGAAAACATGTGGGGAAGTGTGCATGCATGCCCTCCGGCAGGCATGAAATAGTCATGACTACCATGCGCAAGGGCTGCCAGGGGATGCAAAACACAAGACTCAACAAACCCAAAGTATTCGGTTGGTTTTTGGATGCTATGCATCGTCCTGTCCGCCTGGCCCATCCGTGTCAATCCAGCCTTGTGCCCATCAAACAGCACACGCCGTGGCGACGCCATTGCTGTGTATTCATGAGCGATCGCCCTGACCGGTTCAGCTGGTCGCTGGCTGTCTCACCCGGTCGCGAGCAGATTCCATGAGTCTAGCATCTGGCATCTGGCATTGCTCAGCTTCTGAACAATTCTTGAGAAGGGGCGCACATCATGCTAAATTGCACCATGCGGGCCAACCTTGCAAAATTATGTTGTGACTATGACTAAGTGGCTATGAGCCAAGAATTCGAGCCACAGGCCCAAGACTTAGAAAAACTACAACAACAAAAACCTCCAGCAGTGATCTCAACGACAAGTGAAGAAAGACAGCCCATTTGGTGCTCAAAGGACTTTGCGGCTCTGTCGGTGAGCTCTGGTTCGACTGGGCCTGACGTCTGGCCAGGTCCCGTTCCAAAGACTCTGCGAGGTGCCGGAGCCATGACATCTCCGCCTGTTTTGCTTGCAGGCGATGTGAGTGAATTTGCAAGCTTCTTCTCAGAGTTTGAAGCTCCAGGTCATGCGCCAACTGTGTGTCTTCCACCTGTGATTTCAGCTTTTCCCTATGCTGCGCCAAAGAGTTCTCGAGATGGAGAACATGTGACTGCAGCTGCGGGATCTGCTCACGCAAACGCTGAGCATGCTCCATTCGTGGGGCATGCGCCTGGTGCAGCTCATCCGTCCCCTGCTTCATCTTGGAGCAATGGAGCTTCAGAGCCTCCACTTGGGACTCAGCTTCCTCTGCTTGAGTTTCGTGGTGGCTGTGCAAATCCTGGACGCTCACCGCTTTCTCTTGCAAATCGTTCGCTTGCCGCTGCAAGTCTGCCAGTGTTTGCTTGAGCTCCTCCACTGAGGAGTCACAAAGGCGGTTCTTCCGACGCAGCCCTTCCAAACCCTGACGCTGCTTCCGTGCTTCATACCGGCGGCGTTCCAACAACTCCGGTAGTCCACGGGAAAGCTGCTGAGCATCTCTTTTTGCGTTACAGAGTTCCTCCCGTAGTCCCTGTTCTTTATCCCGTGCTGCTTTGGTGCACCGCTGGTGCTCCTGCCATATTCTTTCTAGATCCTCTCGGTTCTGTGCACCACTTAGTACTTTCAGCGTACGCTCTTCGATGGCACACTCCGCCTTAAATCGGCGAGCTTTGCCTGCACCCTCCAGCCGCCATCGCGCGGCAATCTCCATCCGCCAAGACTGGCAAAGGTCCTCCACACGGGCAAGCTCTTCTTGCAGCTGTCCCAAGGACAAGGTGGAGGCTTGCCGCCGCTCATTGGTATGCTGGTCTTTGGGCGAGGATGGCACGGTTCGCAAGGCCATGGCACTTTGTCCAAGAACCCCATATCACGCTGGTTGAATCTAAACAGCCAAAGGCTCACATTCACAAAAGCGTATCTTTGGATGTCCTTTGCTCATTTATGTTACAGTAACATGTTTGTTGAGTCAAGAGGCAAGGGCGTGACCTCCATCCGTCAATTCACCGGAAAGCATTTCTTCTTGACCAACTATTTAGCCAGCAAACACCCGACAAACCTAAACACACACCACACCTGCCATAATCAAAACTGGAACACTCGTCACTCGCCACTCGCCGCAATTCTCAGCAAATTATGTGATAAAATGGGGCACCTGTGACGATGAGCTCACCGACAATTGGACTCCAGCCTTATGACGCCGACATCCCAAACCCTTCATGGTGGGAAAAAAAAAAGCGGACTACAGCTCAGCGACAGAAGGCTCATGCCACAACGCAAGAAAGCGGTGAAACAGTCTTCTCTGGACTCATCTGTCAGGCCATGGTAACAAACACCTGCATCATAGAATGTTGAAGGGAATAATTTGGTTTATTTTGGTGACTCCCTGCTATGTTCTAACTTGACATGCTGGGCAGGCTCAGCAAATTGCATCGAGCAGGACAAATGAACACTTAGACTCACACTCAGAACGTTCACATCTGAACCTCCGTGAGCATCCGGCCTTTGAAAGAACGATCCCCCACCCACCCTGATTCACGGTGAGGTGCCAGTGATCCCATGAACAACGAAACACTCGTGAAGTGCGGGGCATGTTGATCGAGGCTTTCTTCCGATCCTCGTCCGAGCACAACCAGCATTCGGAACATCATAGAATCCAACGGGGGCAAACTGGTCGCCGACTCCTTCTCTCGGATATCCCAAACTTTCAAGCTTCCATCAGCACTGCAAGATGCAAAAGTAGACCTAAATCCCGCCAGACATGCAAGCACAAAAGGTTCCCGTAGTATACTTTGGGTGACTTTAGAGAGTCTCCCTGAGAGCAGGGCTGCGCACTGTTGCCCAGCTTTTTCCACCTAAGATGAACGGACTAGTCTCACTGCGGAGCCCTTCAGTCTCATTGCTAAGGCTGCTGACTGCACATCTTCCACTGATGACTTGTGGCCTTTAAAAGGCTGCTCCGCTTCAACGGTCCAACCTGCTCAGCTTCAACGGTGCAACCAGCCGCTTACATGGGAGGACCCTTTTTCCTTGAATCACCGGGTGGACGGTCGACCTCCACGGACAGACCTTCTCCACCCGAAAGTCCGACGGGTCGAAAACCGCTCTCGAGCCTCCGGGCACCGGGGCCCAAAGGTGAATCTGGGAGTCATTGCCTCGGCGAGAAGGGCGTCATTTTTGGGGGGTCCAACCGCCACATCCAGCAGCCGAAACCAGTGTACTTGTTGCGGCCCAAAGCCGAGACCGGATTGAAGATCTAAGGGCAGAGCTCCCAGAGAGAAAACGCCCAGCCTCATTGGGGCTGAAGTCCATGGCAAATCCCTGCATCGCAAAACATGTCCAAATCAGGCGGAAATCTGTCATCTTTGCTGCCTCATCTTTATGGAATTCGCTGGTGAAGATTGGCTTCACGGAATGTGGTGCCTTCGTCAGATGAGACAGCCAGTCTATCTGGGAGTGTCCCAACAACATCCGCCGCGAAGTGCGTGAGTGCAGAATCAGCCATCCAAACATATCCAAACGGTTTATGCACTGGCAATGAGCCGATGAGAACTCCCAAAGTAGCCACAAGTGATATATAATGTGCATAGACAGGTTGGTGACCGTCGGTGAATGTAAAGATCTGAATTCCATTGTGTGTGTGAGCACTGGTGTTTCACCCTTGTACTCATCGGTGCCTTGTCGCCTTTGTCCAAAGCCTTTCGATGAGCATCCAGGTTCCACCTTGGCAGCGAGGGTTCCCCCACGAAGCCTGCTTGTTTCCAGAAAGTTCTGTTACTGTTGCTTGGCGGAAACCGAGGCTGAAGCATGTGCAGCTTGCCCGTGTCGGCCCAGGTTGCTACAATGTGGCCAGCTTGTGGCATGGCACGAACCTCAAACATTCTCACAGCGCGGCATTGAGGGTGAGTGCGGGAGAAACAATATAAACAAAAAGCATACACAATGCCTGGGGCATGTGCTCTGTTGACACCACCGGGGTGTGGACTAGCCTTTGACCTCATGAAATCACCGAAAAACACAACCTCTGGTGGAACTAGGCACTCTCCAAGCACGCTGTGTTAAGGCATGCTCTCCAACGCAGCCTCATGCTCATCCTCACTCTCCTTCCCATGTTTCCAGGTGAAAGACGAGTTGCAAAAGCAAAGCCCGTTTCGAGCGTATTCACGCACTGCATGGGTAAAAATACATGTATATAGAATTGCTATGAATTGCTGCTACTTCTACGACACTGGAAGTGCCTCATTGTCGCTCTCTTCATCCTCTTCATCCTGGCAACCCAGGCGCCCCCACAAGCTGCTAATCGAAACATGTTTGAGCTGAAGCCGCTCAGCCGCTTGTTAAGGCTATCAAGTCCTCTCTGCCATCTTTTGCTGTCTTGTAGAGCTTGTGCCTGAGCTGCCATTCCAATCTACGTAGATAGATGTTTCGAGCTATTCAAGCTATCCAAGGACATGAGCCGAGTGCCCAACCACTTCATGACGTAAAGCCGATTGTCCTGAGTGCCGTGGTCCAGTCATCCGCACGTCGTCCCACATGGGAGACTCGCCTCTGCGCGCGTGGCTTGAGAGCCAGCGACCACGTAAGCCGTCATGGGGAAGGAGGAGCCTCGAAACTGGTAAAGATGGCACCGAAACGAAGAATCGGAACAGCCGAAGACATGGAAACATCGGATGCTGCAGATGCATGTGCAAGACATGAGTCGTGCTAGAATGGAATGTGGCTGTCCGTGTCAGCAGTAGCATGCTACTCTTGATGGGATGGTCTGGGATGGTCTGGGTCGTCTCAGCGGCCGACGGGAGGCCCCCAGGTCGTCTCGAATCACATCGACAGAGAGGCAAGGCCACCTTGAAGAAAGAAAAGGAACAAATGGATGGACAAACGAGATGAAAGTGTCCGTGATCAGCCAAGTCCGAGATCATCGAAGGTGGTTCGTGAAGCAAGTCTATGGATAGAGATAGAATGCTCACGCAACTATGTGAAACACGCAAGAAGCAAACTCGCAGAACATCACAAAAGCTGGACACAGTTGGATGATCCAACTTGAGAAGAGCACTCAACTTGCGCTCGGTGTAGCATGTCATAGGTCCCTGGCCTTAGATGAAAAGCTTTCAGATCCCGTCTCGAAAGGGGAAACGAAAATGCCGAGGTGCTCCACATCCAGCTGCTCGCCATCTTCCAGACTATCAATGCCAGGCCTGATGTGCATCCAGTTGAACACACGCATGAAACCGCATATCACAAACCATCATGCTATATATTATATAATCGTAATGTGAGGCCAGAAGTTCCATCTGCAAAGTAGTGCGTTTCATATCACCACATAGGCTGACTTACCTCCAAATCATCTTTGGACCTTCTTCCTCTTCCCCTTCATTGTGGTCCTCAAGAGGCTCTGTTTAGAATGCGTTGGCCAAGCCTATAGACCTGCAGAATCACCCTCAAATCAAAATCCAAGCATCCTCCTCTTCTGCATCAATAACCTCTTCCTGGCACAGTGCTGCAACGATTGTGAGAACCGCGTCGGCTTCCCAGTTCATCCACCTCATCTTCAGCTTCTTCTTGGCCTTGCCATCCAGAGAGCCAGGGCCGAATGACCCCCAAACACAAATCCCTGCATGATCCAATTGTTTCTGTCTACAATGGATCTAGGATCTGTGCAATCGCCATCATCTTCAAACTCCAGCTCATCAGGGTCCTGTTCGAAACAACTGACTGACTCAGACTGGTCGCCTGCTCTGGTTTTCTCGTCCACCTGGCCTCTGGGGTTGCTTGGGATGCTGCCTGAGGAGAAGGTGGCACAAAAGAGATGTTACGCAAATACAAATGCCACGCCTTGCGCTTCTTTGCCATGCTATACCCGTGGGCCCATGGAGGTTAGGATTGCCAAACTAAAGCCAAATGTGACAGCAAATCCCGCGGCGTCAGCTGCGCAACCCCCGTCCCATTCTCCTCCAAGCACTGGTAAAACACAGTAGGTGTAGTAGGTGTGCAAGAATCTCACGTTCTCATCGGCATCTGCACACCCTGTTTTTCTGCCACGGAGTCCGAAAAGACGCGCTACCTCCGCTGGTCAGGGTCACGCTACCTCAGCTGACTGGTTGACTCGGTGACCAGTCTCAATCGCATGGTACCAAACTCACCCAGGGAGGGCTCTCCATCCAAGAGGCTCTCGACTGGGACCATCTCCGTACCAGAGCCTTTCCAACGTGCCAGACCTCAATTTGGCAAACTCTGACATCAACCGTGCCCATTTGCACAAAAATGGGCAAGCTGTGGCTCAAGCTGCTTAAGGTAGTGCTGACCTTCACTGAAAACGACTCAAAGATCAACAAACACTGCACCCAAATCTCCTACACCACAAAAATATCAAGTATCCCTTGGCTGTAACCATGCACCTCTGAAAATGCAGGTGCAGTTCTCAGGTTCCGAAGGTGAGGGATTTGTTTCTGTGAAAGGTGATGTGCACAGCCCTTAAGGTGCACGCGTCATGCCACAAGAGGTAGTCTGGAGGTGACTAACGAACCGCAGGTTATGAGCCCAACGCCGAGCGTTGGTTAAGGATCCAGGAATGGATTGGTTGGAGCATGTGGCATGCCATGGGCGACATGGAGCCTGTGGGCGGCACATGACGCGTGACAAGCAGATGGGCGGTGCTCAAAGAGTGGGTGTGCGGGGTGTGGCAAGCTATGGCGGCATGCAGGATGTGGCAGCTATGGCGGCATGCTGGGGCTGGGTGCCTAACAGCCGGTGCGGTGGATCATGCCCGGCGACCCAGCAACAAAGACGCGAGGTTGGAAGCTGTGCCATCATTCATACATGCAACCTGCAGCATGGTGTGGTCTGCAGGTTGGGGGGAGTGTGAAAGGTGATGTGCACAGCCCTTAAGGTGCATGCGTCATGCCACAAGAGGTAGTCTGGCAGTGACTATGCTCGGTGGTATGGGTGGGCAGAGGTTCACGAACCGCAGTTTCAAGTTGCTGGGTGGACACCTGCTTCACATGTGCTATGTCACTTGCCCCCGGCCCTGACTGAAGCGGCCTGCATTGAAGAAGAACTGAAAGATCAGCAGAGGCAAAATCTAACAGCACGGGAGCACAAATATCTCCAAAAGAACGTTCATTGACGTTTCGCATAGCACAAAACTCGGCAAAAAACAGTTTATGTAAGCTCGCGGCCACATAGACAAAAGCCTTAGCGGGCAAAAGCTTTTCATGGCTTGTGTGGAGACTCCATGCGTTTTCAGACTCATGTTTGTGCCAGCTGGGTGAGCAAAGGCATCGGAGTCAGGAAGGAATCTGCAGAGTCAATGCCGGCAAGTCGCAAGCACCGGTGTCAAATCGATCACTGCATCCTCACAATGGGTGATTGAAAAATGAAGAAAACCCAGGGCTGCAGTTGCGTGCCAATGCTAACAATTGGACCAGAAATTGAAAGCAGAAAGCAAACCACAAAGAGAATCAAAGAGACATGTTTGTATTTGTATGTTTGCTTGCTTGCTTGTTTGTTTGTTTGGCTACTCTAAAGGCTCCAAGCCCCAAGGCGTGTGATTCAGGCTGCAAACAAAACATAGTCACATAGTGAAGAAGTGGATGTGGAACGAATCATGCGAAATAGAATGCAAGCTATCCAGCATCTGAACAACAAAGCAACAACACAAAATGAGCGAACAAAGACCATACCAGTCAAGACCCGACTCAAAGAGATATGTTTGGCCCACTTGTTCCTTTACCAAGTCTAGTGATCAAGCCGACTTTCACCTTGACTGTCCAAAATCGATGTATAGAAGCGGTTTCCACTACATTAATGTATAGTGGGCATCTACTTGTTCTATCTACCTTGGGGATCCCAAAGAATCACCTCACGCCAACCCTGCAAAGGACCATGAAAAAACGCGTCCTGCAACAGCTGTTCTTGGGTCTCCCGGAGCTGTCGCGCAAACTCCTGGCGCTGCTGTCGCCGGTCTGAGACTGGAGGCAGTGTGGGTCCAACACTAGGAACCTCCACAGGCTTGACCAACAGCAAGCACGTCCCTTGTATACAACTGTCTTGCGTATCCCTTTGCGGTATCTTTAGAGAATCTGCGGTGAATGACAAAAGGCTTCGACACGTGAAACCACATCAACTATCAGTCCTGTGAATGGAGTTTTTCGGGAGCACCCTCCCAACCGGCAGGTCACATGGTCAAAAGTCCAAGCATCCACTGCACAACAACCTTGTCCAAGAAGTCATTCAAGTACTTGAGCACCAAGTCATAGATGTCATTGTTGACAACTAAAACCTGCCACTGACCCACCGGTCGGTGGCAGAAACCCACAGCTGCCCATTCCGCCAATTCCGCCGTTCGTATTTTGTGCCGTCTTTCAACTCGGCGGAGCTGTCTCTCACTGAGATTCGTGCGGTGGAATTTCCCTTTTCCTGGCACCGTTTTGACGTTTCGGCGATGCGATTTCTGACCCCTCCCAAACAAGACTCCCCAATTACATCTCATGGGAGATAGAGAAGTGACCTGCTTCCGCAAAGCCATGATGTGCTCCGTAGTCCGGATTGCAATGACGTGAGCCCTCTCCTCACATGAGAAGCCAACAATACACATGCAGCTGTATAACGCCTTCGGCCGGGTTTTTCTGGAGTGCAACCTTTCACTATGAAACGCCCCCGCTCCTCGAAGTAACAATAGGCGGAAGCCTGGAGCACGCAATTCTCATGCATGAAAGGCAGGGCACTCACCAGCCAATCACGAGTGTTGCCATTGCCAACCGTTCCCCCCAAAAGGTTGAATTTTATCGTTTATATATCTTTATACAATTTATCTGTTTGTAGTGTACGTTCATTGTTTCAAATTCATCATGGGTCGACACTGACACCATCCATCCCGTCCGCGTTTCAGTTCTGAGGTCCTTGCCGGCAAGTGCTTTGACCAAAACCGCCGAGCCTCCGCATCCTGGCGGACACCGCTGGCTATGCCATGACGAGAATACACCGCAGCGTAAATGCTCCAAGGAAGCACGCCTTGTACGCATGTCGTTTCCAAAACAGCCAATACATTTTTCGGGCTTCTTGCGGAGTCTTCCACAACATCCATGCCACATGGACCTCCAAAAGCATCAACGCCGGAAATCAAAAATCAGCTGACACAGGAGGCCTGATCTGTGTAGACGTGTCGCCCCACCGGTGTTCTTGGCCGCTTGTCCACCATCCCAGCCTTGACATCCATCAATCCACAAACGCACCAAGACCAGCAGGATCCCGTAGAGGTGGTGTCAACATGTGGCAACCCCACCTGCATTACTGGAATCATCTCACAATGCTTCCGTCCCTCCAAGTCCCGACTCGGTGTAAGCCTGCCATGGGTCAAACCACGTGGGCAACACATCGGTTTCGCCTACCTAAACCACACGAAGCAGGCGAACCTTCCTTGCTTTACTTTATTTTCACGCTCCATTTCCGCAAGTCTTTCTTGCGAAACACCGAAGAGCAGTGTGTACCTGTCACATCGAAATCAATTCCGGCCCAAAGTCTGCAAACAACTCGTCTGGTCCACTCTGGATTGTTCTGCGCCACGCGTTCCAACAGCTTCAAAGCTTCTTCTGCACTATCCTGACGAAACCCAAGGGGGCGTTCGTAGCAGATTCTTTGCAAATCACCGCTCGCAGGGCACAAGCGCCGTTCAGACCTGCCCAAAAAATTTGTTTTCGTTGATGCCCGCCACGAACAGTGTTTGTTCCGGAATGGCCCCTTTGCTTGGCACCTCAGCCAACAACTGAACGATGGACTCGGATGACGCAATCATACACCAAGCAGGGGCACTGCCAGGGCATGAGTGGCAAACCCAGCTCGACCTTGGTGAGACATTTTTTCTAACCAACATTGCTACGTCATTGTTTCCATTTGTTTACATACATTCCCGTTCCAAGCGCACGTTTTTTTTCATAAGTTTCTGGCCCCTGAGCGCCAATGAAAATCGTGGTTGGTTCATGCACGCCTCCGTGGTGGGATGACTTGAAACTGCAGCCCCTCAACCAAGGGAAAATACTGAGGCAAGCACGCGTTGGCATGTGTTCACTGCCACACGTGCCCACATGCTGCGAAAACTGTGCGCGGAAATCCTCAACTGAGTAGTCTTGGTTGCCTTGTGTGTTTTTTGGGTCTGATGGCATGAAACGGATCTAAGCCTTAACATTTCTGCCAGGCACATGTTTTTTTTCAATGCATGTTCTCTTCATCACTTGCTGCATGCCTCATGCCCTCCAGCCCTTTTAGTTTCAAATGGGCTGCTTTCAATTGGGCTGCTGGAATACACCTGGTCCTGTTCCACTGGCGCGGGTGGGACAATTTGATCAAACGTTCTGCGAACGGAGTATGGGACGTAGAACTCCTGAGTCCTGAGTGCAATTGATATGTGGGAGATGTTAGGCCTTGTAAGAAAGACCTGGGGAACGGCAAAATCTTTCAGGACCTTTCAGGATTGGATGTTGGTTTCCGTGCCGTTTTCAACGTCATGCGTGAACGCGACCAGCACGTCCCTGATGCGAAACCATCTCGCTTGAAAGTTGTCCCGTCCCAGGCGCGCAGCCACAAAAGAGGGACAGACATCTTGCAGCATGACCCCAGTAGAGGGTTGAACGTTTCCACAGCTACTCAGGGTCACTTGCAGCATCTGTGTGACAATTGTGCCAAATAGAATTGGGCACGACAACTCAACCCAATCCTCCTGCCAGCTACCAACACAGGGTGATGCAGCTTGGGGAACGTTGGGGGGGCCAGCGGCACATTCGCGAAATTTTCGCGGATCTTTCGCGAAATTTCACTGGCGCTTTCCCCAGGAAGCCGTAACTTTGGCAAACATCTGCACAGCCCGTCAGAGCCTTGTATGTCTATTCTTTGTCAGTCCGGTAGCAAAGAAAACATATGAAAGCGATGACCTTCGATAACTCTTTCGCGGAAAAAAATACTTTCGCGAACCTCATCCCGAATCTTTCGCGGATGGTTCTAACAACATCTGAAAGGTTGTTTTATATAAAATTCCTTACACGGGGTTTTCGATCAATTCCCGCATCTATCAACTCATGTGTTTTTTGTGGCGTGTTTCGATTCATCCTTTCTCTTGTTTAGAATGCTATAAAGAAAATATATTATTCCACTGTTCTATTTCTTTGATTTGGTTGCGCGATTTATAGTAGTGTTTCATTTTTGTATTAAAATCTGGTTGTACATCATTTTATGGAAGCGTCACGTGCTCCATTTTGCAAATCATAATGTGCTACTGCTGGATCTGGCATGGCGTTTAATAGAAACACCTTTGCCGCAACCAGTCGTTTTATAGAGAAATTACCCTAGGCCACCCATTTTGTAGAGCCCATGTCTCTATAAAACTCCTGGCAAGTGATTCCAGTGTGTAAGCACGGAGGATCCTGGTGAGTTCGCAATGATCCAAGGCCAAATTTGGACACCCCTACTGCTTTGAGCTGATTCTGCCTCTGCCTGCGCTGCCTGCATGCTTTGAGGCCTGTGTAACGCATCAACTAAACACGTTTTTGCCTGCCGGTTGTCCCCAATGCGTTTCCAGACTGCGGACAAATGATGCGTTTACCAGTGCCTCAACAATGCACCCGCAGGTTTCGCGACAGGCAACGGCAGTTTTGCCTGATGCGTTTAACCACCCCAAAAATGCATCCGCAGGTTTTGTGACATCCGGATGGTCGTTGATAGGGACTAGCATCACCCCTTCTAGAAAATGTTGCGCAACAATTCTTTCCATAAAATGTTTTTTGCCTGGCGCGAACGCTGTCACAGATTTCGGATGAAAAACTAGATCCACATGCTCTCACAACATGTCCTCTACAGATCGAAAAATAGATCTCAAAATGCGTTTGTCAGCCCCCCACTCCTGTACTTGGCAGGTTCACAACCCGTGCCCCCCCAAAAAAGAAACACTGTAATACAACTAAAAACCAACCAAAAAAAATATTTTTATAAAATGTTGTTGGGGACCCGGCGCACTTTATAGAGTCAACTAATGGTTCTGTCCATATAATGCCACGTGTGGGTACCAGTTGCCTATAAAATGCCCTGACCAGGTACCAGCATCAATTTTGAAAAAATCAATCTCTGCTATCAAGTGCCTCCTTGACTCTAACAGCCTCAAAATCCGTAGAGTTTAAATAATGCAGAAATAGACCTTATAAAATTGTGTTTGAAATTGGCAAAAATTATCACCACATAGGCAAACACCAGTGGGGGATTAAAAACAATGTAACTTTTGGCGGTGTGGCACATGATCTGGGACAGGACATGGAATGGCATTTTTTCTTCGTCCTCGCGCAGCGGCAAGGCCCACCTGTACATGCGCCTGGCCACTCATCTGCTCACGTTTGCAGCGACAAATCGTCAAACTGTTGAAAGGAACACTTGGGATGCCTTTCATGGACCTGATGGTGCAAGTGGTCCACTAATGAAACATTGAGGTTCCTCCACTGCGTGGCGGCTGTCATTTCTAGGTCATCACGCATATTGCACAATCAACTGGCATTTTAGACAAGGAGCCGAACACATGTCCAACTGGAGAAATAGGGAGACATGAAAGGTAGGACAGCGGGAGGAACATATAAGTTTGTAGCCAGCCAGTCGGTGCAAAAAATGATAGGGGCAACACCACACACACCGCCTTCAACGGTGGTTGGTGTAAACCCCACAGAGGCGTAGACGGTGGTTGGTGATGGTTTGGGAGTAACGGTGGTTGGTGTGTGCCGACCGCACAAGGGCGTCAACCGTGGTATACAACGTGGTTTGGTGAAATTAGACGGTGTTGGTGCAAAACATGGTTTCAGAGCGACATTCGCGGCGCAGCTGCAAAACATCCAGATTCAAGTTGTCGCAGCAGAGGCGCCGCGCGAACCCAGATCTGAGCCGCCCTTGGGCCGCGTTTTCCCTCACGGTCCACGCTGTGCCCGCAAGCAAAAGGACCCTCAGCGAGGTGATCCACTTTGGGACGAAGCGGTTCAAAGGGGATGAGAACCAATTCTATGGGGAGGGGTCTGTGTTGAAAAAACAATTCAAACGGGGGTGCGGGAGCCCACACTTGCTTCGCAACACAAACTCAATGTATTTGCTGGGGAACCTACCTGTGTGACAATGCAATATTTGCAGCAAACTGCGTTCATTCATCCCATGCATGGTGTTTGTCGCATTTAGGTCATCATGCATGCCGCACATAGTTGTGCGTTTTTGACCTGATGGAAATTCGGATGCACGGCAGAATGGGCCAGGACAGCTGGGATGACGCATGCCTGCGCGGGCTTGGCGGGCCCGGGGATGCGGAAGAAAACGCCGCTGAAAAAGAAATTACAAAGATATTACAACATGCATGATGACCAGGGAGAAAACAACAACCCTATTTTGCCCAGACCGTTGTTCAATCCAGGAACCCGCTTGTTACCCCGTTTTGTAATTTGAGGGGCCTGCGGCAAGCTGCAGAAAATGAAGCGTTTGTGCGACAATACGCTGACCTAAACTCACCCATGGGGCGAGAACTGCAGCGGCCAAAACTCACCAACCATTTTTCGTAGAAGATTGACCTTATTTCATTGCACGCTTCCTTGCCCGCAAGGCTTGGCCCAATTTTTTTTTCGGTGGGTTCTAAGTTGTCCGTGGACGGCTTGCAAGCACTCATGGGCGAAGGAACCAGATTGTCCAAAGCCGCCGAAGATTCACTCAGCAAGAGTCGAGCCCGAACGAACATGACGCAATTTATTGGCAGCTGATGATGTAGATAAATGAAGAAGTCGACGACAAAGTTGAACACGATGATGCACTGCCAAATGGTTTGGGACGTTCATGTCCATCGTCACTGTGCATCTCACTTTCAGCAACCTGTGGCCCAATGCATTGCTCAGTGCCAAAGAGTTGTGCACCATTGTCCATGTCCCTGTGAGTGCTGTTGTCATGTGGGATTTCAGTTGAATTTGAGCCACTGGCCGGCTGAGGAACTTTTTCAAGCGAGGGGTGAACGACCAATCTGCCATACGCGATTTGACGAAGGACATCTTCAGGCGCAGGCGGCATCGAGACAGCCCCTTCAACCTTTTCAGGCCGGCTTTCAAGCCACAACCTGTTGTCTTGGTTTCATCACTGCTTGCCCTCGGATGTTTATGACTTTTGGCGCTTGCTTACTCATGAACGAAGACTCTGACTATAGTATATAAATTACAAGTGTTCTGAGGCTATACTATATACGTTATGAGTTTTTCTGAGCCAAGCTTGGACTGGAAGACGGGAAGAGATTGGAGGCCACATGTGGACTACATTGCGTACACAAGTTTGACAATGGAGTTAACCCAACCTGAAGGAAGGAAATACATGTGTTTCTCCTCGCGAACGAAGCACAAGCGGAATAGTCATGCCGATGCCCATGTCAAAAAAGAATGAAACTACCTTGTCTAAATCTAAAGCTACCTCAGTCAAAACTTCAGACGCATTGCACGAGACCGAGTAGTAGATCATCGACGCAAAATGGGTGACAGGTCCTTGACACGATCCTTGTGGAAAGGGCATGCCTCTTCATTTGTGGCTATGGGGCCACATGAGAGAAAGAATCCATGCATTGAACGTCCCAGACATGTTGGTTTTTTTGATGCGTGTCTTTTCTTTGCGCGTCCATGCGGACTTATGGTACTTATGCCTCTTCATACAAAAAGCGAACTACGGCCGGAAGAATGGCGAGGGACAATGACCAAAATGCACACACAACTGCACAACGCAATGGCAACACAGCCGCTACAAGGTTGGAGCACGTAAAGAGAAAGCAACAACACTTTCCGGCGCATCGTGTTTCTTCAGCACACTCTCGGACCAAAATTGTTGCATTATGGACTCCACCAGTGGGGTGGCAAATCCATTTTCCATGTAAGCCAAGTCATAAGCCTGGATGCCCTGCGCTGAAATGGGATGATCTACTGAGTACTCCTGGACGATATGTCCAATAAGCTCGGCTTGGCTTAGGTTTTTCCTCGCCTCGTGTCATGGAGTGAACTGGGTTTGTGTCACGTCGACTCGAACAGGCGCGTTGGAGGCTCAGGCTTGAGCCGAGGCCGGTGCAGGAGGCCTTTTGTGGGGGTCTGAGCAAATCAAACACTCAAACGACAACATCGCAACACTGCAGTTTCGGTGTGCAGCTCTGTGTGACATTCCTCACGATTCAGCACATTCAACACAAGCGGCAAGGTCTAACTTGAGAAAAGGTTCCCACTGAAGTGGCCGCAGCAACCATCCACCACCAATGTGTCACTTCAAGTTGAGATCAAAAGAAAGGCGTCGCAGCGTCGCAACCACCAACAAATGTTGATTGAAGCCGTGGCGAAGGCCATTCAGAAACCAAGCCAGCAATGGACTTCAAATCCGCCGACGTCAGCACAAAACGAAACATCCCTGTGCAAAGCAGGCCGTGGCAACTTCATGTCATCGCTTTTCTTGTGCGACCATATTATCAAAAGCAAGCCTCGCCTGCCTGTGGTCACTGCCATCCACAGACACTGGAGATTGGATACGGTCACCCAATTCATCACATCGGACGACTGCCCTATGAACGCAAGTCTAAATGAACAGAATTTAGTAAACTAACATGCTGGGTGAGCACATCGTTCGTCACCACCATTCTACGGTGCGCCGGTTCCGCTGACATGCGCGATCGGTCGGTTCCTTTAGACTTTAGAGCGATCCAATGGTAAAATCAAGGTCAAAACGTAAGTCAAAACATAGCATAATAGCCTGGGCATGCCTGGGCCATGGGCATCATTTGTACCTTGGCCTCATTTGTACCTTGGCCTTCTAAATAAGTTGTTGTTTGTAGCCGAACTCCGCAGCTGAGAACATGTGCAGGGAGAAACACTGAGAACATCCGCAGGTTGCGGACGATGGATGGAGATGATCGGAAGGGAGGGGGTTCAGAGAAGGCCGCTGCGTGAGCGGGCCGCTGTGAGCCCCATGATTGGAAGGGCTTTGGATGAAGCAAGTTCATACTTGGAAGATGGGCCATGAACATGCGGCAGGCCATTTAAGAAGTCGGACATATCTGTGCGCCCATATAGGCTGGTAGCTGCGCCACCTGCATCCTTGCGATGGTTGTTCTTCATGAGATGCAGCGCCTCCATGGGCTAACGCTTGGCCGGGGTGACGTTCCAGGGGCGAGGTGACGCCCACACGGCGAGGAAGAAAGCGCGTTTCGGCGGTCAAATGACAAAGCCTCGGGCGGGCCATCCTGGCGTCAATGTGCCCAAGACGACCCGCTGCTTTTGGACTGAAATCCGGTCACGGGCTAATTGCTATTTGACATGAACGAGGCGTGCGGTGTTTCTGTTTGTTGGGACGCTCCAGGAATCGTCCTTCTAAGTGGGAAAGGGTCTTGGTGCAAAACGCAAAGCCGAGACTGAGATTTGAAAAGATTTGAGTTTGGTGGGTGATCAATCACTATATGTTCTTTGTGTCATGTGTTTGTGGCCCCCCAATCTTCCGGCCTGAAGAGGCGATCTATTCCCACCACCCCCCAACGTAAACGCGCCCACTTCTGGCCCACAGCAGAGTACCGTGCTTTCCACTGTCGCAAGTGCCTTCTCCTCCAAATGCTTTTGCTAAGTGCACTCTCGGAATGCCCCGCCAAGCTGGCCGACGGAGGTAGGCTCGAAGGATCAAGGAATGGGCCATCCGCTCCATCCATTGGAGATGTCTTTGAAGTGACACTTTCGATTCAATACAGGGGGTCCACGCGAAGCGAAATGGAAAGCTCCGTCAGGGGCGGGCTGCCCGCCACAGAACTTGGGTGGGGATAATCAGGTAGAGGACCGTCGTCGGACGGGAGTTGCAGCTATAGTTTCCTGCGCACGTGCAGGTGCGCCATGGTCTGGCCCTGGAGCCTGATGTGGCCACGAAACAAGCAGGTCATTAAGCACACATCCAATTCTTTGGCCCTTAAGGACCGATGCCGACCTCTCCCCTAAGCAGAAAGGAAATTCCAGAGCTCATGTGAACACCATGTGAATGTCAAATCACTCCCATGAGGTTCGCGATTCGGATATTTGTTTTTCTGGCGTTGAGGCCTTTTGTGGATGTTTGTGTCCAGGCTTTCACACTTTTACAACGAGAACGGCAAGCTCCCAAATCGAGCTGCAGACATGGCGAAACAAATGCAGGTACATGCGCTTCGAAACACTTTGGTGCTTGCAGGTCAGTGGTGCACTTTGTAGTTTCTTCGGACGTGGTGAAAACATGTGAAAACGCGCGAGTTCTCACCCTGTGAAAATGTGCGAGTTCTCACCCCCGGATCCATAATTCTGAGTTTACATGCATTTTCTAAATGTTCTACTATGTTTGGCGCTCTCGTGCGTATTGTGTTCCATGATACATGCATTGCCTTCATGCAAAAAGGGCTCAGCTTCGCTTTGGTGGGAGGCGCTTTGGAGATATTTGTGAGGTCTGTGAGGCTGCGAAGTGGATGTGCTAGGAAGATCTAGGAATGTTGTATTAGGTTGTATTATGTTGTATGCATCTGCACAACTGCATGTCTTATTTTGGGAGAGTGGGTTCCTTGGAACACTTTGTGAAAACCTTCGGTCCCATGTGAGTTTTGGTTTCAATCGATACGTAGACCGTAGACTTTCTCTTGCCTGCTTGCCACGCGCTTACATCTTGCATTGTCTTTGAGTGGGCGATGCAGAAACCTTTTGTGGCCTTATCCCCTCTTCCCCCTTTTTCCTTGCGACGCACATGTTCTGGAAAAAAAAGTGCTAGCTGCTAGATGGCCACAGTGCTTTGGACACTGAAGCTGCAGTACTCTTGACATCCTCCATCGATTTCATCAAAAGAGGAGGTCGGTGGCGCACGCTGCGACGAGTCCGAGGAGAAGGACGGCTTCGCCCACGTCTTCGCCGCGACTCGCCTTCGGTGAGAGGCATCCTACGAAACACTGGGGTCGTTCGCCGTCGCATTCGTTCGCTGATTTCAGAATATGCGAAACGGGTGGACGCTGTGGAGTGTCTCTCCCTACTTTCGAGACCTGTCGTTAATGGTAAAACCTCGGAAAAAATCACTTGCGCAACCTGTCGTTCTCATCGCATCCGCAAAAACACGCATGCTCACGGTAGCGTCAAAAACTCCTTGACCACTTGCCCTTTCGTCAAGCGCCTCGACCATGAGAAATCCCCCTTGACATCCAGGCAGATTCCCATCCGTCCGCGCACACCTCTGGACTTCCAAACGACCGGGCATCCGGCCCATCAAAGGGGGCTTCGGCCGCAGTTCGAGACGATCGAGGTCGCATCTTTGGGGCTTCGGCAAGAGGGGAGTGGCCGGCTTTGGGTCTTAGGGAACCCATCCGGCTGGAGCTGTGGTTGAAAGATGGCAGAAGTTCCAGGATAAAAAAGGCTGGGCTCACACTTCGGTGGAACAAGGGGACTTGCCGATGCGATTGGCAAACTGGCCCAGCTGTGGTTGGATGCACTGGGCCAAAGAACAGTGGTGCCCAACAAGAAGCCGGGTGGCAAGGAGTGGCACAACGGTACAACGTCCTCCTAGACATCGTGCACTGATTCCAGGAGAGGAAAGCACGCTGTATCAAGGACAGGTCCTGTCAGACTCCACTTGAATGCAAGCACGCCATGCACTCGCCTGTTGAAATCCGGTGCGCCTGACGGTCAGATCGGAGCTGCCTGACACTTCGCGCCACCGTCTCCATCACGACGGTTCGCTCCGCCGGTCCACGCAGATGCTGCTAGACACGCCAGAAAGGGGAAGCCACGCCGATCGTGGCTGCGCTGCCACGCTTGTCGGCGTGGATCACTGCCAGTGATGAAAGGTCGCCGTTGGTCGGGGAAGGGACGTCCAACGTCGCGGCACAAAGCGCTGGACGAAGAAAGAGCCTCTCACAGCCGCTCGGTCTGCGCCACTTTTTCTCTCAAATGAAGCTCCTGAGACGCTCTCTGCGGCAAGGCAACCTGACGAATTCAAGACTCCAACGTTCTGCCTCCCTTGAGCTTGAGGTGATCTCAGCCCAAAACATGACATGGGCTGGCATAGATCACTCGCCCACTATCAGGCTTTGTCAGACTTGACTATCCACCACAAGTCCATTCTACCAAGCCGGCACAAGATTGGTGTCAAATTCATCCGGCCGACACACACGATCCCGTATCAAAATGCAAACCTGATACCTTGCAACCTTGCATGATTCCTGATCAGCAACCTACCCCCCATGCAAACACACCACACCAAGAGACTTGCCTTCCGTCATCGGGAAGCCACACATAGGGAGCTGAAAATTGCGTGACGGACGTTGTTGAGCTATGTTCGATACCTGAGTCGTGCACCGAAGCGATTCGAGGTCCACATCGCAGGGCCTGACGTCCACGCACATGGACCGCGCCAGGCTGGACTCCGACTTCATGGTGTGACCATGTCCAGGCTGGGCCCACCTACTTTTCTTTTTTTTCATCCAAGTCTCCATCTGGCACGTGAAATTCAGGCACGTCCTGCATCCACTTGGGCTCCTGTTGATTGCAGCCAACCCTAACTTGCTGTTTCAAAGCACCGTGCCACCAAGCCTGCCAAATTCGTGCATCTTCAAACCTGTGGATTCTCAAACCAGGAGTCTTTTGATACCCAAGATCCCCATGCTTTGAATAGAAAAAGACGAGGCTCCTCGGGATACTTCTTTGGCGGCACATCATAGAGACGGAGGCCACTTCTCGTTGCCACCGTCTCGGGCCGCCGCGAGGCAGCATCCATGAAATTCTCAAGGCCTCGAAGGCAGAGCTCAAGAGCTCACTGTGTTTGTTCATGTCTTTTCTTGTTTGGGAGTTTGCCCATCACTTTGGAGGTCATGTGTACACTAGACCAACAATGGAGTTGATGAAAAATCAAATAAATGATGGATTTGGCTCCATTTCTCTTAGTGGGCCAAGCTAACACCGCCAATACATGCCAATACATCCCAATACATCAAACACCCTCATTTCAACTACCTTCCACACCATTTTCAGCCTGCACAGAACCGACGCAACTCGATCATCGCAGAGCTATTGGCTTCATGAGGACGAGCTCGCACTCGCTCAGCGATCTGCTGGCAGAAATGCAGGTAGGGCTTCCTCAGTTGAGGCGAAAAAACACCACAGGATGTTTCGGTTTTGAAAAGTCCCAATGTCAAGTCCTAGAGTCAGAAAACGCCTAGGAGGAGAGGTCATAAACACATACCATTCCTACAAGTAAGGCATGGAACCTCCCCACTCCCCTGTTCAAAACAATAAACGTTTGGCTTGGAAGGATTCCCAAAAGCAAAACGGATGAATGGGCATGAAAAAGTGGTGGTTTCTTTCTTCATCGACAGGGGTTGGGGGGATTGATCATTGACAGGGTTGCATTTGCAATTCCATACATTGCAAGAGCGTACAACCGTACAGCTATCTCAATTATTGTCAAAGAAGGTACTAAAGAAGGTAGGATTGGAGTATTCAGTGCACCTTGAAGTTAAAGAACAACACCAGGAAAGCCTGGCAAAAAAAAAGAAAAGGAAGCAAAGCAACGCAAATATAAAGACAAAAGCGAATGAAGTCAGATTGTTGTAGAGTTGGATCCGGAGAGGAAGAACTGTTGGTTCATTGAGCTGTTTGATGTATTTGTCCGCTAGAAACCAGTTCCTGCGCAAGCTTGGTACCCAGAATCAGCGAAGGAGACTTCACAGCATAGGCCAACGAATTCACCTTGGCCTGCAACATGGCCGCCTGCGCCTCCAAAATGGTGAAAGGGTGTACTGGACTGGTCTTCCCCTTCCACTGGTCTTCGATCCGCAAGAGCGGCCACTGCGGCTCTTGGTTTTAACAAGGCATGCATTGTGAACAGTAATCAAATGAACTGATGAATAAACATCCGCACAACCTTGCGGAACCCTGCCTGTTGCGTCGAAGCCTGCGCGATCTCTGCGTGCTTTTCGGCTTCAGCTTGCTTCAGCTGTGCCTGAAGCAGAGTCAAGGCAGGTTGATGTCAGATGAATATGTTGTGAGGAGGAGACGGGGAGAGGAGGGGGGAGAGAGAGAGAGAGAGAGATATATATATATTCCTTGATTCATGTCCCTGTACACCCCTCAACAGAATAGGCTATCTGAACCCTTTCGATTCCATGATCTCCAAGATCTTCAGCAAATGAACGATGCGAAAGTCGCTCTTCTTCGCCGTGCGACTCTTTGGTGGGACGATACAAAAGGCACAGTGGTCAGTGGTCATCCTCCAAATGTGATTAGTGTGGTCATAGATGTGTGCGCCACAAATTTACAAATAAACCTGATCATCTGTTGGCTATCAATACACTGCAGCATCATGAGAAATGATGGCTGCTTCTGCTGGCACCACTCCACATCAGCGCGCACACACACACACACAATCGGCACAGTCCAAACCCAGTATGCCCGACCATCCTCACCAATGAAGTACACTTCTTCACCGATGGATTGGGTTAAACCACGCTGCATGGCGGTGTGGTTCTTTTCAGAAAAGTCAGCCAACGACCTTCGGGTTCCAACCATTCGTCATCAGCACTTGGTCCAGTGCAGCGCTCGCAGCACAGTGCGGTGGGCAGCACAGTGCAGTGTCGCGGTGGAAAGTGTCCAAAGTAAGATTACTTATGTCTGCAAAGACTCTCGAAATGTGGTTGATTTGGTTCAAAGTATTTATATCCGAAATGATACTCTTCGACCACAGGAGCAGCAGTATGCACATTGGAACCCAATTTGCCAAACATTCAACGAAACTGGGATCCTATGCATATGCCCATACACCAACAGTTTCAAGTCATCCATCATATTAAGTCGCCACAAGCATACGAGATTTCTTCCAAATTGTTGGCAATTCGTCAGAGCAAATCATACAAAGAGACACGCCAAAGAGACACGCCTTCATGATCCTTCCCTGGACCGTTTCAATTGTCAGGATATGTCATCCCAATTCGACTCCCAGGTAAGGACACCACAGCGACATAATCTTATCACTCAAATAGAGTTCAAATTCTAAAACCCCCAGCGAACAGTCAATGCAAAATACCCAAATGAGGTATGTGTGTTGTGTAGCAGCCAAGCAGCTCAGCATCTCGAGGCAGTTTCCCAACATAAGTCTTACCCCAAGCTATACCAAAACTGGGTAGAGCAGTCTTAGTGTCGCTGGGATTTGGTCTCGCGTGGGCAGAAAACTTTGCTGTCGCAATTGTCTCACAACTTTAGAACTTTTGCTGCCGATCCTCTATCCACAGCGAAAGCGCTGCCACAGCTCTCGCTTGCGACCATCCAACTATCCAGGTCAAACAGCTGCATGAAAGAGCTATCAGTCATGTGAAACATGCAATCGCCTGGGCAGTTTTGACCAATATGGCTGTGGGTCAAAACCCGGAGCGATTGACCTCCTAAACGAGGGTAGATTGACCTCCCAGGTAGTCTATTCTGCTCATGTTGTGTGGTCTACCAAGGTCCCCCGGTGTTGCACCCAATTCTGATATGGTCGTCTTCCCTATGCTGTCCCGTTTTGCCCATGTCTGATTTACTTGTCCGTGTCACTGTGACGCGCACGGCGTGTATATACATTGATGTGCGTTTTGGGCTCATCTCATGTACACAGATGTGACCCATCTGAACCCATCAGACCCATCTGACCCATCCCATGGGCGCGATGGAAGGCTGAAAGAACACAGCGGAGCGCCTGATGCAAGGCTTTCTCGCAGCTTTGAGATGCACGAAATGCCCGGCTGGCCCAGCCAGCTGCATCTGTGGGCTCTGGAAAGATCCTCTTCTGCTCAGCAACACCGAAATAGTCCTGCGAAAGGCCAAACGCAGCGTGCAAGAATATTCTGACATTCTGTAACCACCTCATCATTCAATCTAGTTAGTATCTAGTGATGAGTCAGTGATGAGTAGAAGTAGTCTCAAGGTGGAGGAGCTTTGAGCCTGGTGGTTTGAGCCACTAGCTCGCTTTTCAGCACAGGGTCCACCCCAAAAGCGTGTCGCTGTTGATCCGTCGGTCTGGTCTCCTCGTTGCCAGGCACCATTTCGCTCGCAGCTGAAACAAGCAAGCTCGTGTGGCACAGCGGATGTCTTTGACCCATCTTTGGCTGACCACAAAGCTCTCGGAGAAGCACCATGGCTTCGGGGTGTCAATATGGCTCAGGTCGTGAGCAAGTGCTCAGGCTCTCTTGTGGTCCAATGGTCTTTTACACTGGTGCACTGGTGAGTCATTTTCTGAACTTGTAGGATGCATGTCCAAACGGCAGAGAAATCACCACAAAAAAATATGACTTTTCAGCGTGGTCCAAGCGCGGTGATTGCAGTTCGTGGACAAGGCCTAGCTTCTTGACTTTGAATCTTGCACGTCAAAGCTCTTGCCAGCCATAAATTGAGCCTCGATGCAAAAGGAGGCTGGAGAACCAGACAAAAATTCTGCTGAACAAAAAGAATTGCAGAACAAATGGAGCCTCAATTGTACCCTGCACGACGAAATGCTTTTTGTATAATCTCAATCTGTCAGCCCAAAACTTTTCCTCTCTTCAGACTGCAGCTGCTTTGGCGCCCGTCACCTGCCAAAGAAAAGCATCGTGAAAAGAAGTTATTAACAAAAAGCGAAGGAAAACACACGACTGACCAAACACCTCAACCCAGATTCCACACCTGTTTCACCCCACCAAGTGCGGTTCCACCCCTCTCCACAGGTTCCACGTCTTCGCCTCTGGCGCCGCCGCTGAAGAATCCTCCTCTGGCTTTGAGCCTTGGCAAGGCCGCCGAAAGTGGACGAAACGGAACGTGGGGAATGCAAGAAGAAAGCGAGAAAACCGTCTTCATGAAATGGTTATGAATGAATCATGATGAATCATATCATTGAAGTGGACGGAAATAAGGGAATGTTCTTCAAATCTGGAGTTTATCGATTCATACCCTCTGGGCGGCAAACTCAAGAGAGCATGGACCTCATCTTGTGTTGGAAAGGCCTCCATGGCACGGTTCAGAGTCAATGATTCTCCAAACTCGATGTCGACTGCCAAGGGGTTATACAGTATATTACTAACTAATATAACCTACTATCGGCTATCTCCTTCCGCAAATCCGGGGTGCTCAACATCTTGGCACCAGGACTTCTATAGACATATGTGACATATATAGTATTTGTCCTTTTCGTGGCGAGGGACTGGCCAGTGACGAAGGGGGCCTTGAACTCACCATGCACGAAGAAGGTCAGACCATCGCCCGAAGGCGGTGATACAGGAAGCAGCCTACCACGCTGCTCAAGGGCCAAAACCGATATTGAAAGGGACAAAGACATGGGATTGAAGAAGACCAGACTACAATCTCAACAGAAAACGTGAGCTACAGTTCCAAGGTCAAATGCAGGCTGCAGCTCGGAAATTGCTCCAACAGAGCATCAGACTGCCATCAAGTGAAATCGGGTACGCTTTTAATTTGGGAAGTGAAATCTCTCTGGTGCCAAACACAGGCCAGTGAAGCCACAGAAACACCCTCGGTCCCAGCACAGCTCTGATGTTCCTGGCAAGTGTCAAGTTTCACATCCCTTCAGTGTCGATCACCATGAGTTCACCGAATCAGGACCAAGACGCTCAAAGAGACCCTGGTCGTAGGAGATGCTGCGACTGGAGTCGAACCGAGCGAGTCGTCGGCGGATCCGAGAGGTTTTTGGGCGTCGGTGGAAATCGGAGCGGCTCCGGCCTGAAGGTGCTGCTCTTCTCACCTCAAACTCTCAAAATTGGTCACAGAGTCGTCAGACCCAACAATGGACCGCCCAAACACCCCATCAAAAACCATAAGATCTTCGGATCTTTTGGGGAGTGTTTCTGGCCCTGCAACTCGGGTCGTTTCTTGGAAGGTTCGGTGGTTAGACCCATGGATCTCAACCAGAAGAGACCGGCCACAGAGACCGGTGGAAGTCTCATCACCCCCCGCTCGCCGAAGCACGCGCTTGTCCGAGCCACAGAACTCAATGGTCGTGAGCGCTTGGCAGGTGAGCCTCGAAACATCGTCCCGATCGATGGAGCCCGGCGATCAGGGGAGGGAGCTGGGAGGGTTCGAGGTCAGCGCCAAGTGTGAAATCCCAGGAAACTCCCAAGAAGCCCACCTGCGCAGTGCAAAGGCTGAGCTGGATCATGTGATGCTAGCTAATGAAGGCCGTCTATCCGGAACCGCTACTTACTACCATTCATATGCCAAGGCACCCATGACCATTGTGAGGGTCATGCCGAAGACCAAGGCAAACTGGCAAGCACTTGAGGTTAATCCACAAGTTCATTGGTTCATTCAAAAGAGCTGCAGAGCAAGCCACCCTGAAGGCCAAATCCATCTCTTCTTCCATGGATCCAAGCCTCCCCCGCGCCGCGAACGCTGGTTTGGCTCGTCTGACAGAAGTCAACACGAGCGTCTAAGTGTGGCGTCTACAAAGGTATCTGAGATAGGCGTACACGGTGCCACCCATGGAAATACCAATGAAGCAGCAATTCACAAAGGAATAGAAGACCTCGGTGTCACAATGTCCCAGGCACTGTCGAAACAAAAATATTTTCGTGCCGAATTCTCTCGACAGTTTCACCTCCGGCTTCTCAGTCTTTGGATGTCACAGTGGTTGTTCGCAAACACTGAGAGATGATTTTTAGTTGAATTTAGTTGAATTGTGGTTGTTTGTCTTCACTGGTCTTTTGCTGGCAAGCTTGCATGTTTTCACAAATCAGAAACGCGTTGACTTTATCAGATTGGAAATGCTCACAGACTGGAGGTGAAAAAGAGTATACGATGCCTTAAAGCGGGCCCCATGTGGATACCCCCTCAGAATAATCCACCTATAGTTTTTGGCACCCTCCAACCAAATTCAAACTAATATTATATATATATATATATTGATATTCAACATCCTTTTGACATTTGGAAAATACTGAGTTGATCAACAAGCATTGACCGACCCTGCTGTGGAAGATTGTTTCCGCGCTGGGACCGTAAGACCTTTTGTTTGAAGAGATCAACTTTCAAAGCCATACAAAATCATCAGTCAGTCTTCCAACCCCAGCGTGCCCTTGGAATAGTTTCGCAGCGAAACATTTGCATTTAGGTTAGGGAGACAAAGGGGCATGTCCTAAACTCGGGCAGCGGACCAAACAAGCGGCAGCCAGGGGTCGACCAAAAAATTGCAATTTCCAACAAACAGTGCCCAAAGTTCATCAAGCCGAGGCTTCCTGAGTAAACAATCAACTGGCATTCGCGAAACGCCTTTGGAATGCCATCTGCTTGAGATTTTTGCATCCCAAGTGCCATCTAGCAAAGCCAGTCTCATCCAAGAAGAAATCGATGGCATCCAGTATTTCTTAGAAAGCATTTGCACAAGAATGCATCAATCAAGCCATATCAAATCTCAATGATACCCACGAGTGGAGATGCAAAGGGGTATCCAGGTGTGAACAACCTCATCTACCTTGCTGCTCGCCGTGAACCGCCTCTTTTTCTTGCGCAGCAAACTTCTCTGCAAGAACAACAGCCCGAGCCTGACAGCATGTCACAATGCCCCCACTGCACATATTGAGGGCATCTCCCTGAACTCCCGTCTCAAAAAAATCGGTCCCGGATCCTACGCTGCATCTCGCTGTAGCTGGGCTTACATCTCGCAGTAGCTGGCTTAAGGCCATACATCAACCTGCCTCGCCTTTCTCTAGCGCGGCAAGATTCTCTGCAGCAAGGCCGCGGCTAGGCTTACATTGGAGCATAGTGAACAACTTGGGCCCTGGGTAAGCTGGCACAAACTAAGCCTGATGAGAGTTTGGAGCGCCTGCTGATCCAAGAGAAAGTGCTGGCCTCGATGATGCATCCACATTTCTCAGTCCAGTGGAGAGCCACGGCGTCAGCAGGAGCTTGAGGTTGATGTGTTCTTGCATGCATTTCCGTCATTGGTCTCACTGCAGTCACCGCTGGGCTTGGGGAGTGGTGAGCAGAGTCAGCCGCAGTGGCAGACAAGCATCTTGAAGCGCAGTTGGTGGCACAGAACGACGCCGAGATGATCTGTGTGGAGACGTGCTCTCAGGACAAGGAGAAGCGGCCAGCGCTTCCTACCCATATTGCAGCAGGGGATGCTAGGGCTAAGCGACCAAGATCTATAGTGACTCTGTCAGATGCGTGCTTTCCACTTTCCAGAAACTGAAAGATTTGCCACAAGATCCGAGCGAGGTTTCAAATCTCGCGAAAACAGCCGTGCCACTTCTGACCAAAGGCAGGACAGCCTGCCAAGGGAGCATTGAGTGTCAAACTGTGCCAAGAAATTTTCAACTGCGCCGGAACGGTTCCTCTTCAAGCAGCTCAAGGATGCCGAAACTCGATGGCTCAAGCAACGGATGCGGCCTTGCGGTTGCACGCTAGCTTTGTCTGTGGAAGAAGACTATGTGACAGGAGGGCGAATCCTTGCGTGAAAACGCTTCCTCTTGTGGCCCTGCACAAAGTTTGATTGGCCAAGTGGCGCCAGTTGCACCACTTCAAGTTGAACTATTGAGCCATCAAAGGCCCAATCTCGACCAATGCTCAAAGTCTACGCGTAGCAAAGCATGATCATATCGCTCGGCGACTTGTGCTTCCGTGCACGCGCAGGCTGGATTCAAAACTTGTGCGGAAAGCAGGAACTATGACAAATGGCCCTGCCTTGACGAGTCTCAGTGCATGACGATTTGATTCGACCAGGTGAAGTCTTGAAATGTCATTGAAGAACCTCCAACTGAGCATTGTACATGGTTTTGTGATGGAAACGTGTTGAGCCAAAAGGACGACAAACAGGCTTGAATTAACATAATAAACAGTTGGGTGTAAAATATATTATTGTCAAAAAATAAGTGTTCTCGCCGTACACGTATGATTTCTGGTCGGACATGAGACATACTTGTCGGGAATAGAACGCGTGCTCTCTCAAATCTATGTGATTTCCTTTGAGTCCTAGACTAGAATCATATCCCCCCATAAAAGCAGTCCTAGGATATTATTCCGAAAAACTTTTCCAAGAGGTTACATGACCCCTGGAATAATAGTTTAAGGCATGGAATATGCAAAAGGACTTTTGGACGACAAGCCGTGCAACCTCCATGGGCCCCTGTCATCTGTGTATAGGAATCAAATCGATCTAAAAAGCGTAACTTGCAGCCGCACACTTCTCAAGCCTTAGTTCTTCGTTTGGTCTTTGTGAAGGCACCAAAAATGGCTCTCTTCGCCTGGTCCCTACCAGTAGGTGCATTAAATCTATCCACAAATGCCCCTTATATAAATGGGAGGTCTTGCAGAGACTTTGCCAAAGCCCCGCTGCCGAGGTCAGGCTTCCTTCAGCCAAAACACCAGCAGCAAGAAGTACTTGTGGTTCCTGGAAGTTGGCACCAAGGAAGGATGAGCTTGAGATTCCACCCCACATTATGAGAAAATGCACTGACCCCGTGAAAGATTTCTATTAGGTCTTGATCCACAAGCACCCAAAGAAGTACCTGAGCCGCTCAAACGCCAATTTGGGCAATCACTCAATGCTTTGGAGACTTTGTTCCTCGTGTTCATTCAATCTGCTGATTTCTTCAAGCCAGTTCCTGTTTCGCCACAAATGGTTTCCAGCATATTGAGACAGCAATAGCTCGTCAACAAATCTAAACGCTGGTTGGCTCGTTTTCTCTCTAGTTAGTGTGTCTCACAATGTCTTGCGCTTGATTGGAAGCAATGAGACTGGCCAAGGATTTTGGATAGCTTACAGTGTCACTGCCCCAAAACATCCAAGGCAAAAGGAAGAATGCTTTCCACGTCCAAAGTGCGATGTGGTTCAAATGAGATAGTGAAACACGATCAAGTCTAGTCGGCGGCTTTTCGATGGTTGGGGAAATCAATGGATCAGCTGAAAAGGACAGGTGGATGTCACTCCTATGACATCCCCAGACACTCTTCAGCTCTGATTTTCAGCATCCAAGCCACTGAGACACTTCAACCCAATAGCGATGGCCTCCAAGCTACTAGGGATAGCCTCCAAGCTTAAGTACTGTACAAAAGTCTTGTTTCAAACCTTGTTGGGTATGGCTAGTGCTGCCCTATGAAGCCTACGACATCGAGAGCACTCGCAGTCCTGAAGCCGACACAGTTGGCAATCCAGGGACAGTGGTGGTCCATGCGCAGAACGCAAGAGCTGGCGATGGATGCTACGAAGGCAGAGTCAGAGTCTAGAGTCTAGTCACAAGAAGACTCCAAAGAATAGAAGAGACATGTGTGTTGAGTCCTGGAGGAAAATGAAAGGAAGGACATGGAAGACAATTCTGGATAAGCCAAGTCATATGACTCTCTGAAGTGTCACAATCGAAGGCACTTGCAAACTCTGCAATGGTGACCTGAGCTATCGAACTCGCAAATCACCAGCACCAACATGGACACAAAGCTTCTCGCACGTGAAATTCCCTTTCAGGCATCAGGATCCAGCATCTATCTGGCTTGTACCTGTTGATCGGGTCTTGAACTTGAAAGTCTCAAAAACCTTGAACTTGCATTGCTTTCGCGTCCCATGGTATTTCTGCAGCAAGTCCAGGGCACTTGGTACATTTGTTGCAGAACCGGCGCTCTCCATTTTGTTTTACCTCACACGAAGCCAGGTTTCAGCATGCCAAGCCAAGTGTCGCGACCATGGCAGCACCTCATGGCAAGGAGGTGCTATTGGTACCTGGCACAACGACCCCGTCCCGGCGCAACGACCGCCGGTGTTTCGCCCAGCGACACCACAGGCCTGTGGCTCGGAGGAAGCACCAGTCCTGCAGGCAGTCTGCTAGTAGTTCCAGCTTGCACGCTACAAGACAGCTTGGCTGCCTTGATCCTGTCTTTCCCGTCCAATCATCAGTGTCTGGCCTGGAAGGACACCACACAAATACCAGCTGTCTGCTTTAGTAGAACTAAACAAACAAAAACAACAAATCACAGCCCAGCGAAACATTTGCACTGATGCCACAAGCTGAGCCATGGGTGTCTTGAGAGTCACACACTGAGCCTGGGTCGGTACACACCTGGACAGGCAGAAACCACATTGCTCAAATTCACCAACGACCACGGGTGTGGTGTGGTGTCTGAATGTGTCTGAGGCTGCGGCTGCTCTGACAAAGCAGATCAGCATAAGAATGACTAGTGTCTGTGAAACGATGGCTTCCACCTCAGAAATGCCAAATAGAAGATGTTCGGGAGATTGCGAGAGTCCAAAGGGCTGTGAAACACCCAAAGCTCCTCTGACAATATACACTATATAAAAGTATTGAAAGTTAAAACCATCAACTGTCAACCATTCCATTACAAGTGATCCCAGCTCTCCTCCCCCCGCAAGAAAAATATTGTGGACCACCCCACTACACTTTTGGTTTGCTGTGCCAATGGCCAAGCATCAGGTCTCACTCCACTTCTGCATTTCTCCCACTCAGTAGAGCCTCAGCCCCACACCAGATTCATGTGAGTCCGCTCGTGCACCTGCAACAGATCGTCTTCAAGACAGAGCCCAAATGTGAATTGGTCAAAACTCCAAATCAGGGAGGCTCATCCTGCCCAAATCCAGGCCCCAAAGCTCGGCTTGAGGCTTCAAGGTTCCCATCTCTTCCGTGGACCATCCATTTTAGAAACAATAAGCTACTAGGAACAAGTGCATCGCTACTAGTAACAAGTGCCTTACTACTAGTAACAAGAAGCTACTACTATTAATTTAATTGAAACACGATGGGTCTTCGGCACCGGACCCCTTAGCTCGCCCTCTTCAGGGTCCCCCTCGCCGTCACCTCGCCTCGCTTCTGTGGAGCCCTAAAAGATGACATGTCACGTAGGTCCACCTCGGGGACATCCGAACGGTCCACTCAAAGCTCCGCGAAACACCGAGAATCTGGGAGAAACACCCAAGTCCACAACAAGAAAAGTGGCGTGTGTGGCGAAGAACAGTTGGTCGGCTCCTGTGATCAATTTGTCCTCTACCATCGGGTCCTTCAAAAATAATATAGCCCATCGCAAATAATACCGACTTGGAACAGACTGAGATTGTGCGGAACTATGGAGTGTTGCAAATGCTCTCGGAATTGGAGATCATCCTGCATTCTTGCAAGCTTCAGGAAAAAAGCATAGGTTTCACAAGAATGCTATAAACGTTGAGCCTTTCAGTTATCTGTCAAAAACATTCAAAAACCAGGGTGTTACCAATTTTTAAGCAACCACTTGATGTCACAGATTGCCTTTATCAGGGTGGCCCACAATTCCAAAGACAAGGGTCCACAACAAAAAGAGACATCCTTGTGGTGGTCATCTAGATTCCTTGGGGAGGTTCCAGAAACTGCACTCTAAGGCATCATGACTCAAGACCAAAAGCGTTGTCCGACAGAGCTGCCAAATCATCCCAATGATGCCCAGCACAAAGACAACAGGTAGGACCTGAGTATCAACCTACGCGCTCGTTTCATTTTAAAGCGGGCCTTCACTTTCGGAAGCATCTAACAGGCTCGGGGTGCTACGTTTGAAAACGTCCATCTAGAAGTGTTTTTAAACCTGCCACAGCAGTTGAAAGCAGAAAGAGATCCTGTACGTGCCTCCTCGCAAAGTTAAAGCATCCTTCAGAAAGCTCCAATCTCTCTCGAAACAAGCGTTTCGCACGTTGAACATGGTATTCTTGTTCCTGTTTGACGTGATCCATCTTCCGATGCTCCGCATGTGCTGTACGTGGAACAGCATCAAGTCACATGCCAAAGGCAACGCCATCTGCAGTTCGCTGAATGGACTGTGCGGCCAAATGGAAACAGCACCCACCTGAGCAGTGAAAGAATGGCGGCGCGTGAAATGAATGGAATGAGACATGGTGAGGGTGTTCCACTTTTTGACATGTCCAGACGAACAGTCTCCGACTGATAAGACAGTCTCATCATCGGGCGCATGCTCAGAAAACGTGGAGGGCCATGCGGAGCGCTGCATCAAACTAAATCGCTTCAGAAGTGCGCTGTATCCAGGCAGAGGCTTGCCGGCCATGAACCCAGAAGATGTGTCCGGAAGCCAACAGTTCATGCATCGTGTGTGTGCCCGTTTGTGCCCAAATTTCAACAACTGTTGCCAACAAGATCTACAACCCTCAATGACCCAACGCCACCCAGGTCTGTCCGCCTGTGAAGGCAGTGGCTGAGCTTGCCTGCCAGGGCCATGGCTATGACTGTCATCTGGATTTTAGACTAGACTCCAGAGCATGCAGCCATCACATACCAACAAGTCCCGGCCTGATGGAAAGACACAGGAAAGGCCCATTGAGCCATTCCCAAGCTGAACATTCCAGAACATGTTGGAAGGCTCTCTCCAGGATGTTGTTTTGCAGTCTCTTGCAAACTTTGCCCTGTGAATATGTTGCAGAAAACAAATACTGAGCATGCAAACAGATCAGCAGTCAGCGGTCCTTTTCCTCAAGCTTGGCAAAGCCTGCTTCAACCATCGGCAGATTGCCTGCCTGGCGAATATGGGTTGAGCCTCAGCAAGAAGGGTATTAGTATCACACTCGAAGGACTGACACTTTCAGCTAACTCTAAGCAGTGAACTGAAGCACGCCACAGTGCAACATGTCCTTTGGTCGCTCTGTTCTGCGAGAGGCAAGTAGAGCCTGAGAAGGTTAAAGTAGGCGTGGGTCAAACAATGTAGTTTGTGTAGTTCTACTGCACATTACCAGCATTACCAGCACCACCAGCACCACCAGCACCACCAGCACCCTCCCTACCTTCCTGACATAAAACCCTGCAACACACGACGTCGTCGGTCACATCTGTCGTGTTGAACACTACCCACCTGCTGCAGGACCTTGTTGAATTGCTTTGGGCGGAGTGGCTCACGGTAGACCTCCACAATGCAATGGCTTTCTTCGGCTTTTAGACCCATCTGCCGTGCCTGGTCATCGCTCTGATTGTAGAACACATCCAGCAAAGGCAGTGAGGTCCTGCAAAAGCCCGTTTGTCGACTGTTCCATTCATAGGGTTCCTGAAAAATTGTCACGGCTTACACCCCTTTGGATTTTTTATCACCTGTTCAGCACCCGAAAGAGCGGGACTTCAAGTGACACCACTTTCGTTGAGGGAAAGTGGCCTCGGCCGATCCGTTTGGGACGAGTCCGGTCCCGCCATCAAAGCCCGAGTGCGCATTCCATCCGTAGGCCGTGTGGTCGCGATTGACCTGCAACCCCAGCAACGAAGAGTGGAAGGTCATGGGCAACACGTGGCCAAACGAAACAGGATTGGAGTAACCAACATGTTGCCAAACTGTCGACCAGAATGTTCATAACGAAGACACCAACACCACCACCGAAGGCTGGCCTCCTCTGCACCGAACGTGGCCCAAAAAAGGAAACTGTGTTCTGAGATGTCAATGCCGTCTAGATGTACGGTGTCAAGCCTCAGAGTCTCCATGAAGGAAGTGGAAAATCACCAACTTCTCCTCGGTGACCATCGAAAGGGTCCGAGAAAGTGTTCAGTGCATTACATCTAATCAATTTCTGTGAACTGTGAGCTCCAGCCATAGTGCCAGTCCAGCCAGTGGTGTTCAAGACTCTTGCAGACACAAACCTCGGTCAGATGTTTCTGTCAGAATTGGAGTCGCTGTCAGCAGGAGCAACCCCGGATGTTTTATATGGCTCTTCGACACCAGGTTCGCGAATGCGTTGCTCTTCGACGCCAGGGCGAGCCACTCGTTCACGGGGTCCAACAAGGCCCAGCGCGGCACCACGGGCTCCAAGTACCTAGCAACAAGAAGCTACTAGTAGCAAGTGCATCGCTAGTAGTAGGAAGGGCATCGCTATTAGTAGCAAGAAGTGGGCAAAAAGGAGATCTAGTAACAAGAAGCTACTAGGAACAAAGGGCATCGCTACTAACAAGGTTAGGAGCAAGAAGCTACTAGTAGCTCTTTCGGTGTCCTTTCGTTTTCTTGTTCCCTCGTTTTTCGTGGCGTGGCTCCAACGAGCCACACGTCGGCCAACAAGGCCCGGCCTTTCCCAGTGACCAGCCAGCTTGGTGGGACCCTGTTTCGAAACCTGAAGAATCTGCATTTCGGATAGGGCGCAACTTGAAGAGCTTTGAAGAAGAGATGGACTCTGGTGAAGTGGAATTGTCCTTCAAACAGGCGCTCTAAGCAACAGTGGCCCTCAAATGGATGGGAGCGATCAGGAAACACATCTCACGTCCACTTTCTCTCTCAGCTGCTCGTGTTCCTAAAGATAGGTAAGGTCTTCCCTGTCGCAGTGAAGCAGGAGCACCACCAAGAAAGTCGTTTCGTGAGAGTATTCTCGCAGGTCTTCTTAATTCAAAACCATCATCAGCCAACCCATGTTTGTCTGCCTTGCCTCATCAGGGCGACCAGCAAGGAAAGCGCTAAATGCTTGCTGGTCGTGAGTGTAGACCTTGGTACTGAAGAAAGTATTCAAGGTGGAGGGAGAGATCACCTAGAAGCGATGGCCTTCACCCTAATAGCGATGGCCTCCAACCTAATAGCGATGGCCTCCACCCTAATAGCGATGGCCTCCAACCTAATAGCGATGGCCTCCACCCTAATAGCGATGGCCTCCAACCTAATAGCGATGGCCTCCACACCCCAATAGCGATGGCCTCCAACCTGATAGCGATGGCATCCACCCTAATAGCGATGGCCTCCAACCTAATAGCGATGGCCTCCACCCCAATAGCGATGGCCTCCAACTTAATAGCGATGGCCTCCACCCTTATGGCGATGGCCTCCAACCTAATAGCGATGGTCTTCAACCTAATAGCAATGGCCTCCCCTAATAGCGATGGCCTCCAACCTAATAGCGATGGCCTCCATTCTACTTCAAATTAAGTTTTGTCCTTTGTTTCAACATCTCAAAGTCTTCAGAGAGCTTCCCACATGCTCATACATCCATGAAAGGAGAAGAAGCAGCCACTCCGCAACCACCTGCGCAACACTTCAACAAATCACTTGGAAACATCAGAACCTTCAGCAACCTTCAGAATCATACATAAAAAGCGGCCTTTGTGGCTTTGAAGAACACCAGGCCACTGCAAATGCAGTCATCAGCGAAAGAGCCACTGACCAAAAGATCAACGGACCTGGCAGTGCTTGTTTGGTCCTGTTGGCCCAGAGCTCAAAGCTATTTGCAAAAAAGAATTGAAGAGTGCAATGGTAAACCGAAGCGGCACCCGATTTGGATTCACCCGAATTGAAGCCTCCATTGAGCTTCGCCCAGGATGAAGGGAGTCGGGTCTTGCAGCAAGAAGATGTCAAAATCTAGCCTTTTCACAGATTGACAACAATGACAAATAAAACTGATAAAATATCTCATGTTCAGCTCTCACCAATCAATTTTTCACAAGTTCAATCCAACCCGTGTCACTCAAGTAGTTTATGGGTGTATGGCAGCGGTTTTAGGAGCCTTTTTACTCTTTTTAGGTCTTAGAAAAGTGGTGCATTGGCAAGAGATGGCAAATGGAGCTAGCTACTCTTCCAGGATCAAAAAGGGACCAAATGCTCCGAAGATGACTTAACTTTGCCAAAACAGTTTTTTTCAATGCAGGAAAGGACTGAGATAGAGGAGATGCAGGGCTACGGATCAAAATTGTCTTGAAAGAAAACGAAACCAAAGCACAAGTCCCCTGTGTGAAGCGATGTGCCAGTTGTGAACCAAGTCTCCCTTGAGATCATTCCAAGCTTTGCAAATGCTTGGACAACTGACTAAGGCTGCAGCCAAAAGACATCAATGTTTAGCCACAAATATATCAAAGGCCTTTCAGAGACCAGTATGTTGACTTCTGAAACGAGCAGTTCAGAGCCTTCATGCACTCGTCATACCAGACGCTGAGAACCCAGCAGCGTGAACTTGTTGAGGATTGATGGTGTTCCAGGCACACACCTGCCGGCACACCCATCTTGCCCACTGTCGGTGTCTCCGCGGACGTGATGCACCTGTCTCCGCGGCCCAAAGACAAGCATGTGTCTAGAGCTGCATCATCCAGGCAAAAGAGCACCAGGTTTGATATGCCTCCAGGTTTGCAGACTAAGAACAAGAAGCTACTAGGGGCTCCTGGCATCGCTACTAGGAGCAAGAAGCTACCAGTAGCTGATGTCTTGCGTCCATCATTCTTGAATCAGTGCATAGAATGGATGCCTGGCGGCCAACCTTTTCTTTTGGACCATCCACCGCCCACAGCTGATGGTGACCCCCAGTGCTGACCCACCCACTTGATGTGCTTTTAGAGGCGCCAAATGCTTCAGCCCTGTGCACAAAGCGCTGGATGTAGGGCACGTACCTGGCACCCCACGACCACGACGCCGAAGATAGCCACACTGTGGCGCACCGAGGGCCGAAGACCATGGTTATGTACAGAAAGTTCCTGGCCTCTAGGCCTCGCGCCTCAGAGGTAAATGCTCGTCTTTTCGCAAACATCTGGCAGCACCCTGCAGCCCCAGCACCCAAACTCCCAACGCACAGCCATGGACATCTCGCAGCCACCCTAGAGCAGCGCCCTGCAACAGCAGCAGCACCCAAGCTCCAAAGCGCACACAATCACTGCTTCCTTTACTTGAAGTCAGAACTCAGAACCCCAATAGCTCTCGGTATCTGGGGAAAGATGCTTCCGAACTTTTCAATCAAACTGCAGCCCCACACCTCTGCCCCGTTGGTGGCATACGGCTTTGGTATGCCCGCCTTGAGCTGCTGACATCGTTTTCGAAGAAAAACCACAGATTCGCTGGGTAGCCCGAACGAGGACAGACTTCAGGACGCCCAAGAAGGATGGTGACATCTTTGCACCTCACAAGAACGTGTCAAACCTGCGAAGAAAAGCCCCACGAAACGTCCCGAGGCAGCCAGGGCCTGGTTCTGAAGCGCCCCAGAGCGGTCTCTCCAGCAACGGGAAAGCACCTGTCAGGAGTCCCAAAACCGTGTCCAGTCGGAGTCCCCAAACCGTCGAGTCCAGAAATGGCATGCCAAGGGACCCTGGAGCTCGGAGGGCAGGAAGTCCAGTCGGAACTCATGCCGCTTCAGTGGAGCTCGAATTCGATCAAGAAATCCAAACCTGAGGAGCTCCACGCAAGCCATCCTTGAAGCTACCCCCCTCCCCCACAACTCCTGGCAAACCAATGACAAAGGCCCGTTTGGGCAAAGCCTTATACTATCACCGTTTGGGAATTGCCAAGACTCTTGAGGGATGTATACTAGAATCATCCTGAGAACCGCACATACCCCACGAATTGCAGGCAATCTCTTGCCAGTCACGTTCCTGGGAAAATCTGAGAAATCTGTCTCTAAGTTCCTTATCCCCAAGAAGCTCAGAACAAGGCGCGAAACATGTTGTCAATGATCACAGCATACTGGTTGACACATTCAGCCTGCCTTAGTTGACAGCCTAGATTAAAAATCAACCGACTTGACACGGGATCTGGCATGGACTGTTTCACACATCATCAGTTGCCGCCACCACTCTGCTTCAGGACATCTTTGCCGAGCGTCGTCTCCGCACAAACAGCCAGCTTCCAAAGGGACACCAGCGCAAAGCCATACGTGCACTCCTGGTCAACTGCAGGGGGCCGGGAGCCTGTTCCTATTAGGTTGGAGGCCGTTGCTTGTAGGTTGGAGGCCAGCGCTTGTAGGTTGGAGACCATTGCTTTTATAGGCTCAACTACACGTCCACTCCTCCATGCCGGCCAGCCAGTTCGCCTGGAAGCTTCTCCGGTAAACGAGGTGTTTGGCCTCATGAAACCTCACAGTCGGGCAGTAAAACACAAACGCCAGCTTGTTTGATTCACGTAAGTGCGCTTTCCTTTGATGAGTTATTCTATCTCTGATTTGCAACTGACCCTGCTGTCAAGGAAAAGAAGGACAAATTCAAGTTCCCTTCTACGTTGGTCTTTCGTCTTTCGCACAATTCTGCACACTATTCAACGTATTCCTCATAGTGTGGCAGAATCACACACATTACACATCCCCTTGCAAACTTTGATACTATGTTCGGTCAGGAAGCGTTAAAACCCAAAAACACATCGAACTCACACACTCAAGATGTTGCGTACGGAAATGACTTGCGGCTTGCCACGCGCCAGCCTAAGTAAAAACCTGAGGAACCAGGGTGAGTATACGTAAAGTGTTCTGACCATGAGAACCTTCGATGAAGAACCGCTGCAAAGGCTGGACGCATTTTTCGGTTTACCATCAGGGACCATAAGGAAACAAGTTTTAGCACTCAAGCAGGTACGTGATCCCAGCGTCCCAGGATCATATCAGCCATGGAATGCAGCCCTCTCTTGGTTGGACAACCAACTGCATCCATGGGATTGTCGTCCTGCAATAAAATTAACGTAACGGTCCCCCGTGACTCTAAGGGTTTCACACAGTTAGGAAATGCGCAATGAAAGGAAAGCTGCTCGCCACACGGCAACCTAGGTATCCATAATCCCAAGAGGCCAGGGAAACAAAGACCTGAAAATTGTAAAAATTGTAACTGGAGCGGAGGCCAACCAAAGCGAATGCGACCGAGCGACAAGGACGACAGAAACGTGCACAAAAAGAAAGGAACACACAATCAAAGGATTCCATGTGACTCCAAGGGTTTCACACACACACGCCTCCCACAAGGGAAGCACGGAAAACTAATGTTTAGACTAATGTGCCTGCGCGCGCAAAAAGACAAACGGATGAGGACATGACAGGAAGACAAGACAGACAAGGTGTATGTGGTTGCGATGACAAGCAACCAAGTGACCAGGAACAACCAGATGAGCCAAACCTCGTTATAACAACCTGGGCGACCTCAGACCTGGGTTTCGTGTACGGGTGCACGTGCACACTGAGGATCGGACCACTGTGCGCGCAAAAGAGAACAAGTCGTTCACCGACAAATCATCCTGCGAGATGATGCGTCTGATCATCACTGATGTGAAACCAAGAACGAATAGGCACAGGCTAGCAGGGCTTCTGAGGTGATGCTTAGGCCCACGGGGGGCGAGCAACAAAAGGTGGAAAATTGAGGAAGCCTGCGAAAAGATTAGAGCCAAGTGCGGTAGGGTGAGAAAGAAAGAGTGAAACAGATGTCAAGGGACGGGACAGCCCGGGAAGGGGTGCAGCTGTAATGCGCTGTCCGCATGCAGCCGCGGCTAGAGCTCCGCTCGTAGCCAGGAGGCCCTAGGATCTAGAGAGGCCGGCTCAGGGAACGCTCAGTAGACGAAGCCAATTACTCTGAAAGTTCAGCACGGCGGCGGAGCGCCGCTCGTGCGCGGTGGCTGCGAACCACCACGCAGAGTTCTTGAAGGAGCGAGCTGTGCAGGATCGCCTTCGCCTTCAGTCCGGGCCGCTGCGCTCAGTGACTCGCCTCCGGCTCCCACGCTCCAGCTGACTCAGCGACCATTGGTACAAAACGCACCCCTTGGGCCGCGCAAAGTTTCGCTGTGTCCAGGTGTGAGGCTTTAGTGGCAGCAAGCTGGTGGCTACCGTCAGGGCTGCGGTGGCCGGCCTGGCAACGATGTCCTGCCGCTGTGGGGCCGCGATGGCCAAGTCGGGCAGCAGGCGCACCGTTGTAGCTGGGGAGGAAGATGTCGGCCGGTCTACGTTGTTGGTGGCTAGCGTCTTCTGGACGCTGGGGGAGCAGGAGCCCCGGACGCTCCTTTTCCGGTTGGAGCCCGGCCCGTTCGGCCCAACGGCACAGGACATCGCGGACAGCTGTATGGCGCAGGGTTCGCTCTCCCCCGGCCACGCAAGCGCCAGCGTGGAGGGACAGAGTGTCCATGATGCCGTTGCATTGGGGCGCCATTTGTCCTCGCTAGCGTCTGGAAGGTTCAAACGGTGGTGGCGCAGCTCCGTGATGAACACTGCACTCTCCATCCGTGTGGGCCCACCCGGGCCCCAGGCTCCGCTTCAGAGCGCAAGAGGGCTTGAGCGGCGGATTGTTCCAAGTGTGTGCGCCAGGAGGCTTCGTCTGTGGCACGGGCAAGGGCTTTTTGGGTCATGCTCAAGGCGGCCCCCGGTGCCAAGGGGTTGGTGAGCATGGCGTTCAGCATTGTCGTGGCCACAGTAACGGCGGGGTCCACCACCACGGACGCGGCGACATAGCCCCCGTCAAGTTCTGCACACGCCGTGGCTGTGCTCCCAACCGAGGCTAAGTATGCAGCGGGGGCATCCAAGGCTGCCGATCTGAGACCTCGCCCGGCGTATGCCAAGCCGCGGCCGGCCTGTTCTCTTTGGGTGGCATTGAGGTGCAGCCCGGTTATACTCGAAAAGGCCGAGTGCAACGCGGTGTTGTAAGTCTGGAGAGGCTGCAGTTGGGCGTGGGGCGGGTTGCATCGAAGGCTGTGCACTATGCACCCATACCCCGCGCAGGTGCGGAGCAGGCGGAGCCCCACTTGGGCATCCCCGATGCCAAACAAGGCGTCCAGCAAAGGCAAGACGGCCTGAACCCGATCAGCAGTGTGGGCCGCAAGGTGGGCCAAGGGGATCACCCTGCTGGACCCCCCCCGCGGATTGGATGGTGGACTGGCCAAACCGCAGGAGAGAAGGGCTTTCAGAGCACCAGGCAACCCACGGCGCTATGTGCGGGAAGTGGCAAGCCGCAGCTTGCAGGACCGCTTGCCGCGAGACGCGGTTGAAGGCATTGCTGAAATCAAGTTTGAGGAGGACCTTGCTCCGGTTGTGTCGGTTGCGTTGGACCCAGGCTCGCACCGTGTGCACAGCAATTTCTGCTCCCGCTTTCACCCCGACTCCAACTTGGGAAGGCCAGAGGAGACGGCGAGCTTCTGGTTGCACCATGTGGGCCAAGCATTTTGCAGTGAGGCGCCGCAGCACTTCCCCAATGGCAATGGGCCTCACCCCGCCATGTGGCTTGGGCACCGCTACCAGGCTGGCCCCGGCCAGGACGGGGGCAACGGCCCCGCACGCCTGCCCCGGACAAGGGAGGTGAGGTGTTCTGTGACTGCTTGTAAGTTGCCCGGGTGGCCTGCTTCCCGGAGGTGTTGGACTCGGAGGCCTGATGGTCCAGGGGCAGTATCGGCGGGAAAGCTGCGGAGAGCCTTGGAAACCACATCCACCGGGACCTCATCCGCTAGTGGTAGGCTTGCCCAATCCACTGCTGGCTGGGCTTGCGCGGGGTGGAGGGCCCGCAGCGCTGTCGTGGTGGCAGCGGCTTCGGCGCACAGGGAACAAGGGTGAGGTGACGAAACATGAAGCCAGAAAGACATGAAAATAAAGAGAAAAGAAAGTGTGTGTGAAGGGATAAGGATGAAAACGGAACCAAATGGAAGGGCCAAAAACCGATGAATCCGACCTTTGGCATAAGCCTCCTGCTGTCCGCTAATGCGTACTGAAAGGAAAGCCGCTCGCCACACGGCAACCTAGGCATCCATAATCCTAAGAGGCCAGGTAAGCAGAGACCTAAAAGTTGTAAAAGTTGTAAGTGGAGTGGAGGCCAACCAAAGCGAAAGCGACCGAGCGACAAGGACGACAGAAACTTGCAAAGTCTGCCGACCTAGCTCCCAGCTGCAAGGGTTTCACATATACACACACACACACAAAAAAAATGAACGCTCAGCAGTCACTCTCTGAGCAGATTACCAGTCAGGTGCCTGCAAAGCTTGACGTAACTGCAACCTGGGGAGCTTGGCGGGAACCGACGTAACCTGCTTCACCGAATAGTTGATCATCCACTGCAACCTACTGCTTCACCTGATATTTCAAGATATAAGATATTTCACTGACTCTCTGCACCAACTGCTTCACCAAATTAAATAACCCTTCTTTGTTGGTGCTGTGTTTGAATGTTGTGAAAAATCATGACTGTGCAATGAGGCTGCCACCAGTCCAAGGCAGGCTCCTGCAAAGGCAAATTGAAGCCACTGCCACACGATAGAGTTCTTTCCAAGCAGGGGCCACAAAACTGCCGCTCCCAAACCTGAATCTCTGTGCAGCTCAGCTCGGGATCATCGTAGTACGCGGGAAGCCTAGAAAATGAGTGTCTTTCGCCTTGTGCAACCTGTTTTTCTGGGTTGTTTTCACATCTCAAACCAAGACCCCAAGTAGGAAACGAATGAAACACCATGAACCCCCCCCAACGCTCCAATCGCCAACGCCGTCGATTCGCTTCTCTTCACGCTCGATTCTCTCCGCGCGAGGTCCCAGGTGTGGATCGGAGCCTGATGCTATCCAGCGCAGCCAAGACCGGCCAACGGGTGCCAAGCAGAAGCTCCAGAGTCAAACGTGTGCTGCGAAAGATCTCTTGAATGACCTCCAAGTGCTTCAGTGCTTGACAGGAGCAAAGAGGCCGAGCAACATGCAAAACCTCTTATGTGTTGTAGTGAGCACTCTTCCCAACGTTATCGTTTTTGATGTGAACCTTATCATTCCTGAGGGTTTGGGCACACCTAACAACATGTACTAAAACCTTATCATGTTTTCTGTGAACCTTAGCGTTTGAAGGTTTCCTTCACTTTACTTACTTAGTTTTCACTGTAGTGATGCTGCCTTCATCGGAGGTTTTGGCAGTTGCTCATATGATTCTGCCATCATTGGTTCGAAACTCTGCTCTTTCAGGCTACTCTCACACCTCTTTACCAGAACGACTCTGAATTCTGGAGTCGAGCAAAATGCTATAGAGCGACAGAGCTACACGTACGGCTTTGATTTGAGCAAAGCCCTGCCTTCCCCAACTCATTTTGAAATACTTCCACCCAATGCTTGATTTGGTTAACCCACTATGAGTCTTTTTGCGGTGATCGGACCGAGATTGGATTTTTAAATCAGTTCGTAGCCTCCATCGGCTTTAGCCAATTCTAAGTCATCAACCTGTTGCTTGGTGGCCTAATTGGAAAGCACGTCACGATTTCTGTTGTAAGAGGAACACGATGTACTTCAGGGCACGGAGAGGTCGGTGGGTTGGCAGGGCCAAGGAAGATAACATTCGCTGTCATTGGTGCAAGAATAGGCACCTTGCCCTTTACAAAGTGAGTGTGTGGGTGTGTCACGATGATAACTTAGTGTGATCTCATGTGCAAATGACAAACTTGGTTGTCGTCGTCTTGCTACTTTAAGGAGGGAAAGGCATTATTCATTTTTCATAACCAAAGGCGAGTTCCAAATGTGCATGTTTTGTGGAAGAGGATGCTATAATTTTGATGAAATGGCCCGAGGCCTCCATTTGTTGGACATCGTGCAGAACAAAAAACTATTTCAACTCTTTGCGTTTGCTTTTGGTGTCTTCCCCGACACAATGCTCCCAACCAATTTTTCAGCCTTTGAGGTTCTTCTCCCTGTGTTTTTGAACTTGTTTCCTCTGCTGTTGATTTCAAGATAGCGAGGCAATGGCAACATACTGGCTGCATGAATTCAAGTGCCAATTGCAATGCTTAAGGGCGTACCTTTAGGAACTTGCATAGCTTTAAGACTTGACATGGTCGGTCCCCTGCCGCAACTTATGGACCGTATGGGAAGGAGAAGCATCCTCTCATCCCCAAGAAAAATTCAGGGGAGGAGCGTGGCTGAGCAAAGCTCAGGCTCACAAGTTTCACTCTTTTGCCTTGTCCAAGACCGTGTCCTTTGTGTACTTATGTGGGCCCCATGCTGATGCCCAGTGCGTGGGCACGCACACTTGTAAGATTTCACTCAAGACAGCAGTGGTGTTTGATTTGAAGGTCTGAATTGCCAATTATGCGAAATGCCAAGGCGGCTCACGAAAGCGACTGTTTGCAACGGTGCAGATCTTCAATACATCACTTGCTCTTCATTCTAAACCACGTGTTATTCACTAAATAGAATGGCGATATGCAAACAATGCCATGTAAACCTTTTAGCATCGTCAACATATCGTATCCCATCAATATGATTGTCTTCTCATTCTACTTGCTTTTTTGCTTATTTTTCATTATCACCTTTGTCGCTGTCTGGAAATCAGTTCCATTGCTTAGATTTTGAAACTTTCAGTAGCTTTGCTAGCTGCATTCCGTGTGCACGGCAATGACACGTGTCGGCGCCTGCGAAAGAAGCTCCGTCTCGGAAGCCGTACAACTCTCTGCCTGTGGAAACGGCAACCAGATGAAACGAAAAGAAAAGAAACGCCTCGCTGCATTCCACCGGTGATTCCATGAGTCGCTGATGCCTCCTCCTCGCTGCAATGGCCAAAACCTTGGCAAGACTGGCCTGAAAAAAGATGCCCCGTCAATTTCGGATGCGTCGCCATGTCTTTGGATTTCATGACACTCAGACATGAACGAACTGCGGCTGCAAACAAGATGCCCAGGAAGCACCTGCAGAGAGAACCCAGCAGTCACTTCTCTGTTGATCTGCTGATCACATGAACTTGGACGTTGTTGCTGAGGCACGGAGGCAGCCGTTGGTCGGCTAAAGTTTCATAAGCCTTGCAGGCGCATGGCAAAACCATTCAGACCTGCTGAAGCCCTGATGTTCCAAGATTCTCCGCACAATGCTTGAGTGGCTATGGAAATGCGGCCTGGACAAAGTGGACTTCTTGCAGTCGCTCTGCAACCACTTTTCTCCATGAAGGCAACTCATCTTGTTCAACCTAGCCGCGGGCTTTTGGCAAGGGCGAGTCGTGTGCAAGGCACGTCTATGAAAAACGAGTTGACAATCTGTGGAAAGCATGTGTGGTCGAGCCTGCAACCTCAAGTCTTTCCAATCTACAGGATCTTCCGGTTCCAAAAAGTCATTCCAACCTTGCAGTGTGCGGCTATTGATTCCATATCACTGACATTTCTACTTACAACGATGTGCATGAAAACAATGGTTTAACACCAGCCCGCAAGAGTTCTCAGTGCTGGAACCAAGAAAAATTGCAAAGGCAACCAACCGACATATATTCCACTCTCGAGCAAGCTGCATATTCCCGATAGCTCTCCAATTGCTAGAGCACTCTGCAGGCAATGTCTGAAAGCAAACCATGTCTGGCAATGAGATCACGGCAATCATAGTCCGGGAATGTCCTCAGCATTTACCATCAAGTCGTTAGAATAGCTGTCTTGGGATGTTCATCGTAGTCTTGCCTCCAGGTTTAGCATTTTTGCCATCGCTAACTACAGAAGGAACTACAAGGAGGATTGAATCCTGGGAAATGGATGTGTTGTGAAACAATATATCACAACTATAGTACTCAAATCCCAAAGCTGCCATCCCGTCACATGCTGATCTGCACAGTGTGTTTCTGTACGTTTGTGATTGAATCAAAAAACAGAGAATCAGTCCCACCAGCTTTTGCCGAGAATCGATTTCCATTGAGGAAGTCGCCCATCAAAGTCCTTTCAAACTGAAGTGACATTGTTTCATCTCCAAACTCAGACGTCGGTCCCAGTGGGCACAGGAAGGCGTCAGCTGAGCCAAGGCCAATGCCAATAACATACAGCTAGTTATGCTGCTTGTTTTCGAGTCGGTGTTGGATTTGGTACCACACTCAAAACAGAATTGCACAACAACAGCCCATGTGACACCAAATAGCAGTGGCAGTGACTGTTTTAGCTGCACCTTCGTCCTACATAAGACTGTGGTCTTTGAGCCCAGATTAATGGGAAACACTTTGCAGATGCACTATGTCACTATGCACTTGAACAAGGTGATTCCAAAGCGATGACTCCAAAGCGACACTGTGCCTTTGGAAACAACCACAATTGAAGTGATAGACCAACCCCAAAACTGCTTCTGCTTAAGTCATCCATTTCCTCACAGGTGCCCAAGCTGCAGGAACAAGCCAAAACCGAGCTAAGGACCAGAGGAACTATACATCTATATCTATAACTGATGACCTCTAACAGTAAAAACCGGCACCATGATGATAACATGCTCACACACCAAAAGTCTAGACCAAAAAGGAATTCAAACAGTTCGCACACCGTCGGATGAGTCTTACCTCTAACCACTTTGAGTGCTTTTTCTGTTCGAAGAGAACGAAGACCAGGAGTACCCAAAGCTGTCAAAGTACCAGCCAATGACTCAGGGCTCATCCCAGATAGTGCTTCTATGCAGTCACTCGGTTACGACATGTCCTTGTAGAAGAAGGTTTGCACACCGTCGGAGTTCTTGCATGGAAAATTTTTTGCCAGCTGCGAATCGTTAAGCTGCCGGTTACTGTAGTGCGGATTGATGAAAGCTCTTTTCAGGGATGTCATTTGCTCGGCAGTGTGGCCCCATTCCTCTTTGATTCGTGTCTCAATCTCTCGAACATCACGCTCATGCAAGGTTTGCTAGAACCAAGTCGTCGGCACCGTTCTCTCTGAGTCGAGAGATCCCACAGGATGTTTTGGCTCATCAGGGCTGAGAGACCTTAAACTAACGCCAGAATCCCACCTGTTAGGCCCTCACACCTGTGACAATTGCAAACTGCTTGCATTCGTTGACCTTTCTAGCACTCACATTACCGAAATCCGGGAGTTTGCGTTCTCCCACTGTGTGCGGCTCCAACACATATGGCTCCTGAAGACGCTACAGACCAAAGCCTTTATGGACTGCGCCATACTTGGAGAGATTGAAGTCCCACCGACACTCCGCTAAATTGCCAGCAAAGCCTTCCTCGATTGCACCTTGTTAACAGGTCTCAACCTGATGCCAGGAAAGCGAACTACCTGGCAGGGACCCTATGCTGAACAAGCGGCCTTTGAGCAGTGCTACAGATTCGTCATGCCGCCATGGATCAACCTCCTCCCGAATCCAGGATACGATCTTGCAGTCCAACGAGTTGCAAATGAGGACCTGCGTGCAAATACCCACCCTCAGCAGGCGGCACTGCAGGAAACTTGGAAACCTCTTTTGTTTGGAGCAATTGGGTTCCTCCCTGCAGTGGTTTTCCCAATCATGCCTGCTTACCATTCGCACGTGCAAACGATGAACCCGCAAGTTGGTTGCCCATGCCCAAGCCTCTTCAACAGTGAGCCATACGATGCCTGGACATCCAGACACAGTACTACGTGCAAAGGGAACTACAAAGGCAACACAACGCTTCGCAACACTCCGCATGCCTGCTGCCTGAATTTCGAATTTAGTGACATGCACATTGTACTGAGAGTCCGTTCTTGCGTGATTCGATGGCCCCTTTTGTCTCACCTTATCTCACAGTTGTTTCACTCTTGCATGATCCGATGAGTCGCCTCGTGCCAGGCCTTGGTTTGTTTGTTGGTTTACTGTGGTTGTTTGTTTTTGCTTTTTGTTTGTTGTTTCTGCCTGGCCGGTAACTCACCTTCAAGCAGCACAAGATGACCTGTGCATTTTCTGCACACATGGTCTCCACCCGTGCAGAAAAAATTGGTTGATGACAATCGGTTGATGACAATTGGTTGGTGACAATCAGTTGTTGGCAATTGGTTGGTGACAATGGGTTGAGTTGGTTGGTGGCAGTTTTGTTGGTGGCAATTGGTTGATGACAATCGGTTGTTGACAATTGGTTGATGACAATCGGTTGATGACATTGGTTGGTGACAATTGGTTGGTGGCAGTTGGTTGGTGACAATTGGTTGGTGACAGTCGGTTGATGACAGTTGGTTGGTGACAATGAGTTGGTGAATTGGTGGGTGGCAGTTGTTGTTGGTGGGAATTGATTGGCAAGCGGAGGGCGGGAAGAGGAGGAGGAGGAGGAGGAGCAAAGCGGGACACAACGCAAAAAAAATAAGAACACACGTCAATGTGGGGAACAACATTATGTGGGGAACAACATAAGTGGGAAACAACATTATGTGGGGAACAACATTGTTATTGTGAATCTTTTGAACTTGCAGATGTCATGTGCTTTGACATGCAAGCACTTTCAGAAAGATGTATCAATGTGTGTATGAACTTTTGAAACACTGATATACACCGCAGATGTCATGTGCTTTGACACGCAAGCACTTTCAGACACATGTATCAATGTATGTGTGTATGAACTTTTGAAACTGAGATGTACGGCGCTCGCCGCCTCAAGCAAGGGAAGGGAGGGTGGGAGTCTCCAAAAGATTGGAGACGAACGTTTTATGCCCGCCCATTTCGACCTTGCTGCCGAACCTTCCCTGTAACACACATCTGACCTATGCGTGGTACCACCTAAACAGCATAGTATGCTTCCGGTGAAAACAAACCTGACCTACGCATGGTCACATGCAAAAAGAAGGAGCTTGTGTATAATGATTTGTTGTAATATATTTCCACATAAGTCAGGTGAAGCTGGGACAAGGTCAAGTAAGTATTTCTCACCAATAGTGTACATATACATTGACCATGCCACGTGCATTTGGCTCAAGGAAGAGGTGCCTCAAACTGGCTGTTTCCTGTGTGAAATAGGTTATCAGCCGTAGGTTTCACTTCTTTCTCCACTTTTCGTCCCGCGCGCGTCCTACCATGGCAGGCTTCGGGTATCCGCCGATCATTGATCTGGCTTCGGATCAGGACAACATGTCCGCGCGCGAGGGAACGCCTGAGTTCGCAAGTTCCACTGCACTTGTTCCAGAGGGTTATGGTTATTTGGACACGCCTGTTGGGCCTGACATTCTCCAGTACAACCCTCCTACAGCAAGCGCCAGCGGGAACGCTGTGCCGGCCAATACCGTAAGTCAGACAAACGTATTGAACCAGCACTTGCATGTTCACCAAGCCCCAACCACCGATGCTCGGTTGATTGAGGCAGTTGCCGAAGAACGTCACCGGCACGCCATGGACATTCAGGGTGAACAACTCCAGATGGTGAGTACTCAGCGTGACGAGATGCGAGTACAGGGTTTAAGGTTTATGAACGAAACTGAACAAATGTTTCATGAGAATGCGGCTGTGAAACATGAAGCCACTGCTTTTGTTGAAGCGGCTCAAAGGGGATATGAGGCATACGCCGAGGCTTCCGCAGCTGAGCTTAGGTCCATGAAACAACACCATGAGAGTCAGATGTTAGATGCACGCATTCGTAGTGATCATGCAATCGAGAAGTGTATGGCCACCATCGAGTCATTGAACAACCACGTTGAGCATCAGAATCGGCAAACTGAAAGTCTTCATTTGGAATTGAAACAATCCATGAAGAAGCAAACTGATCTTCAGAACCAACTGACTGCTCTTCGGGACGCCAGGCAACAGAACGACTTGTTCAATTCTTGGTTGTCATCTACGTTCGCTTTAAATGCACATAAAAAACAAATCTGAAACTCTCGCACCATCAGCAAACTTTTTTCCTTCGGAATCGCGGGGATCCAACTGCTGTGCCTGTCAACGGCTGGGCTAGGCTGTGTGACGAATGGCAGCTTCGAGAATGTCGAAGCAGGATCATTGTTTCATCGTGCAGCTCTGCAATTTGGGGCACGAAGTGGCTTTAAGGGCGCAGGACGCGCCACTGTTAAGATTATTGTTACACATGGTGTGATGTAGGCCTCAAGCATGAATGAGCAGTCGGACCATGTCATGGTCACTGATGCGTCTGAAACCAGCACTTCACTTGCATGGCAGTGTTTGAACTTTCCACATGGGTGCCAGGACTTAGCAGCAATAGTTGCGTTATGTGGTCAAGCTCGCAAGCGCGACAAAGAGATGCAGCTGGTGATCAGCAGCCAATGTGATCTCAAGTGGGGCCGATCAAGGCCGGAGACAAATGCTGTACGTCGTCATTCGCACGGTGTGGGATGTTGAAAACTGGGGCCATTGGCGCAATAAAAATGGGAAACTTTTACACCTGAAAAACATTGCTTGCAATCGTGATGTGACTTGTTAGAGCTGCGTACGGGACTTTGACATGATGAAAGTTCGGTTCCGCTGGAGCCGAGAGAAAACAGCAGCACCACATGTACTGATCGAACTCACATGCTCGATAACTGTGACCTGAAAAGACATTGCTTGCAATCGTGATGCGACATAGCTGCGTATGGGACTTTGACATGATGAAAGTTCGGTTCCGCTGGCGCCGAGAGAAA